AAAAATAATATTAAGATTAAAAATATGAATAAATATATATATATATATATATATATTTATTTAAGTTAATTGCTTGAACAATTTACGTACAACTAACACTTATATATCAATGGAATACAGCAAATTTACCTACTTAAACTTCTACCAATACTTATGCCGACAAACCAGCAACACAAAAACAAATTAATAAAGTTGAACTAAAAATGTACAAAATAAATCATGACTGGCAACTATGTACATCTAAGTTCAAACTAAAAGTACTCTGTGGTTCATCAGACGGAATGTTTAAAGACAGCTAGAACCCAGAGCCGTAAAGGCAGTTTACAAAAAAAAAAATAAAAAAGTTAAAGACATGTCTATGTTAATGTGACATATTATGTGTGACATAGATTTATTGTAATCTGACAGACGGTAACAGTCTAGTCGTAGACAGAGAATCCTAAGGATAATATATAATAAGGATTCTCTGTCTACGAGTCTAGTATATACACAGTAATCTATGGACGGTAACAAATAAAAACAATTCAGACAGTTCTTCAGATGCTTATACATCAACAATAACGAAAATAAAAGGGTAGTAAAACATTGACATATAACAAGAACACTGCACAAAAATAATGACGGAGCGATATTTAACAAACTTACTAACAAGGTTGCGTAAACAGCAATTACTGCACAAAAATAATGACGGAGCAATATTTAACAAACTTAATAATAGGTTGCGTAAACAGCAATTACTTACGGACTGCTACGCGACTCCGAGTTTTAGTAGGCTTGGTTTTTTCAGCAGGTTTACCATCATCCTGATTTTTTTTATAGGCAGCGGTTGCGAGCTGCTAGAAAAGCTTCATGCCTAACTTTTGTAAGGAACTCGGACAAGGTCACTCCAGTGCCTTTAAGATTTGTTTTTGAACTCCAGACCCTGTGTCGAAGACCAAGATCCTTAAACTCCACTAATAGAGGTCTGGGTTTGCCCTTAATTTTACCCAATCTATGGCATCGATTTATATTTTCCTGGGCTATGAACACTTTGGTCTGCTGTAGTGACTTAATGACAGTTTCGGTACCATCTTCATTTTTATCTTCGGGTACACCATGAATCAACAAGATTCTGCGACGATTATGCATCTCCAACCGATCACAGTCCTTTCAGACTAATTGAACTTGTCGCTGCAAATTTGGAGCGCGGATATAACAAAAACCTTGAAATTTTCAAAGACTGTAGCTAGTGGAGATGGTAGTGGAGGACAAGGAACACTAACTTTGTTAAGTTCTTGTTGAAACGCTGCAAGGCTTGACTGGAACAGTGCTGTCATATCTTCCATTGACTGTTCGATAGTCTTCATGATATAAGAGTGTATTTAAGTGTTCTAGTTTACGGTAAAAACAAATATGTAAAAACAAATATCAGTACCGCTGGTGAATGTCACTTAATCACCTTGTATATTTATCATAAGATTTTGCTTAAAGATATTTATTTTAAACTAAAATTAACAAGAACACAAGAAAACAGCTGTGTATTATTCTGCGCCTACCCGCAAAAAAAATGATGTCATCCAAGTAGACCAGACAGGCATCGCCAATTAGCCCTGTAAGTACAAGTTCCATCAGCCTTCCAAACGTTGCTGGAGTATTGCACAACCCAAACGGCATTACTTTAAATTGCCACAGACACTTTCCCGTCGACAACGCAGTCTTCTCCTTGTCCTTAGGGTCAATTTTAACTTGCCAGTAGCCACTTTTTAGATCCAGCGTGCTAAACCACTTTACTCCTGTAAGCATGTCCAGCGTGTCATCAATTCTTGGCAAGAGATAGCTGTCCTTCTTCGTAACGTCGTTCAGACGGCGGTAGTCAACACAAAACCGCATGCTGCCATCCTTCTTCTTTACCAGTACCACGGGTGAACACCATGGACTAGAGGAAGGTTCAATAACACCATCCTTCACCATTCCTTCAATCATGGTTTCTACTTCCTTTTCACGTGCTACCGGCAATCTTCTTGGCCGCTGACGGATAGGCAATTCTTCTCATGTGTTTATTTTGTAACTCCAGTCTTTCCTTGTCAGCATCGTTTGATGAGAATACATCAGCGTACTTGAGTAACAACTTCTTTGCCTTGACCATTTCGTTCGGGGAGAGAACGCTGCGACAGTCTTCCAAAAGTGGGGTCACTCTCGTTTGTGCATCCTTGCCTATCTCACTCGATAGATATCGGCAACGACGTAACCAATCCACTTCCTCACAAGTACCAACCAGCGTGCCTTTTTCTATAATCTGTTCCCGGTCACAAAGGTTCAGCACACGTACTCCTGAGATGTCAGTGGTTCTGACCAAGATTCGAGCTACTTTCCATGGAAGGTCATTGTTTACCCTTTCCACAAGTACACAACGGTGAGCTTGCCTAGCGTTTCGAGGAAGACTAACCGGCACAATCGTTTCCGATCTCGGCGGAAGAACAATCTTCTTAATGCTGTACACGTTCCCTGGCAACGCACCTTCCATAAAAAGTTCCTCCTGTCCACATTTCAAAACACCTTGCTTAACGTCGATCTCACAACAATTATTCCTCATAAAGTCTAGGCCCAGGATGCAGTGGTCCATTATATCAGCCACGATGACTGATATAATGGACGACTTATGCAGGTAGATCACGTTGCCTAGCTTCAACTCCATCTCCTTCTCTCCACGGACGGGTATATGCCGACCGGTGGCTGTTACCAAATTAATGCGTCCTCGGTTGTATGCGGAGTCCCCAAGGAACTGACTTATAAGTTGGGAACTAACAACCGTACGAGAGGCTCCAGTGTCTATGGTGAGTTTACACGGCATTCCGTTGACCTCTCCCTTGATGATTAGACTGTTCCCATCATGGGTTTGTGAGATCGAGATCCTTGGGGCTCTTTTAACATCAGCCAGCACCCGCCTCGCAGTTCTGGCTTTTACTCGTTTCCCTGCTGCTGCTGGGCGGTGCTGTTGGCCGCATAGCCCTCCTGAGATCGTTCACCTTCCATTTCTAGGGTTCGCTTAGGGCAGCTGGATCGAAGATGGCCCCTTTCCCCACAGCCATAGCACCTAGGGCTGTATCCTTTGTTGCGGTCGCGAACTGTAGCTGCTGCAACCTCCCTGACGCGATGAGAACGATGATCCTGTCGCACGGCTTCCACCTCCAGTGCATGGGCCAAGGCGTCCTGAAGTGCCTCGTGGTGCCCGAGCCTCACAGCAGCTCTGACTTCCAGGTCGCGGATGCCGTCGATGAATGTTTGCACCAGGTTCCCTTCAATGAGCGCAGGTACAGACCGGTATGCTTTTCGCACCAGCTTCTCCACCTCTAGAGCCCACTGCTGCAGGTTTTCGTTGATGCGCTGCACGCGATCTTTAAGCTGCGCATGAAAGACGTGTTCCAGGTGAGCGTCGCCATATCTCGCCTCCAATGCCTCAAGGAGTTGCTCATAAGAGCTTCCAGAACTGTTAAGGCCTGGTCGCGCAGGCCTAGTGTGAGAGCAGTCATGGCATGACTTTTATTCCAGCCGTTCGCCTTTATAACGGTATCAAACTGGATTTTGTAAGCTGACCAGGAAGAAGTCCCGTCGAACGGTGGCACTTTGAACCCACGTAGCGAAGGTGTTGTAGCTGCTACGGGAGTTGTAATTCCATCCCCCAGTTTGAGGTCGTCCAGCGTTTTCTTCACGTCAGCAACCATCACGTTGTCAACCCGATTGTTCACTTGGTTGATTCGGGTTTCAGCTTTCTCGATTCGGGTTTCAGCTTTCGCGATTTGGGTTTCAGCTTCTGACAGGCGGTTGTCATGCTGAGCAACCCTATCCTTCACCTTCTTTATCTCCTTCCCGAAGGTAGCGTGAAGGTCCTTTATGAGGAGCATCTGCTCTTCCAACCGACGGGCCTGTTCCTCTTGTCGGCGGACCTGTTCATCCTGTCCACCCCGTAACTGCTCTTCCAACCGACGGACCTGTTTCTCCTGTCGGCGAGCCTCCCCGGCGACCTCCTCCTGTCGGCGAGCCTGTTCCTCCTGTCGGCGAGCCTGTTCCTCCTGCTGCTCTTTCAACAGACGGGCCTGTTCCTCTCGTCCGCGCTGTAGCTGCTCCTGTAGCATCGCCATCAGAGCACCTAAGTCATGTGCTGCAGATGTAGGAGCTACTGACGGGCCCGCAGCCTCCGTGGCTAGCAGTTGGCGCTCCGACGTCTGCGGCGTTGCACCACCAAATCTCCTCTGGTCCGTCTCCTGCTGGCGTTGACTTCGGGTACGGACACCCTCCGATTCCTCATTCGGTAAAATCGGCATGATTTGATCCCACTTCTGACACCAATTGTTACGAGCTTAGGGTTCGTGACAATAAAAATTGCCGATTGAATTACCAAAATTAACACTTTAATTCACTTTACACTAATTAAACTTAAAACACTAATAATTAATCACACTGATTCCATTATCCCGCTCCGAAGCTTCGCTTGTCTCGCCAAATTCAATACTTCCTCGATCGCATCTTGCAGCGGCTTTAAATACACATTATCACCGAAACATCCAGAATATTCAAGTAAATACGCGCACCAATCGACAAGGCGCCGAAAGTTCGAGTGTCGGGCTTCTAGAAGCTTAGTTCTTCGTTTCGATACTAGATGGCGCTGTCGGTTGAAAGATTAGTGATGTAATTTTCTGGAAAGCTCCCCTCGCTCTCGTCCCCGACACTAGATGGCGCTAGTGCCGGGTACATGACTTCAACTTAGGTGCGCAACAATATTAATCTTTTTTAAGCTTAAAAATAATTTCATAACACTTTATACTGGCAAAAGTACAACCGCCCGAGTCTATTACATAAAGAAAGAAAAAAAAACAACAGTTTTAAAACGTCAATACTTTCGCCAACAAAATAATTCACTGTCAAAAACGTAAAAGTCAAGAACGTACGGCAATGTTATGTTTCGGTGATAACAGTTTTGTATTATCATAATAATATTGAAAGTGTAGTCTAGTCTCCAAAAAATGGCTGAAAGCAAATCTATCTTACATGAATTATACGTATTTTCAGAGTGGAAACCCGAGCCAGAATATTTAGTTAGTTTTCATACTTTTTCAATTTTTTGTCTCAAACTAGATTGTTAATAATTTTATTATAATTGCAGCAAAAACATGACAACATTTTACCTGAAAATATATCAGCTATTTGGCGTTGGATAAAATTTTTTGGCCCAAAGAAAAGTTTAGTAGACAGTGTAACGGCGTAAGTATATTGTCATTCATTTTAGGCCCCAGAACTGTACACTACCCGGCACACATATTACTACTCCACAGGGGTGCTTGGGTATCGCATACTAAAATATCTGTACCTTTTTTTTTTCTATGGGATAGAGTGACAAACAAGCACACAGTCCACCTGATGGTAAAGTAGTTGCTGTGGTCCATAGACATCTACATCTATTCTCAATTATGAACCAAATGCAGATGTGTCACCCGTGAGGATTAAGATGGAATACCCGGTTTCCAGTATAAAGGGGAGACCCTTCTCTACACTCACCATACGAACACAGCAGCATTAAGCTACTATTTTATGCTGGTATTCTTTGAGAGTGTGGTCCTTCCCTGGTCGAGCAGTCCCATTCATGCTACAACTATACTACTAATATAACTACAGTATGGCACTACTACATATAAGATTTATTTGAGTTTAATACAAAAACCAATTAAACTATTTTTTATTATGATGTAGTGGCAACTTAAATTTGCAAATCAATCTTAAAAATCTTACTATAATATTAATTTAAGCCTTTTGAGATTCAGAATTTCATCTATTGCTCCATACAAATTGGTATTTTATGTGTTTGATATGTTGTCTTGTTTTTATCCCTTATTCTTGGAAAAAAGTCAGGATCTCTGTGTCTGATATACAGGAACAGAACTTAAATATAGAAAGAGTTAGAAGAGTATTCAACAGTTAAGGTATTTTATACTACTCAAAATTGCTTTTTGGAGTCTTTCCTTTAAATGATCATTTTCAAGCAAATATGCGTAAAAACTTTGTCCAGCTTATTATTTGCCATCATGGAATGATGGGAAACGGAATTATGTTTTGTTAAGCAATTTGATGCCTAGTTGGTTTTTCACATAGAATATAAATACATACATAATAGAATGGTCACTAACATGTCAATTCACATGTATAAATGTCAACACAAGATGTGTTTAAACCATGAAGGTTAGAGAACAGGAAAATGATCGGCGTAGAAAATAGTGTCCCAGAAATATGGACATCATAAGTGAGGCGCAACATTTACTAAGTTCGGTCAATAAAAGTCATTTTCAGTCTATTTTTCCGATCAGATGCTAATCCACGCACAATAAAATATTTCTCCATTTTTTAATGTTTCTTTTCGTCAAAAATTACAAAATTAAGGAGCATGAAAATTTTCTCACCAATGCCTTGGAGAAAATTTGTACATTATTCAACTAACTTCATCTACTTGTACTCATAAACAGCTAACTTCGCAGTCACTACTCGCCGACGTCAGCGCCGCTATAAATTCTACAATTTTTAAGGACAGGCCGGCTATGCTTTATTATGTAGTGATCGTTCTCCTGTTCTCTAACCTTCATGGTTTTAATGTAACAATTGTTTCCAAATTTTGCATGCAAAGTACTTAGAAAATGCCTAATTGCACCCTATTTACAAATAAATATGAATTAAAATCTAAACGATTTTTTTAAATATTGATCTTGAACATTAATTAAAAGTCTAAAATGTGTAAATTTACTCAGTCTGTCAACACAGCAAATTAGGTTTGTAGTAGTGATAATACGACGTAATTGCTTGTATGTGTGCCCTGGCGACGCCAATCCTCATATAAAATAAGGTTGACAGCTATTCCATTGTGTATTATAGTATTCTATGGTTTTTCACTACTCCATCTCCATTTATGTTAGTTTTTTATTCTGTTAATGGAAAGAACTCCTGGCCTTTCAGAAACCTTTACTTTTCCTTATTTTGATGTATCATGAGATAAATTCTTGGGAAGTCTCATCATCACTGCAATAGCCAGGAAGGCCATATCTGTGATAGCTACCACCTTGGTGTCTAAAACATTAATTTCATTTATGTCTTCATCAACTATGCGAATATCTTACTATCTTACCATGAGAGGCTAATGGTCTTTTCGTTAGAAATTTCTGTTATATATCTTTAATTTGCCATATCATTATCTTGTGCATTGCCAAATTTGTGGTCTAATATAGAATGAATTTTCTATCGATTAAAACCACTTTTACGGATTTTATCGCATTTAATTTTACTTTTAATCAATGTGTAGTGTTCGCGTAAATATAAGAAATCATTATGAATTTTCTAATCATTCAATCCTCAACTGACAATCATCGATAACTATGTAGCTTCACAGAATATTTTTTATGTACATTTTTCATATATTTATATCAACTTAATGAATAAAAATTAAATAGTGTAAAGAATCCATGTAAAAATGGACAACACTGAAATAAAGTACATAAAAGCTAAAATATGTAGGTATAACATAAGCATGACGAGTGAATGCAGGAAATAAAGTAAATGGGGCTCTACACTCTATTGTGAAAAGTCAGAATGTGTCAAAAAAGGCACGTATGGCAATTCACAGTGCTGTATTAGTCCCTACTTTAACGTATGGTAGTGAAAGTTGGGTGTGGCAGAAGAAGCACGAGAGTAGAATAAATGCAGTAGAAATGCGGTCGCTAAGGAGTATGTTAGGGCTAATCTGAGTGACAGGGTGAGAAACTGTGATACAAGAAGAGTGTGGTTTGCAAGATGATGCGGTGACCAGGATTAAGAAAGGAATGCTTCGGTGGTTTGGTCATGTAGAAAGAATGAATGCGGAAAGACTGACAAAGCAAATATATGTTGCAGAAGTGAATGGAAGAGTCGGAAAGGGACGTACTAGGCGGAAGTTTGTCGACCAAATTGGCGATATACTAAAAATGGGCCAAATTAAGAGTACCCTTAACCGACGAGCATGTATGCGTAGGTATATGGATGTGGAAGAGGCGAGAAAGGTATGTCAGGATCATGCTAAATGGAAGTCTGTAGTCTCTGCCTACCTCTCTGGGTGACAGGCGTGAGTGTTTATGTATGTATTATGTAACATAGTTATTTAGAAACAAACCTCCCTGGAGTGCCCCATTTAGGGTTCTAGAGTTAAGTTACAATATTCTTTGATATGCATTAGATAATAATATACTATTAGGGCAATTAGTGTAAGTGAGCTAATGAAACCCTTATATATTTGAAAGATGATACTGTGTACCTTATAGTGTTTTGTAAGAGATAAAAATTTTGCTAACTAATGCCATTATATTGATACAGCAAAATACAGTAGTGTTAATACACTACTGTATTTTGCTGTATTAATTTTAATTCACAACCTTTGCATTTTAAGGCAAGAAAATCTACTTCTAATATTTGTTATATATTTTTACAGACATAAAGAAAAGCAACAAAAGTGGCACATTGCTCTTGGTGATGAAGGAAAAGTATTAGCCGTGCTTACTGATAATATATTGGAAATCAGGACCAAGCGCACAGAATATGCTACAATAGCGGCTAGGACTACTGGTAATCAGGAATCTTTTAAATATTTTATTTATTTTGTCATTGAATGGAATGAGGACTTAAAACTAATAACAATAAAATGATGTGTTTTTTTTTAAAAGCTTTGTAGTAGAAAAACAATTTCTCCTTGTAGAATAAAGATATTAACATCCATTTATTATCAAAAGGCTTATTACATTTTAATTAATTATTGAAAATATGTAGTGGCGGTGTAATAATATTCAATATCACAATATTGTTGCTCGCCACATTTGATGGCACTAGCACCATCTATTATCGAATTGAAGAACTAAGCTTTCTAGAAAGCTCCACACTCAAACTTTCTGCACCTGGTCGGTCGGGGGCCGTTATTTGCTGGAATATTCTGGATGTTTCGGTGGTAAAGGCCTGTTTAAAGCCGTTGAAAGCAGTGATCGGGGCAGTATTGAATTGGCGATACGAGCGAAGCTTTCGGAGTGAAATAAAGTGAACTAAATTGTTAAGTGTGAATAGTTATTAGTGTGATTTAAGTTTTAATTGGTGTTCAGTAATTAAAGTGTCAAATTTGGTAATTCAATCGGCAGTTTTTATTGTCACGAACCCTAAGCTCATAATAATATCTTTATGTGTTTCATACATGTTGGTTGACAAAGTTTCTCATATGTTTTTTTTTTCTTTCAATATTTTAATGCAAATTTTCTTAATAAATACAGCAATATATTTTACTTTACTCAATGTTTATTAGAATATTAACACTCTACAAAATTTATGTTCAGACAATGTCAATGGGTAATTGTTAAAAATAATATAGTGTGAAAATGGATATTTAACTTAAAATTTTGCTTATGCAATAAATAAACAAAAAATTATTTGAACCCTGGAACTTCCCGCTAATTCCAATATCAAAGCACTCCAAATCCCACTTATTATGACATTTTTGAGCTCGAAGTCATAATTTTGGAAAACCACGTTTTTTATTTTTTTCATAATTGAATATTTCAAGAACAAATCAACCGATTTTGATGTGATTGACGGCAATCGACGTAATTTTTATATATTTAACACGGAAAGTTACTTTGTAGAAGAGCTGATTAGATCATAGAATTGATAAAAAGTGTGTCGTAATAATTCAAAAAAAAAAACTACTTTTTGAAAATTAAAAAAAAAACTTATATTTTTGAGCTTTTCTCAGAAACTACCTTGACAATCTTAATTCACAGAAAATCTAAGTTCAGCGAGGCTCTTTCAGAGCTGCAAACCGCTTTTTGATTATACACTCCGTTACAAAGTTATGAGATGTTTACACACACACACACACACGTACACATGCGCACGCGCACTCTCTCTCTCTTTCTCTCTCTCTCTCACACACACACACACACACACACACACTACTTTACACAAATACATACATACGGACATCATCGCAAAAATATCGAGGAGAGCTTCCTAGGACCTCGAAACGTCGAAATCTGATGAGAACTCGATTTTCAAAAACCGGGGTAAAAACAATAACTTCCCTATTTTTTTGAAAATCATTGAATTTCATTGCGGGAGTTTATAAATACCTTTACCATACCTCAATTACAATTTGACCATTCTGTAATATGTATTGCCTGTGTAGAACTTTATACTGCTCAAATGAGTGGGGTTTCATGCTCTACCCTCACTTTTATTTATCTTCTTTCTTTTCTCAACACACATCACACACATACACAAATACATACATACGGACATCATCGCAAAAATATCGAGGAGAGCTTCCTAGGACCTCGAAACGTCGAAATCTGATGAGAACTCGATTTTCAAAAACCGGGGTAAAAACAATAACTTCCCTATTTTTTGAAAATCATTGATTTTCATTGCGGGAGTTTATAAATACCTTTACCATACCTCAATTACAATTTGACCATTCTGTAATATGTATTGCCTGTGTAGAACTTTATACTGCTCAAATGAGTGGGGTTTCATGCTCTACCCTCACTTTTATTTATCTCTTTATTTTCTACCCACTATCTCTAACATGTATTTTTATAAATTATTTCAGTGAGTCGTGATCCATACGCACAATGGCGTAAACTAGTGTGGAGCCCCGACTGCTCATTTTTGGTGCTTGCGTATGGCAATGGTGTTGTCAGCTTCTTTGACCTGACTGCTTCTAATCTATTTAATATTCCAGCTGTAAGTTATTTTTATAATTATTTCTTGTGTAATTCTATTTTTGAATAATATATCAGTTTCAATATGGATTTATATAATATTCTAACATTTTCCATCTTCCGATCCAATCCAATACAACCTATAATAGTCCACTGCCGAACATAGGCCTCCCTCATAGATTGCCTCAAGAGGAAATCGCCATTGTTGCCACGCTTGGCAACCGGGTTGGCAACCGCAGTTTGAGTTATTATCAGGAAGATGCTGATGCCCATCTCCTGTTTAATTTTCTCTCTGTCGCATCTTACAACACCCTCGGGACGATATGGGGTAGTGGATATTCTTACACCGCCACTACGTGATTCCACCTTTAAAAATATAACCCTGTAAGGTAAGCAGTTAGGACCTGAACACTTTGTTGATCTCCAACTGAAGCTTATAATTTTACCGAATCACTGAGTAATTGGGAGATTTGATTTCCAGTTAAAGATTAATAATTGTGCAAAAAAGTACATAGTCTAGAGAAAGAGTTTACCCTTCTATAAACTACCAAAGCATCTCCATTGCATTTATTTATTCTGTTTCAGGATTGCTCAAGGCCTGGGGGCTTGGAGTGCACTGATAATACTCATGCTGTGTCAGATATTATATTTATGCCTCTTAGAGTTAAGGATACTAAGTGGTAAGATCAGTGGAATTATATTAAAAGATATGAATATATTTTATTGCTATCAGAGTATTCCATAATATAATTAAAAAAAAATAGTTTTAATATTTTTTATCCGTTAGTACAAAGTAGTAGTGTAGTGATGGTATAAGAATATCCACTACTCCATATCATCCCGTGGGTGTCTTAAGGTTGCCAATCTATCTGGCTAGTGTGGTAACTGCGGCAATATCTCCCCTATAAGTCAATCTGTGGGGAAAGCCTGTGTTCAGCAGTGAACATTTATAGGCTGGAGTGGAATAGTACAAATCAGTATTGTAATAACTGTTTTTTTTTATATATGTGTATTTTGTTACTTTCTTTTACAATAATATTTTTCCAAATAACTTGGTGATCATTACTTCTTTGCATGAAAAAATAAGTGTATTTAAAATAATGCAGTGCACGTTAAACTCAAGTCAAGTTAACTCGCTCTCAGTTAATACACCTTCACCTGAAGTCCTTGGACCACTAGTGACCTTGAAGTCACCCAAGGTCATACAATTCTCTAATATATAAAAAAGTGTACAACATTTATATAATGATTGTGATGATGGATTTATATGACGGTGTGCAGATAACAGATACTGCTAATACAGTTTACATTACAAGGTGTGATGATGGTGTGCAGATAACAGATACTGCCGATACAGTTAACATTACAAGGTGAGACGATGGTGCGCAGATAACTGATACTGCCGATACAGTTAACATTACAAGGCGTAATGATGGTGTGCAGATAACAGATACTGCCGATACAGTTAATATTACAATGTGTGATGATGGTGTGCAGATAACAGATACTGCCGATATAGTTAACATTACAAGATGTGATGATGGTGTGCAGATAACAGATACTGCCGATACAGTTAACATTACAAGGCATAATGATGGTGTACAGATAACAGATACTGCCGATACAGTTAATATTACAATGTGTGATGATGGTGTGCAGATAACAGATACTGTCGATACAGTAAACATTACAAAGTTTGATGATGGTGTGCATATAACAGATACTGCCGATACAGTTAATATTACAATGTGTCGTGATGATGTGCAGATAACAGATACTGTCAATACAGTTAACATTACAAGGCGTGATGATGGTGTGCAGATAACAGATACTGCCGATACAGTTAACATTACAACATGTGATGATAGTGTGCAGATAACAGATACTGCCGATACAGTTAACATTACAAGGTGTGATGATGGTGTGCAGATAACAGATACTGCCGATACAGTTAACATTACAAGGTGTGATGATGGTGTGCAGATAACAGATACTGCCGATACAGTTAACATTACAAGGTGTGATGATGGTGTGCAGATAAGAGATACTGCCGATACAGTTTAAATAACGAGGTGTAGCTACATTAAAAATGAGGCGCTCAATAATGCCACACATTAATTTATGCATGTTTTTCATTTATTACTTGTCGTAAAGCCACAATTAAAAACAAAAGAACCTAACCTAACAACAACGAAACAACAAAAAAACGAATAATTTATTTAAAATTTTAAAAAATATTTACAGTTTTTTATACAAAAAAAAATATGAAGATGATGATGGGTGACGTGAATTACAATTATTTAAAAAAAATAACAAAGATAAATGAGTACTAGAGAGTAAGGTGGCACACCGCGCTTGGCAGTGGTGCTCACCGCTCACGGAGTATGCACAGGCTATGCCTGTGGTAGGTGCGCAGCACACCGATTGGCACCACACCCGGACTAGGCACACACAGCGCCCGGAGTAGGCACACGCAGTGCTTGAAGCAAGCACGCACAGCGGCTAAAGATAGCGCGGGCACTAGTAGGTGGAGGCGTAGGCGTGGATAGACGACGACTTCAGATGAAGGCAGAGGCTTGCAGGATCCCGGGGCAGTGCGGTCCCGGGATAAGGCCTTTAGAAGATGCTTCTGGTTTGAAAGCTGAAGAGAGACTCCCTTTATTGGCCGATTGTTCGGCTTTTATACTTTTTTTAGAGAGCTCCGCACTCGACGACGGATTTGTGAAAAGAACGGGAAATTATTTAAATTAAAAGCAAATTTTTGTAAATGGCCAAGAAGAAAAGAGTATTTTTGTGGAAGTTTTGAAGTAAAAACATCAGACCGGTAATGAATTTGAATAAAAATTGCCATGACAACCAAATAAACAACGATGTCAAAACATGTCAAATTTTGGTTTCAGGCTCGTAATAGAGAAACGGCAAGATTTAAGTGAAAAATGAGATATTATTGATATAGGAAAAAAGGTAGCGCAACAGCGCGCACGAAGCCCGAAATTGCAGAGTTACGGAGAACTAAATAAAAGATCGAAAAAGGTAGACTCCATTAACACCGATTTAAAAAGTGCTGATAGCGTAAAAATACGAAGTGAATATGATTTGTTATTGTGTTCTTATGGTTTAAAAAACGTTACAGGATCCTATGGAAATAAAGGTGATGCAAAATATCCAGTTTTGAGGTGAATACAGAAAATCAAAAACAGAATGGAAAAATAAATTTAAAATAGTGTAAAATGATATGTAAGTAGCATAACACTACATTTTTCCCCCCGACCCTGGAAAATTTTGACTTAGCAAAAATTTTGATATGTACATTCTAAAATAAACCATAAAAACACAGCTTTGCAGAAACAAACATCACCAGGCAAAATCAGATATACTATCTCTTACATTCATCATCTGCATTCAAGTAAGGGTGGAGTTCACATTCAATTACTACCACTCTAAAAGTGTGTTTTCGAAAGGACATTCAGGCTTATTTAAGAAGTTGTCATCCGCCCCTGCGTGGAGAAAAAAAATATTTTATTAAGGGAGTAGTCAGCCGCTCCCAAGTGAAGATACAGAGATAAAGAAATCAATCTTAAGCAAGCTTTAGGCGCTATGACTTAAGTAAAGATTAAGAACGGCCAGAGCGGTAGGGCTCAAAGCCAGAGATCGCAAATCTAAAAAAAAAATAAAATTTCTTGCACTTTCCGAGTTCTACCTGGATGAAGCTTCTATCTTAGCAACATCAGTAACGAGATGTGTCTGAAATAAAAATAAAAAGTGAAGATTAACCAACGAAAATTCGAGGTCCTACAGCAAAATGTGTTGAAGAACACTGGATCACCAAACAAACAAACAAATTAAAAGAAATAAAAATAATAAGGTGAAAATGATGGAATGTGGTTTCAAACTAGAAGCATCACGGAGTATGGACAGGCTATGCCTGTGGTAGGTGTACAGATAAGAGATACTGCCGATACAGTTTACATAACGAGGTGTAGCTACATTAAAAATGAGGCGCTCAATAATGCCACACATTAATTTATGCATGTTTTTCATTTATTACTTTGATTAGATCGATTTCTTAATAAAAAGAAATACACTTTTTAAGTATATAGTTTCTTTAGGCACAATATGGTTGTTTTATGGAAGATTTTCGCCAAAATTTCTAACAACCTTTCATAACAAAGTAATGAGGAGGACGATAGGGTGGCCAAATGTTCAGAGTACTTAGCTGCTACGTGGCGTGCAATGTGCAGGAACTGGGAGGTACTGGTGGTGACGTTCGACGGGCGGTTGCGTGGCTACGTGGTGTCGCAGACGGACGGCTACAAGTTGCGGCACTCGTTCCGCTTCCCGGGCGGCGTGGCCGCACTGGCTTATTGCCCGTCGCACGACGCCTTGTACGTGGCTGGAGTGCCCAGAGGAATCAAGGTATTCTATATATTCCAACCTGTCTAATTTATGTATTTATTGGTCATAAAAAATCTGGCCACTAAGAATTTTTAAAATTTTAGGCCAGATTTTTAGAGATTACTATTATTATTTTTTAGACAGATTAGAGAAAAAAAGAAAAGTATGTAAACAATCCAAGTTCAATCCTCATTGAAATTGAAACTGAAATTGTAAATTGCAACTTTTATGTTTAGATATCTTATGTGGAAGTAAATGTCGTGAGAAACCTACATTATGTGCCTCACACACTGTGTATGACGTGTATGTAATTCACATTGGAGCAGACACGACTGGTTGTTCCATAACCCTCTCTGACTTAGTTCTGTTCACCGCAGTGAAAACATTTTAGTGAAAAATGAGCTAATGATTGACTTGATAGTAATTCACTATCACAGATAACTGCAACCAAAAGACAGATGTCTTTGAATGCTTAATTATTTATATGCGACCATACCCAAAACAAATAAAATAGAAAGATCTAATTAGCCAGTATAATGACAGGCTGTGATGCACCCCTTTTCAGTCCTTAGAGGTGACAACATATTGGCCGCAGGTATTTTAGTTTACGTCGGGCTCTTTTCCGTAACTCCACGTCTTAGCGCGGTTCTTTCCTGTGGGCAGGAATAATATGATTATTCGAGCCATGAAATCTCCCCGAAAAAGTTCAAAGTCCTTTGATGTTGCAAGCAACTTTGGGGAGCGATCCCGGCGTACCGAGATGTTTAGCCCTGTATGAAGCAACTTCCGGACATGTCAGCAACACGTGAGCCGCCGTTTCTTCTTCCCCCATGCATGCCCTGCACAGGGGACTATCAGTAACACCTATGGTAAATAAATGTTTGTTAAGAGAGCCATGTCCTGTGATAGCACTTGTTACTATCCTGATCTGTGACTTGTTCAGTCTCATTAGAACCTTGGTTAGATGACTGTTTATTTCAGGCAGGGCCTCCCTATCTTGTCTACAGTCTACTAAATTTTTTCAAAGCTGAGCATGTAAATTATTAAAGTTTCTACGTACCAGTGAACGAATGTAACCAAAAAGGATTGGTATTATTGGTTCCAGACTTATAGTGGCCAGAGCCAAACTCCTTCTGGCCAGTTCATCTGCTGCATCATTGCCTCTAGATCCACTGTGTCTCTTAATGCATTGCAGAGTCACATTGTTGTGCTTACATACCTCAATTAATCGTTGATGACATTCATATATCGGTCCCGAGTTAACCACATTACAACTCAGAGCTTGTAGTACCGCCATATTGTCGGTTAGTATTCTGAGGAAGAAGTCTTTTACCTTCTTAGCATCTATTGCTATGGCCACTTGGATGATACCCATACATTCAGCTTGGAAGACTGTGTTATGGGTACCCAGCGGTGTCATCATCATCATCATCATTACAGCCCTTCACAAGTCCACTGTTGAACATAGGCCTCCCCCAAGTAATGCCACAAAGCACGGTCCTGAGCCACCTGCATCCATCGACTTTCCTGCATGTCTTACCAGGTCGTCACTCCATCTAGTGGGGGGTCACCCTACACTACGCCTACCGGTGCGAGGCTGCCACTCGAGAACCTTTCTTCCCCATCGGTTATCGGTTCTTCGAGCTATATGGCCGGCCCATTGCCACTTCAGCTTACTAATCCGTTGGGCTATGTCGGTCACTCTGGTTTTACTGCGGATATCCTCATTTCTGAGTCTATCACGCAGTGAAACTCCGAGCATAGCCCTCTCCATAGCTCGCTGAGCGACCTTGAGCGTCCTCATACGGCCAGCGGTGAAGGACCAAGTCTCAGATCCGTAAGTCATCACTGGCAACACGCACTGGTTATACACTTTAGTTTTCAGAGATTGAGGTATACCTGACGAGAATATGTGTCGTAATTTCCCGAACGCTGCCCAGCCGAGTTGAATCCGTCGATTGGCCTCTCGGTCGAAGTTGGACTTACCTAGTCGGACTATTTGTCCCAGGTAAACATACTCGTCAACAACTCCGAGCATAGTGCTCCCAACAACTACCGGCATAGGTGTGACATGGACATTAAACATGATCTTTGTTTTGTCCATGTTCATCTTAAGACCTTGGGAGTTGGGAGACACCATTGAGGTCATCGAGCATAGTGCTAAGGTCCTCCAGCGATTCTGCCATAAGGACTATATCGTCGGCAAATCGAAGGTGAATGATGTACTCGCCATTGATGTTAATACCATATCCTTTCCAGTCCAGTAGCTTGAAAACGTCTTCCAACGCAGCGGTGAAGAGTTTCGGGGATGTAACATCACCATGTCTTACACCTCTCTGCAGTTGGATAGGTTTCGTACTCTGGTTCTGTACTCGGATGGCCATCGTAGCCCTACTGTACAAACACTTCAGCACTTCAATATACCGACAGTCAACTAGGCACCGCTGAAGAGACTGTAGCACCGCCCAAATTTCGACGGAATCAAAGGCCTTTTTCATAGTCCACATACGCCAGGCAAAGTGGCAGATTGTACTCTTCGGACTTCTGTACAATTTGCCGAAGGGTATGAATGTGGTCTATGGTACTGAAGCCTTTTCGGAAACCGGCTTGTTCGGGAGGCTGGAAGTCGTCGAGTCTGCGTGCGAGACGATTCGTAATGACTCTCGAAAACAGCACGTAGACGCGGCTCAGAAGGGAAATCGGTCTGTAGTTCTTCAAGAGAGCGTTGTCGCCTTTCTTAAAGAACAAGACCACCGCGCTTCTGCTCCACGCCTCCGGAGTAGTGCCACCATGGAGGACGGAATTGAAGAGCTTCTGAAGGACTTCAAGTACCGGTGTTCCACCCGCTTTCAGAAGCTCCGCTGTAATTCCATCCTCGCCCGGGGCCTTGCCGTTTTTAAAGTGGTGGAGAGCCATTCTAATCTCGCTCAGACTGACGTCCGGGATATCATCGGAATAGTGTCGGATAAGACTTGCTCTTGGATCGTTACTCACACTTGCGTGTGGCTCCAACGATGATGTGTACAGCTGCCCATAGAACCTCTCAATCTCACTCAGAATCTCAGGTGTCCCGGAAACGATGTTGCCACACTCAGTCTTCAGCCTTGACAGTTGGCTCTTTCTGGCGGACAGATCTCTGACAAAGACTTTGGAGCCCTGGTTCCGCTCGATCGCTTCTTTAATACGAGCAGTATTAAAGTTGCGTAAGTCTCGCCGCATGCATTTGGAGATCTGTCTGTTCAGTTGCCTGTATGCTGTCAAATCTGTTGACGATTGCAGCCTCATCTCCCGTCTAATAGCCATGAGATTAAGAGTGTGATCGGAGAGTTTTTGTGTTCTTCTGCGGCGGGTCTTGCAGAACTTAGCTCCGACCGCATGGACAGTTTCCACGAGCTTGTCGTTCATATCGTCCACTGCATTGTAATCCTCTAGGCACTGGAAAGCGGTTTCGTAACTCGAGCTGAAAGGTTTCGGGACTCTGGATTAGAGCACGAGGGGGACAGAACGTTGACTTCATTAGACGAGACCTCTCCAACTTAACATTTAGGTTCAGTGTGCCTCTAACCATTCGGTGATCGCTGCCAGTTTTCACCCTTGCGATCACTGAGATATCACTGAACAGTTGGCGTCTGGTCGTCATAATGAAGTCAATCTCATTTTTTGTCGAACCGTCGGGGCTCGACCAGGTCCACTTCCTGTGGGGCCGCTTCTGGAAGAAATAGTTCATCATAAAGAGTCCCTCTTTCTCCATAAAGTCGGCCAGCTGCTGGCCCCTTCGGTTCCGTTGGCCTACTCCAAATTTCCCCACCTTCAGATCACCGCGATGTATTTATGTGGATATTAAGGTCTTCAGAGGAACTTCTAGATCCTACACCTTCATTTGTTTTAGAACCATCCGTTAAAACTTTAAGCTCTTTTAGGTTTAGTCCTTCCGGATGGTCAGTTTCATTCAATTGTATCTTGTACTTCTTATCGAATACAAATTGTTTTGGGATCCTATCATACTTGGCTTGTAAGATAGGAATTTTTGATTATGTTCTATCGATTATGCCTGTATGGGGGACTCTACTCTTACTTAAAAGATTTAGAGTCTTGAGGCAGCTAAAGTTGCTTCATGTTGTATATGTAGATGAAGTGGGGTTAGACCCAGTATAGCCTCTAAAGCTGCTGTCGGTGTAGTTCCTATGCAACCCGTGGCAGCCATACATGCCGATCTCTGGTAAAGGTGAAGCTTTTTTATAGTGGTGGCTTCATTAGTTTTGGTCCACCATACAAGAGAGCCATATGTGATCATGGGCCGAATTACAATTTTGTACAGCCACAGTATAATTATTAGCCTCAAACGCCTTTGTTTACCAATCATGTTTCTGCATTGCCAGAAAGTTAAACTAGCTTTGTTGATTTTGTTTTCTATGTGTTTATTCCAGTTAAAATTACTGTCCAAGGTAAGACCTAAGTATTTTACCTCGGAGGACAGCTGGAGTTTTGTGCTGAAAAGACTTGGGAGATGATAGTTATTCAGCATTCGTTTTTGTGTGAACATTACTAGAACCGTTTTGTTTGGATTATGGCCGCAGGTATCCATTTACTGTAAGCACTCACCATCATGCGGACAGTAAGTTCATTTGACTTATCATTTTAATGACAAAGAGAGTCATTCATGAAGTATACCGCCTTTTCGCCTTTTAGAATTCCACTACTAAATATATGTGTCAATTACCCAAGTGTGTCAGGTGGTAACCGCAGTTTTTTTAGTTTATATATGATGTTTTTTTTTGTTTTTAAGGAAAAGAGTCATCTAAATTTGTTTATCACACAATCAATCTTATTCACATTCAATCTTATTCATGTAACTAAATAAATGTCGGGTGTAGGCTCCTCTCATATTTAAAATACTGAGGAATAGTCAAGGACATTACTCAGTGTATATTGGCCGATTTCATGTTTCCCACCTAGAGATGTATTCCTTCATTATATATTCAAATTTATTGTAAAAAGTGTAAAAATGCAAAATATAATAAAAAATAAAAATATACATTTCTTCGCAACCTTCCGATAAACAAATACAATGATGTGTCTTACCTGGATTGAAGAACACCTCCCGCCCTCCCTCAATTGCATGCACTAACTCCGTCACCACTAGTCCCAGCACCACTACTCCCAACACCACTATTCCAGGCAAGACACACCATCGACGATAATACGACACGTGTTTCGCCTAAGTTAATAAACTTCAGCATACTTATTTAAATCACACTGTAGTGTGAGTATAATATAAACATTATTAAAACTATTCTTACATTAGGGCCCTACTAAATTTAAATAAACTCTATGAAAAATGGAATATCCTATAAATCGGTTATAACCATTGGCACATATTGCTGACTTAGCGGTCAGCCGCCGTAGAGTCTACATTACCTGAAGATGCCTCGTGTAGAGGCGAAACACGTGTCGTATTATCGTCGATGGTGTGTCTTGCCTGGAATAGTGGTGTTGGGACTAGTGTTGACGCAGTTAATGCATGCAATTGAGGGAGGGCGGGAGGTGCTCTTCAATCCAGGTAAGACACATCATTGTATTTGTTTAGCGGAAGGTTGCGAAGAAATTTATATTTTTATTTTTTATTATAATGGAAAGCAAAGTAACGCCTGATTCTATCAATTATCTTAATGCAAAATATGTATTTGAATTGAAATTAATTGTATTAGTTTATTGTTTCAGGATCCATCATCGCCACTCATTGCCGGAATCACGGCATGGCGCATTTTGAATGACGACCCATTTTATAAACTTTCGGTGGTATCCGACCAACTGGAAGCGCAGTTGGCCAATGAGAGGTTCCAGCTTTATATACCATTTGTTACGTCCAAACATTTGGTAAGCATTAATAGATCTTATTTAAGTTATGTGATTGTTATAATACTATTCAACCAACCCGATTACCTAGTCCGGCCATAAGTTCTGTTACAAATGAAAATGCATTTTTTAATGAAGTATTGTAATATTACTAAAACTTATGTGGTACATATTTATTAAAGTCTCAGCAAAAAATAAAAACAATATTCTATTCAAAATGGCCACCTTTGGCTTTTATACAGGCCTTCAATCTGCCTGGCCACGAATTTATGGATTTACGAATTGTTTCCTCGGGAAATTTCGCCACTGCTTACTCCAGAGATTTTTTAAGAGACTCGATGTCGGCGTGTTGTTTAGAGCAAGCCATGTCCTCTAAAACTGACCATAATTTGTAGTCTAAAGGGTTGAGGTCTGGGCTAGATGAGGGCCAGTCTTCAGCTCTTATAAAGTCCGGAACGTTGGTTTCAAGCCAGGCTTGGGTAGTTCTTGCCTTGTGACCAGGTGCAGAGTCCTGCTGGAAAGTTCACGGTACATTTTTAAAAAAGTGTATTGCTGAGAGGTTTCACAATACGATCCAAGAGTGTCCCTTGATACACTTTCGCTAAAGCTTTCACTTCTTTTTCACAAAAATATAGCTTTGTGACGCCTTGCGTTCCTAAACACAAAACATCGGCTTTCCGAGGTAGTTTTAAGTTTATGGCAACTAAGTTTTGGAATGATCTCTCACCACCGCTACGCACTATGACAATTACAACCAATTTTAAAAAGAATTATAGACGTCACTTACTAAGCGAACAATTACTGTCATAATCGAATTATTTTTACTAAATTACAGGGCCGTATTATAAATAAAATAAATTAACATTGCCAGCAGGCGGTAGTAGACTTATAAGTTAAGTTTACTACCGCCTGCTGGCAATGTTCATTTAAAAATAAAAAAGTAATATTCTTTAAACATTAAAACTCGTGCGAATGTTATATTGATAACATGTTGAGTATTGTGTTATACACTGACCTGGATTTTTCTTACTCTTAAAAGGTTTTTATAAAGCATTACATTCATAGATATAATATTTTTAATATAATCGCAATGTGCTGGCGACTTTTTTTTAACTAAATTGTAAAATAATAATTATATTTTTTAATACTAATTCCATATTAATATGTAGGTTATATGCCGACAATTAGAAATAATATAAAGAGTGGTTTATAGTATTTCTTAATTTAGTATGTCTTTTATTTACTTTTTTACTGTTTTGGATAAAACCTGCAAAAACGTCGCGTGACTTTATTCAAAGTAATATTTTACAGTGACATAAATTTACAATTATTTTAAAATTAATTTTAGAAACGGCTTGGCTGCTATCACCTGAAAATGCTGGGCCGTTTTTTTTAACAATGTATTCATTAATATTGTAATAACTATTTTAATACAATCTTTGTTTAATGAAAGAAAAATGAATTTAGCAATAGACAGACCTTGTGTATATCATGACGATAAACCTTGTATGTAAAGCAAAAAATCTTTTTAGGTTAAATAAGCTTCTCTTCTATGTAAAATTCAGAATTTGAAATAATAAAAATGAAAGTTAGTTCTATAAAGTAACTGCTTCAACACCACCGTTAACATTTGATGGTCTCGATTCTCTTCCTTATATATTGTACTTTAAGATCATATAATTTTCTGATGATGTTTTTCTTCCCAGCACATCAGTTTTGTAAATCTTCATTTAACTATTCAAATGCGGCTTACGGTTATTTGCCAAGATATTTATACTAAATATAAGAAATCATTATATTTATACTATTTTAATAATTTAATTTAATATTAATAATATAGAAACTTATATCGCCATTAAAGAATTCTATTTTTACGTACCAGAACTTCATAGTCCGCATGGAGCTGTCTAGTGACAGCACGAAACTGGTGTGTGTCCATTGCAACGGCGATGTGTCGGTGTGGAGGTTGCCCTTGCTGAAGCTGCTGAAGCGTTGGCCGCTTACTAGCCAGCCTGGCCACGACCTGAGGAATCCACTTGTTAAACCAGACAAGCAGACACATAAGGATGTCTCCCTGTTCTACCCGTACGATGTCAACTGGTGGAGTAATGAAGTAAGATCATATTTTTATAATTTATATTTACTAATGTTCTATTCTGCTGTAACTTCAATGTTTTTTTTTTATTGATTCGGCTAGCATTTGAAGTTGATTTATTTTGGACAGTGTTATTTACGTAAGAAACTATTTAAATATATGTCGGTACCTGCGCCATTGCACGTGCAGCAGCGCCTCGGTGGGTAGTCGGAATTATTGTAAACAACACGTGCACCGCACACCTGCGCATTGCACCTGCAGTGGCGCTCGGGTAGCTACTTGTCTCGAGTGTATAAAACGGACGGAGCGGCCGCCGTTAAATCAGTCATGGCTCTGGCGTGGCGCGGTTCACTTGTCGTATCCCGCTGCTAGCTCATCCTAGACTATTCGGATAATTAATTCGTGCAAACAAATTAATTATTATCATCAGCTATTAAATTAGTCTCAGTACAATTTATAGTTGATTACCTGTGTATTTTGTGATTGTAAATTAATTCTATTTAACAACCTTCCTACATATATTTAACACAAAATGTGTGATGCCCATAATTTGTACACATGCAATAAATATAAACTTGCAGTTAACAAGTACAGACTCCATAAAACTAGTTGCTCATATTTGAATAGATGTATAACTGTTTGAAGGTGGAAAACCGATACTTGAAGTCCTTCAGAAGCTCTTTAAACCCGTCCTCCTTGGTGCCACTACTCAGGAGGCGTGGAGCAGAAGTTTTTTATTATAGGATAGGGTGACAAATGAGCTCACAGTCCACCTGATGGTAAGTTGTTGCTGTGGCCCATAGAATCTACATCTATCCTCGAATCAAAATGCATGTGTTGTCACACGTGAGTACTAAGATGGAATGCCTCTTTTCCAGTAAAAAGGGTCTCCGGTTCTCTGCACTTACCATACGAAACACTGCAGCATTAATTACTATTTTACGCTGGTAGTCTCTGAGAGTGTGTTCCTTCCCCGGTCGAGCCGACCCATTCGTGCTACAACTTACTTCAAGAAAGGCGACAATGCAGCTTTATGTACAGTCAAGCTTAAATAATCTTAACTTTGTAATACACAAACTAAATGATAACCTGGAAGCCATAAGAGAATAGTCATGTAAATATGGCGTTTCTGTTAATCCTGCCAAATGCAAAGTTATCATATTCGGAAGTTCGCAATTATTGGCTAAGGTTGATTATGGAAATCTCTCTTCTGTAATTTATAATGGAATTTTGATTCCATATTGTGATTCCATAAAAAATCTTGGCCTGTACATGGATAAAACTATGACCTGGAAATTGCAGATCTCTGAAGTTAGTCGTAAAGTTGTTGCTACCTTGCGTTCCCTTTATCGTCTTAAAAATTTCCTACCTTTCAAAACCAAGCTTACGCTGGTTCATTCCCTCATTCTACCTATTATCGACTATGCAGATGTATGTTACCCAGATCCGTCAGAAAATCTTCTAAACAAGTTGGAGCGCCTTCTTAATAATTCCATAAGATTTATTTTTGGTTTACATAAGTATGACCACATATCATCCTATCGTTCAAAGCTTAAATGGCTACCTATACGTCAAAGGCGATGCTCTAGAATTTTACTTGTACTTTATTCAATTTTAAACGATCCAAGGTCGCCCTCTTATCTTAAGGATAATTTTCATTTTTTTTCATCCGATCGACGGTCGAACATCCCGACAGTCAAACCGTCTGAGGTTAAGGTTTCCACAGCATAAGTCAAATTTTTTTAGGTCGTCTTTTACGATACAAGCTATACAACTTTGGAACACCCTCCCTAACGATATTAAGAATGCCGCAAATAAAAAAGTCTTCAAAGTTCTTCTCCGAGAACATTACCTGAAGGAAACTACTAATTAACATTATTTTCCTTCATTTTTGTCTTTATTTCTTCTTTTTTACTTCAGATATTTATTTCATTATATATTATTCAAACATCATATTATATATATCATTCATTTGTATATTTATTTACGAAGTTTATAAGCATGTATATATATATATATATATATATATATATATATTAATGTAATTATTTACGTATAATGGTCGCACCTGCCAACAATTGTCCTTGGCACCCAGGGTTGACTGGCAGAGAATGCCACATGGCATTAAGTCCGCCCTATGTACCCCTTTAGTTTAAGGTTTTACGTTTAAGTTTTTAAATAAATAAATAAATAAAAATGCTCTTTTGAAAAACTATAGACTGATTTCCTTTCTGAGCCACGTCTACGTGCTGTTTTCGAGAGTCATTACGAATCGTTTCGCACAAATACTAACCTCTCGAACAAGCCGGTTTCCGAAAAGGCTTTAATACCATAGACCACATACATACCCTTTGGCAAGTTGTACAGAAGACTGAAGAGTAAAATCTGCTACTTTATCTTGCGTTTGTGGACTATGAGAAAGTCTTTGATTCCGTCGAAATTTGGGCGGCGCTGCAACCCCTTTGGGGGTGCTAAATTGTCTGTCGGTATATCGCTACAGTAGGACTACGATGGCTATCCGAGTACAGAACCAGAGTAGAACGAAACCTACCCAAAATCAATAAAACAAAGACTGGACTGGAAAAGATATGGTATTAACGTCAATGGCGAGTACATCTCTCGCCTTCGATTTGCCAACTATATGGTCGTTATGGTAGAATCGCTGGAGGACCTAAGCACTATGCTCAATGACCGCAATAGTGAACGTGAACAGTACAAAAGTCATGTGTAATAAGATTCATGTCACACCTATGCCGGTGGTTATTGGGAGTACTAAGCTCGAAGTTGTTTTCGAGTATATTTACCGGGGCAAATAGGCCGATTTGCTTAGTTCAACTTCGACCGCGAGGTCAATCAACGGATTCAAATCGGCTGGGCAGCGTTCAAGAGATTACGACACATCTTCTCGTCAGGTATACCTCAAAACTTGAAAACGAGATTGTACTACCAGTACGTGTTGCCCGTGATGACTTATGGATCTGAGAAGTGGTCCTTCACTGCTGACCGTATGGGGACGCTCAAGGTCGCTCAGAGAACTATGGAGAGGGCTTTGTTTGGGGTTTCTCTGCGTGATAGACTTAAAAACGAGGATATCCGCAGTAGAACCAGAGTAACCGACATAGCGCAACGGATTACTAAGCTGAAGTGGCAATTGGCCGGTCATATAGCTCGAAGAACTGTCAACCGATGGGGAAGAAAGGTTCTCGAGTGGCAGCCTCGTACCGGCAGGCGTAGGGTAAGGAGGGCCTCCAATAGATGGAGTGACGACCGGTGAGACATGATTGAAGTCATTGGATGCAGGTGGCTCGGGATCGTCCTTTGTGGCATTTCTTGGGGGAGGCCCATGTTCAGCAGTGGACTTGTGAAAGGTTGTAATGATGATTATATAACTTTTTGTTTTTGTGTGTTTTGTAACAAGATTCCCTGTAATATTATTGATTGAATTTTGTATAAATTTGAAGAAAGGATATTATAGTCAACTTTTGACTTTCTTGCAGCTCTACTCACAAGGTCTCCCGCAATAATTTATTGAAGAGATGGCGTAGTTTTTGACTTTCAAAAAGTGCTTTGTAAAAGACAATTTTGAATTAAAATATTTCACTTTGACTTTGATTGCATTAACTTAATGTATATTTTATTTTTGGATATTTAAAGGTGTTGAATGATATATACAGGAAATCATTTTATCGAGGTTCAGTGGTGCTGTGAGCGTGTGTGACACTGAAGACATGGTTAACATTCTCGGAAAGAAACCCGAATTCTTCCAGGGAACGCCGCAGGTTTGTATTCCATTAATATTTAAATTTTGATTAATTACATGTACTAGACTTGTTTAGATAGTGTGTTAGTGTCAGGTGTCAAAAAATTAGCTCAGCTGTTGGCGTCTTTAAAAATTTTAGCAGCTTAAGCTCATTTCTGAATTAATACAATCGTACGTTACGATTTTGCAAAAAATATTAAATGTTGTTACAATGGTGAAATTGTTTCAAAATATTTGTCAGACGAGATAACTTATCTTTGAAACGGTATGTTGTTACAAGTTAACACTAATTCATTTTTAATTAATTTATCGTGTCATTGGATATAATACGGCTTTATGCTCATAGGGAAATCATCTAACAACAATGCGAAAGTTTTTTAAATATCACGCACCGCAATGTAATCGATCCCCGCCGACGGCAAAGAAATTATTAATTGTAATTTTTAACTTCTTAAGTTTCGTTAGCACGTGTTAGGCGGTGAAGGAAAAAGACATGAAGTCCGCTACACGCATTGGGGCAGCGCAGCGAATAATTCGTTACTCTAAAAACATCTCAAAAATGAGAAAAGCCCAGCGGTGTAACGTGAACACTGTAAAGGCTGTAACATAACTTTTTTACTTTCAGGTTACACGCGCTTACCATGGCGCATTTATGTCTTTAGAGTGCGAGTCGAACGTATTACCAGCTAAGAAATCACGAAGCGATGAAAGCGTAAGTAAAATAGGATTTATCATCCTATTACTATTTTGGCTGTATGTAGTCGTAAATTCCTTACGGATAAAAATGGGACTAGAAATGGCGACTCAATGGGCTCTTATCGTCAACCACCAATGGCGAAAACCCGTTAATAACGGTGTTATAACGTTATATTATTCAGTTAATTGTAAATTTTCTCGTAACTGAAAAATATTTGAAAAGAATTTTATACGCAAGTAGGTAAGTAGGTAGATAGGTAGTACATTATATTTTTAAAATAACATTTATAACTAGCTACCCGCTCCAGCTTCGCCTGGGTGGGATCTATTAATGTGATGTTATTTAGACTTAAGATAATCATGAAAGACCATTTATTTCATCTTATCGATATTTCCATTGAAATCCCCAAATTTTTTCGGATAAAATTTGGTCTACATCAATTCTGATATTAGTCCATATTTGTTTGTGAAGTTTTATTATAATCAGTTCAACCATTCGGAAGTTTAACTCGGACAGACAGACAGACAAATAAAAATGATTTATACAAAAATATTAATAAACAAAATCAACAATAATTATTAAGAAAACTCTTAGAACGCGCCTGGATCAAAAAAGCGAAATCGGACTGAATTATGTTTTGTAGTTTTTGGCATTTGTTTATCATTAATGCCAATTAGTAGTCAGAATGAAGTTATAGGATGTAGAAAAAACGCTTATCACAACGTATTTTTTTTTAGTCTACCGGCGGGTGTGAGTAGGTATACACAGGTCACATATCTTACATACCTAAGTTTAGTGACGCTCTGAGGTTCAGCCTACTGATGTAAAATTTAGTGTACTGCGTAAATTTTATCTCCAATAAAGAGTCAATTTTCAGTTTTATATTTTAGATTGCTTTATTATATATCGTTTAAATAAAAGCAGTGTTAAATATTTCAAATATTTTTTCCTACTAGATGGAAGTTGTAAAAGTGGAGGAAGACACGGACGACTCCATGCTAGAATTGACTAAGGAGTTATTCAAAACAATCCTGTACGCCATCACAGACATGGAGACGTTCCAGCCAAAGCCCAAGAAGATAACAGTAGTGTCTCGCATTTATCGTCTACTGGGAGTCAAGAGCACCACCCCCACGGAATTATTTTCGAGAAAGGTATTTTAGTTTATGAAGGATGAGGGAAGTTTATATAAAGAAAGCCAAGTAAAGTTCTCAATATTTTATTATTATTTATTGTTATTAATTCAAATATTCACAACCCTTTCGAATATTGGTACTATATTCTCTGAAAAACTCGACATGACAAAGAATATAACTGTATTATATTAAAGTACTTATGTGTTATTAGGAGTTTGTAGGTCAGGGACTAAACGGTCGCTGATAATCACACCGTACCCGTGTAATCCGGAAGCCCGTCTGCACCGCTGAAATTGTTAATTACAATTTTAAGTGCTGATTTTACGAAGTGATCTAATTCTGAGCTGTAATAAATAAATGAATAAACGCTATACCAACAGATCGAGAGCGGGAACTATTCAGAAGCGCTGAATCTGGCGGAGACGTTTGGGTTGGACAGTGACCTCGTGTATCAACAGCAGTGGAGGAAGAACCCTGTCTCCACTGAAGCCATACAGAAGTATTTGGTAAGCTTCTGCCAAATTAACTTTGAAATGTTGTTTTAGGTAGGATAATTGTAACTTTAAAAAAAGTTAAGAGTAAAAACGAGCACATAGTCCACCTGATGGTAAAGTGTATGTTGTGGCACATAGACTCCTACATGTATCTTCAATTAAGAATGAAAATGAAGATGTGTTGCTCTAAAGAATTAAGATGAAAGATTTTTTACCAGTAAAAAGAGTTTCCGGTTCACGTTATTCAGAATACGAGACCCTGAAGCGTTATTTTGGTATTTATACGTGGTAGAGCCATGCTGTTATATTAGTAGTATAGTTGCAGCACGAATGGGTCGACTCGACCGGGGAGGGACCACGCTCTCACAGAATACTGGCGTCAAATAATAGCTTAATGCTGCTGTGTTTCGTATGGTGAGTGTAGAGAACCGCAGACCCTTTTTACTGGAACCGAGGCATTCCGTGTTGGCACTCACGGGTGACATCGCTTCTGCATTTTGATTCTTAATCGAGGATAGATGTAGATGTCTATGTGCCACAGCAACCGCTTACCATCGGGTGGACTGTGTGCTCGTTTGTCACCCTATCCTATAAAAAAACATTTTGTGAAAGTGTGATTCTTCCCGGTGACACGGACCAATTTGTGCTGTCTAACACGCAAAAATCTTTAAAAAACAGTTAACATTTAACCCTCTATATTTTAACCATTTTTTTCTGTATTTTTTGAGTTTGATACGTATATATTACTAGTATATAATAAATAATAACTAAAATATCGCATGTCATTACAATACACTGGATAATCTCAGCAGTTATGCTGCTGTTGATAGGTTACATTGAGTTATACTAATTTTCGACGTTTCAATGCTTGAAGTGCTTTATCCATGGTCAAAATAAGTTGATATAAGTCAGTCATACGCAATAAAATCCGTAAACTTAGTGATGTTCAATGTACAGTATTCTCGTCAATGCTGCTTCGTTGCTCTAGTGGTTGTAGCAGTGCGACTGCTGATTATAAGGTCCTGGGTTCGAATGCCGGGTCGGGCCAAAAAATTTATTATTGAATTTTTCCGTCAAGAAATTCTCAGTAGTTGCCCGGAGTCAGGAAGTTGGCGGTGTCTCACTCCCGTGCCTCGGAAAGCACGTAAAGGCGTTGGTCCTGCACCTGATCTCTCTCCGGTCATGTCGGTTTACCGTCCTATCGGATTATGAGAGTGAGGGAATAGATAGAGCACCTGTGCTTGCGCATACATTTGCGCACTATAATCCTGTCCTGCGCCGATGGCTAGTCTCCGTTGAGGCAGGCTGCCGTGGCCGAAATTCCGTCTGGAGGACATTATTATTATTATTCTCGTCAATATAAGGAATATCATAAAGTATTTAATTATATAATAATCACTAAAAATAATCGGAAATAGTTTTTATAAACAACATGTCTTTGCTTTTATCTAATTTGTTATAATATTTGACGTGTGTATGTATGCCAAATAAGTAATAAGTCATACTTAATGAGCAGCGTATTATTTTCAATTAAATCGTTCTAGCACTTTTATGTACTAAATTTGTTGGTCCTCCGAGCCAGACCACTGCTAGAATATGATATAATACAATATTCTATTTTAACAAGTCGCCAATCTACGCATGTCTACGTTGCAGAGCAAAGTATCAAAGAAGATTTGGGCAGTGCACCAGTGTGTAGACAGATTGCCAGAAACACTGCCAGCCGCAAAGGAACTGTTACAGTTCGGTCTGGAACTCACCAACGAAAGGATTCTTGATGGTAATGTCTGTCGATGCGGTATATTTTTCAAAATCTCTTAAGAGCTTGAACTTGAACCTTTTACTATTTCGATTAGGAATTTAAATAAAAAAATCTTCACTTTTGTGATTAAGCCAAACAAATAATTATTTAAAAATAAGGTACTTATGAATAGGTCTAGAAAATTGCGATTAAAAAAATCCGCTATAATTTTGAAGCAATATTTTCAGAAATTAATAAGGATAAAGGCGAAGACGAGCTGAAGGATCCAGACGATATAACTCTAGAGGATTTGAACGCTTACACCAGTGAGTTGCTGCGTTGCCGACACGTCATGCTATTCTATAAGGAGAGGCTGAGGCTGTATGAAGTAAGTTGATTTATGAAATTACAAATAAAAATTAGATAAAACGGAACAAATGACATACTTACGATATCAGGTTAATATTACATTTTAAACTTAATATTTTTTTTTATTTAATTATTGAGTTTTTCCGGCAAGAAATTCTCAATAGTTGCCCGAAGTCAGGAAGTTGGCGGTGTCTCACCCCCGTACCTCGGAAAGCACGTAATGCCGTTGGTCCTGCGCCTGACCTCTCTCCGGTCGTGTCGGTTGACCGTCCCTTCGGATTATGTGAGCGAGGGAATAGAGAGTGCACCTGTGCTTGCGCATACACTTGTGCACTATAATCCTGTCCTGCGCCGATGGCTAGTATCCGTTGAGGCAGGCCGCCGTGGCCGAAATTCGGTCTGTCATACAATAGACACAATTTTAAAAGTTGTCAAAACAAACATTTCTATCGAAAATGTATGTGAGTATAGTGTGATGACATATTTGTTTTTATGTTGAAATACTTTTATTTTTATAGTTTCAGTGCTATACATAAAATTACTTAAAACGAAAAAAAAAACATCATTTGATATATAAAATGCAAATTATATGATGTGGTAATTTAAATTATAAATAATGAGAACCTCCGCATTTTTTAGGTATGTTCCGAAACTTGTCACGTATTCTGCCGAATACAAATGACGTCATTAATTGGCGCCATATTGTACTGGCGTGCCTCCGCCATATTGTGTCTGATATCCGGCCATAATGGGTGCGTTTGGCTGAAAAAAGCGCTAGCAAGCGCTTGTAAGCAAAATGGCGAAACTAAATAGTTTTCGGCCAGGACACGTTTACTAACTTCAGTAGCGCTCACACAATTGCGCCATTTTGCTTATTTAATTTGTTGTTTTGAAGTAGAGTTTATAAGTTGTTTTGTGCAATATTAGTTTTAAGTAATATAATGACATGAATAGACATATACATGTTATTAAAAATTTATGATTGGTAAGTTTTTAATATAAATACTTTACAAACTTATATTTAAATTAGATTAGGTTCCCCGGTTAAAACTAACTTCGTGTCCTAGAGTAAAATAGCTACTTACGATTTGACAGCGCTTACCGCTTTCGATCGCCATTTTGCTTACAAGCGCTTGCTAGCGCTTTTTTCTGCCAAACTCAAGCAATAGAACAATTTTTAATTGTGTGTACGCTGAATGAAGCATGCCAGAATTTGTTTTTATTTATTCTAATACAAAAAATTATGGAATAATTGTTGGTATATCCATTAGAAGGATATAATGATTTTTAGAGCACAAAATGACAAAATAATCGCCAACACTTTTTCAATATGGCGCAAATATGACGTCATATACTGTTCTAACTGTTCTAACGAATCACCAGTATAGCGTCGATTCATGACGTCATTTGCATTGGACAGTACACTGGGTTCTATTTTGGAACATACCCTTTATGTCGAGCTAAAACATAATTAAAATATATATCCTGTCCAACCATTACAGTCTATAAAAGTCCACTGCCATATGTCCTTCCTCCACATAGATTGCCTTACGTATATATATATATACATATATATATATATATATATATATATATATATATATATATATATTTACAAAGTGCGATTATCAAATTACACAAGTCGTATTAAGTGTCACTATAGATGAACATAATAAAAACAAATGTCAAAAATTCTAAAGTGATAATTGTAGGAAATACTAAAATGGGAGAAGTCAACATATATCAAAGACGAGTATGACCGCCTTCGGAGCAACAGTATAGTGCACAGCGCTATGGAGATCGCCAAAGAAGGCCGTATAGAGGCCCTGACTTGTCTCTGGCCGCACATCAAAACTATTGCGATGAAACTAGAAGTCTTGGGGAACCTACCGGAGACAATCAACCCATTGGACTACCAACATCTGCTGCCAACTAAAGAGCCATTTCAATGGTTTGACGAAAAATCCCCCATAAAGATAAAGCCGTCAGAAGTTGAGAAGGATTGGTGCCGAAAGGAAATATTTAGGTAAACATCTTCATATTATTTTATAATATTTTGCAATTTTAGTTACTGCATTTAGTGTTGTCATATCACTTTCGCTCTGTGGCACCAACGAAATCCAGCAATCTATTATAATTTCATTCCAGTTTCTGAAGAGGCGACTTTTGAATATATTATAAAGGTTTCACAGTCTCCAGTTGTTTTTTGTAAATTTATTATGTGTCAGATATAAAGTATCCTAACCAGTGCGAGACATCTGGTATTGCGATCGTTAATCCGCCTGACTTGCTTGGCGATTTTGAATTATGTTTTCTTTCTTAAATGAAACTTATTTTTACGAATTCTACCGCGTTTAATTTAACTTTTTAGTTCCTGAAATTTCGGGTGCTTTACACCACCCATGGTCACGGGGGGTCTGAGTGTTTGTCGTCCCAATGTCATGCTACCTTCAGTTTTTGATTATTAATTTTTGGTAATTTTTGGTGAGCTTACAGTATCTTGAAGTCTTGCAATGGTATGCTTGGGTTTGGATTTAATTTTATTAATTATAGGAATATATATTTGTGAAGTTATTAAAAACATTGTAAAAATGTATAAAACTAACATATAAGAGCTGGACATTTTTTCGTAAATTGTCAGTGTAAATTACGAAAATGAGCGATCATAGTGTAGAAACGAGAATGTGGCATCAGGTGGAGATATAAGATCTTACTCTTATATCTCTACCTGATGCTCTTCCTCGGAGGAAGAGACGGTGCCCCCGCCTTACAAAAGGCCAGGGGTATCTCGCGGAGAGAAATTTGTTTCCCCCAATTATGACCTAGGTGTAGATTATTATTGACACAGGTAGGTTGCATTTCCAACTACCTAATGCAATTGTCGCAACCATCGACATCTAACACTGACAATTTTACTAGTACTGAGCCCCTGAAACAAGTTCAGAGACTTCTAGGTCATCTAATTTTGTAAACTATATTGTTAATCAAGGTCAACTAAATTGTCGAAGACTTCAGAATAATATAGGGTGACCCCCCACTAGATGGAGTGACGACCTGGTACGACATGCAGGAAGTCCATGTATACAGTTGGCTCAAGATCGTGCTTTGTGGCATTCCTTGGGGGAGGCCTATGTTCATCATATGTTGATCTTGTGAAGGGCTGTAATGATGATGATGATGACGACGATAGTTAGTTTCTTTTCTACTCTTACACAATGGTAAGTTGCATTATTCATAATGACAATTGAGTTTGGTGGGAGTTAAAGAACCAATTTTTATCCTAACCAATAAAAAAATTGTAAAGTTCATATCTCCGTGATAATCCCCCGGTTTCGAATCCGATTTAAAAATCAGCAACGCGTTGTAGACTAATCCGTTTCGACTACCAGCGTCTACTATTATTAAGCACCTTTTTTTGCCTATGTTAGTATCAATTCCAGGCAATCCGATTCAGATTCCTAAAATGTCCATTTGACGACATTGTTTGACGTAGGTTTCGTCCAAAATATAAATATTTCCTTTGTCTAATCTGTACTTTCTTATGGCCCTCAAGTATTTCACTCGCCATTCAACAATATTTGCTCTCTCTATTAAAATTGATCGACGCTTCGCTAGAGTAAAACCTTTACTCTTGATCTGGCAGGCGATATTTCAGTGATGCGCCGAAATATATAAAATAAAAATAAAAAATAAAATTTCCTTCACTATTAGATTCGTTAGGTGGCGCTGTTATCGAAATCCAAAAATCCCCCGTGCGAAGACGGGGCAAGTTGTTAGCCATATGAAACAATAACATTAATTTACTATTTCACGCTGGAATTCTATAAGAATTCCTTGGTTCGAGCCGACCCATTCGAGGAACAACTTGATCGCTACGGTAATTAATATATCGCGTATATGCTGAATTATTTTAAATGCAAATTAAAATACTAAGTATCAGTAAATCAAAAGTAATAGCGTCATAGAGATAATTATACATACATAAACATACATAAACATTCACGCCTGTCACCCAGAGGGGTAGGCAGAGACTACAGACTTCCATTTGGCACAATCCTGACACACCTCTCTCGCCTCCTTCACATCCATAATTATGTAATTTTATCTTTTTTGAATACGCTCTATGGTTTTGTCACTTAAGTTGTTGGATTTTTACGCTCCCCCTTTTCCGTTTAATAACTTATTGAAATAGTGTAATATTGTTAAAATTGTAGTAAACATCGAGAAGTAAAAATAAGTTAAATTAAACGCAATTAAATCCGTAAAATTAGTTTTATTCAATATTAGACTAAAATTAAGGTATAAAATAAGGTATAAATTAGGTTAAAATTTGGGTGTATGTAGGTCGATATGGAGTTCGAACTGGTCGGAGGACGCCAGCCCAGAGGCGGAGAGTGCGGGCGACAGCGAGTACGTAAACAAGTGCGCGAACGGGTGCGAGAACGAGTGCGTGAAAGTGTTGACGAGGGAGTACTCATGCGTGGGCTCGTGCACGTGCTTGTGCTTGTGCTCGTGCGGGCACTGGGCGTGGTATGAGCAGCGCGCGCGCGAGGTGGAGCAGCGCAGCGGGCTGGCCAGCCACGCGCTGGCGCTAGTCACCATCGCGGCCGTGGGCGGCGCCGTGCCCGGCCTCGACCGCATCCTCTTCCACCTGCTCACGCTTGTCACGCTGCTCTACGACCTCAACCTGGAGGGTGTCGCGCTCGCAGACCTCGAGCCCTTGACCCCGCTCGAAACCTGCACGCTCCTGATGAAGATGGTCAGTTGTATTTTTTTTAAATAAAAATGACAAACGTTCACACAGCCCACGTGTTGGTAAATCCTCGATTAAAAATAAAATGCAGATGCGTGGTCACCCCCGAGGAATAAGATGAAATGCCTCGTTTCCAATAAAAAGGGTCTCCGGTTCTCTACACTCACCATACGAAACACAGTAACAAATCTGTTATTTTACGCTGGTATTCTGTGGTCAAGCCTACCCATTCTTGCTACAAATATAATAAATTGTTTATATTCTGTGTATATTACGTATTATATATGTCATGTTTATATTGTGTTTGTTCTATGTTTAAATCATAAACATCGTATTAACACCAATATGAAAAGAATAGAATCGAATAATTTCTTTATTCAATAAAGATGATCATATGTAATTCTTATTGAATTAATTTTTTACTTTACCACTGGTTCAAAAAGTTCAATAAACCTCTGCTTTGGGAAGAACCAGCTAGAAACCCAGCGGGACTTTAAAAAAAATTACAATATCAATAAATTTAAGTATTTACAAATTTATTTTAGAAACAGCTTGGAAGTAACCACTTCATTCCCAGGGGTTATTACAACCATGTATTTATTTACAATATAATAACCCTTTTTATACAGTTATTGTTTAATTAAATATTAAAACTTAGTAGTTGACCTTGTATGTCGTTTCAGTCGACGCCGGCGACTTTTGTATCGGACCTAAAGCAGTACGTGATTCCGTACCTGAAACGCTACGAAAATCTAACCCAGCGCAGCGATGCCTGCCTCAATGGACTCATGGATTTCCTCGAGAGTATTAGCGTAGATGACCTCTCCTCAATTCTACTGGTGAGCATGATTTTACGTTCGTCCTCTTTTTGCAATATCAAAACATTTTCTAAACTCACTTTTTTACGATACCTTATTACTACCGCTAACTAGGTGCTGCAATCTCCGAACGAATTTGAATTGGATATCCGTACGCATCTTGAATTAGTGGAGAGGTGTCTCTTCGCGCACAACGGCACCGATCAATTAGATATGGCCTGCGACTTACTCAACACTATACTTAAGGAAAGGTTAGTAAAGGGTCCTTATTTGGTTATGACGTTTTGTTCAAATTTCTAATCTTTACGCAATAGATTTTATCTATTGCGTCGTGTTTGATTGTAGTTAAATAGTATGAAATTATTTGTATTTAAAAGAATCCAGAGAAAACAATATTATTATTGATGTAAGTGGTACTAAAGATGTCAAAAAAAATGAATCAGCTAAGATCTATGGAATAAAATAAAATGACGTGTCTTAAGGGGAAATATAACCTCAAATGGCTTAGCAAGATCCTCCGTTATGCCGAAAATATTGCAGCAATAATTTTGAAATAAATATATGGTAAAGTTTTTATATATTAATGTTTGTATATATTAATGTTAAGGATTATGTTAGACGAAAACACGATTCCGTAAAATTTTCTCGATAGAAAAAAAATCCAAAGTTACCTCCAAAATAAACAATAAACCGCTGTTATTCATAAAATACTTTAAATAAGATCATGAAACTTTGCATACTAACTGAACTCACTATAAAGCAGTGCTTATGTTACTTACTTTTTTTAAATACCATTATTTTCACTGTAAAAAGAAACTACCTAAACTATCTGCCTATTGAAGCGTGATTCCTGCCGCCCGGTCAGTTTCGCTTCGGCCTTTGAAGGGGGAAGTTGTGTCGCTTGCGAACAGAATACACATTACGCAACGGACGACGTAAAATTAAAATGGGAAATAACCGTAATAAAAATAAAAAGCGACTGGCTTGGCCTTAAGAAACAGGCATAAATGTGATAAACCTAATGAAATAAGTGTCTAACGACCTATCTACTTACAGTATTCGTGATTACAAACATGTAGGTACATAGCATACGATGCGCGGGCAAGTGGGGGCGAAATTAGAATTTGAGCTGACTTACTATATCCCCTTAAAGCTATTGTATATATACGTCCCACTGCTCTTTGCGGCCTCCTCTCATTTTTGAGAGGGTTTTAGTGCAAAGATGTGTCCGGCCTCAATGCGTGATGGCGAACTGCATATTTTTCGAAATATTTTTTCTTATTTCACAGACATGCAGGTTTCCTCCCGATGTTTTCATTCACCGCCGAGCACGTGTTGAAATGAAAATGATGCGACTTAAAATTGCAATTAACAATTTCATTGGTGCCGGCGGGTATTCGAAACCAGGTTGCTCACTTACTGTGAAATTTACAGCGAGCGCTTACAGTCTGAGATAGATAGACGTATCTTAACTAGTTTGAAAAGCACCTCTCACCATTCCTCAATTGCGTGCACTATTCCTGTCACCATTAATCTCCGCACCAATACTCTCAGCACCACTACTCCTAGTATTAATACTTTCAACACCTACACTAGGAAAAACACTGTCGACGATAATACGTTTTGTGTGAAAGCGCGGTCCTACCCCGGTCGAGCCTATCCCATTCGTGCTACAACCATAATATGTATGTTATGTTTATATTGTGTATATTCAATGTGTGCACAGTAACAATAATACTTTGAAATTGATATTTAACGTAGAAAAACTTCACCTCTGGATTCTTGATTTTGTATAAAAAATACATGTATTCGAAACACCCTTATTCCTAGGCCAGGTCGAAGGGAACCATTCGTGTTACAACCAAAATATAGCTGTATGTAGTGTGGCTGAACCATATCATATCATAATACATTTATCATCCCGTGGGTGCCATCAGAGGCGACAAACGGAAACAAAGGAGATGGGCAATAGCGTTTTTCTTATAACGATTAAAAATAAAAAGCTGGTGTTGCCAATCAGCTTGACAAGCGTGGTAATTATAGCAAATATCCGCACGACGCAATTGATCGGGGCGGCCTTTGTTCAATGTTTGCACGTGAGCAATGTTAATTTTGCACGATCGTGTGTGCGTGTGCAGCGACGGCAGCATCTCGGACAGCGAATTGGTGCGGCGCGCGGGCGCGCTGGAGCGGCTGGTGGCGGGCGCGGCGCGCGTGGCGTGGCGCGGTGTTCGCGTGGCGCCGCGCGACCTGCGCGACATGCTCGCCGACCGTGGACAGGCTGCGCGCCTGCTTGCGAGACTCGCGCGGGAGCTCTCGCAGCGGTGAGTGATGTACGTATGCTGCGACGGCAGCATCTCGGGCAGCGAGCTGGTGTGGCGCGCGGATGCGCTGGTGCGGCTGGTGGCGGGCGCGGAGCGCGTGGCGGGAACGGCGTGCGTGTAGCGCCGCGCGACATGCTCGCCGACCGCGCGCAGGCTGCGCGCCTGCTTGCGCGACTCGCGCGGGAGCTCCTGCAGCGGTGAGTGGTGTAACTGTGCTGCGACGGCAGCATCTCGGGCAGCGAGCTGGTGCGGCGTGCGGGCGCGCTGAAGCGGTTGGTGGCGGGCGCGCGGCGCGTGGTGCCGCGCGACCTGCGCAAATGCTCGCCGACCGCGCGCCTGCTCGCACGACTCGCGCGGGAGCTCTAACACCTACGTACCTTCTTGTTACGATTTGATTAAAGCAGCCAAACGTCTTATACCATACAGCCTTGTCTCATTTGTATTTTGTTCACAATACCACTGTTATACATTTTTAAATTATGCTTAAAATAGCATTTTTCCTGCACTTTCATAAATTGCGCAATTGAGTCAAACATAACACTAAGCAATAATAATATTATATTGTAGATAATAATACGTCTAGTGGTGTCGACTGTAGGTTTATTACTAACTCTCTTATTCTATCCTACATATATATATAAGCACACATTACACGCCCATCGGCAAAAAGAAAAAAAAACATTCACAAAAATATTTTTTTAAATGTAACATAACTTGGTGTACAAAAAAATTGTACATTATTTTAAAATATTAAAATTCTTATACCTACTATATCATATTTATAACATAATAAAATATCATAAACACCGTAATTTAAAAAAAATAACTTTCTATCTCTGTATTCAAATTTATTAAACAATCATCAATTTCTTACGTAATTGTAATGAATCTTTAAGTTTTTTTTATGAAATAATTTTAGTTCGCCTGTCATTACTGCATAACTTTTAAAATTTTCATATATAACTATTAATTCACTAGACTGAAAATACAGTTTTTAAAACAAAATAGGTATCAATAATATTATAAGGTGTTTAAAATTTTTTTTATATTCTTAAACTTAAACTATATTATTCATTTTAAATCTTAATAAATCTAAAAGAAGCTAATGCCATTGAAATAGTATCCTTACTTTTAAGTGGATAAACTTCAGCATACTTATTTAAATCACACTGTAGTGTGAGTATAATATAAACATTATTAAAACTATTCTTACATTAAGGCCCTACTAAATCTAAATAAACTCTGTGAAAAATGGAATATCCTATAAATCAGTTATAACCATTGGCACATATTGCTGACTTAGCGGTCAGCCGCCGTAGAGTCTACATTACCTGAAGATGCCTCGTGTATAGGCGAAACACGTGTCGTATTATCGTCGATGGTGTGTCTTACCTGGAATAGTGGTGTTGGGAGTAGTGGTGCTGGGACTAGTGGTGACGGAGTTAGTGCATGCAATTGAGGGAGGGCGGGAGGTGCTCTTCAATCTAGGTAAGACACATCATTGTATTTATTTAGCGGAAGGTTGCAAAGAAATTTATATTTTTATTTTTTATTATAATGGATTTCCGCAAAGTAACGCCTGATTCTATCAATTATCTTAATTGTTTATGTCGCAACACTTGTCACATCGATTTGCATAATTCGTAGGATGTTACTAATTATGTATATAGTATCTAACTCTGGTCAAAAGAATCTTTTCTTTGTATTACATATAGACAGTTAGTTGGCAAAAAATGATAGTCGTTTAATATTACATGTTTTGTCTCACGGCGGTCCTAGTGCAACATAATCGTAATCATTACAGGGATCAAATACAACTTACAATCTCAGCCGCGTAAGCACATATTATAAATAAAATTAATTTAACTTTCCCAATAGTTAAAGGTAGTTTGTACCTCTAAATATAGATTGTTACATTCAATTTTAAATTCATTTTGTATAAGTATTATACTTTTACATAGGTACATTAACAAAAAAATCATTAATTAAGTTATTTATAATTTCAAAAACCCATTTTTTCATGACATGAAATTTATATAAAAAAAAGAAAACACTACTAGGTACACATCTCAAGTTTGTTTTACGAAATATTTATTAACATTAAAAAGGCAATTTTATTTCAAACAGGTAACATAATTTTCGGTTCCGTTTTCTTTTATAAAGAAAAAACGTAAAAAGAATACTATTACATTAATAAATTTATAATAATGGTGTATTAATAGACTCTGTACTTTACTTTATAAGCAAAATATAAACCAAATATAGTTTAAAATGTACAAATTTTACATAAAACACATATGACAAAAAAATTCAACCAGATTTATTGTAAATATGAATCAATGTGCCTAAAATATGAAAAAAATATCTCGTAAATTCATATACAAATGTGGTTAAACAATTACGCACACAATACATACACACGCAACACATTTTCGCGTAGTTGTGTAAATCGATCCCTATAGTTATTACATGTGTAACTCGTTAGTCGCATTTTGGGTAGCATTAATAGTCCTAATACAGAAATGCAAAATAACTACACACTTTTTGATTTGCTCAGGCCTTTTTTCCCATAATTCTTGTACGTACTTTTATTTTTGACCTTTAGCTAGCTCTCTTTCTCTCTATTCACTTATATATATTTATTTATTTATTAGATACCGGGAATCGCAGTATTAATTCATTTCATTTATATTTTATTTCGTGATATTTATCACGCGGGTACTTTATAAATACATAAGGGCATTATATATTTACTTGGGTATTATATTTATTTCATTTTATTGGTACATAAAAATTTTTATCGTAATTATAACAAGATAAAAGTGTACCTTGGGTTGTGTGAACAACCTTGAGGTCTACGTTAAAGTCATTAAAAGAACTCCAACAATTGTCACGGAGGAAAACTAAGTTCACGCTGTGATCCAATGAAGAATATGACCTCCATGTACCATTACTGAGGGTAACACATTATTAAGGGTAACAAATTTAAGACTTCTATGGTCCCTAACAGTACTAATATGTGTAAACTCGTGTATATCATATGTACTGAAGGTACTGTTCCCTAGTACCCGTTACGCCCGATTTTATCATCCAATCACGGAAACATACCCTGCTCGAGGACTATATGTTATACCAGTGATGGACGTTACCGTATCATCTCTCCATTACCTATTTATTAAGGTCAATTATTTTCTTTTATATTTATTCCTTTCATGCTTTCATAATTCTCACTCTTAATGGATTCAATACTACCAATTTAAGCATCATCAAATATTTGGATGATCAGTTCAATATTGACGATACTTCATTCGTATTCCCATTTTTGAACATTTCTTTCTTTCATACTCGCATTGATATAAAATAAATTCTCGCATCTCGGAAGTATATTCAAATAATTATTATTTCCCAAAATACTCATATGTAATGGTAAAGTTACTAATTCATTCATATTATGCAGTGTAATATTATTCAATTCAAAATTTATGCTACAATTAAACTTACGTAAAAAATCTATACCTAAAATTCCAGAAGTTTCACACGGCAACTGCTTTATAACATGAAACTTATTATTAAATTTCAGCCCGTCAACAGACAATGTTAAATCAACAAATCCCACGGTTCGTAATTTGCCTCCAATTCCGTTTATTGTAATCGGTTTCTTTTGTAATGAAATGTTTAGTTTACTAAGCGTGTCATATTTAATCGCACATACGGAAGCGCCGGTATCTACGAGCCATCTACATTTGATACCATCTATTGCTAACTCAACACAATTACTATATTCGCAACTAAATATACTATTGGTCTCGAAAAAAATTCTAGATTATTTTCATTATTATCGTTATTAGGGTTAATTTCAATATTTTGAGAACTTTGCGATACGCGATATTCTGGTGTTATAAAATGAACTCGCTGGGCATTTTGACCACGAAAAGATCCGCGATTCTGGTATGAGTACTCACCATAATTACCTTTTTTTTCGCGGTGTTGTTGATTTCCACGCGAAAACTTTTGGGGTACCGGTTTCCTCCTGTTCACGTTATTTTTTGCTTGGGTATGCAAAGGGTATGTTTGCCGTGGTACATTATTGGATATATACCTACCACGTAAATTTTTACGCGTTCCTGAACCACCTCGATTCCCAAAATAAATCGATGGTTCGGTGTACTCTCTAGGTCGAACACTAGACGCCTCCTCATCCTTTGCAGCTCTAATAGTTTCTTTTAACACAAAATAATACTGAGTTGTCGATTTCGCAAGCCATTTGTGAAACTTTTAATAGCGATATTTTCATTTATAGGACGTAAAATTTTTATGCGCGTTTTGGTCACCATCGGCTTGGGAAATCGTCAAATCTACGAATAATTGTTCGATTTTATTGCCATAATTATCTAGGGAACTACTATTTTGTCTTATTTGCATTAGTTCGTTATGAATGGAATAGTGAATTAATAAATTTGACATAAAAACAAAAAAAAATAATGATAATTGGATGTAACATTTATAACTTATAATACATAATGATTGACAAATTAATGATTATACCAAGTATATGACATTGAGCTATAATAATAATCTAAAGTTGGTATTTCCTCTGATGCTGTTACATAATTAATTAGAAAGTTAACATATCAATTAAAAAATATTGAATAATTTATATGTTGTTAAAATTTCGATAAATATTGTTATAGTTACTTGTCCATTAAAATATACACATTACTATGGTAGAATATGCAGAACTAAATTATACCTAAACACCATTGCACAACCATATTGTTGCAAAACAAATATTATTTTTATCATTATTAAGTAGTTATTTACCGATTAATTATTGCGGTATAATACATAATTTTTAATTTTTCTGTTAATAGTATTAATGTTTTTCCTATTTTTTTGATGAATGATTTAAAAAATTTCTTTCCCCAGTTCTGCGTATAATTTTAATTATATAAGTATTAATATAATTTTACAATGGACATCGACACTATTATAAAATTAGACTTACATTCGGTGCTTTCAGATGTCTTGTATCTGCTACAGAACTTGACTAGTCGCTCGTTGTACCCCTGACTTCTTTCTGCTGCTCTGGCACTCGAAGATGTTCTTAGTTCTCCCCGATGTGGTTGGGCCTGGACTTCCTCGTACGCTTCTTTTTTTCTTAAGTTATTTATTCTTCTCTTGAAGGAATTTTGATTAAGAAGTTTTCTGTTCTTGGAATCTTCTTTCTAGGAACTTGTCAATATTGATTATGCTGTTAAAACAATGTTACTGGAGCTTTAATTTGTTTTTCAGGTATTTTCTTAATTTTTTCTATTACATTTTTCTTTAAGTCGACTTCGATTTCTCAAAAAAAATTGTAGTCTCTTCTTATATTCATTTAAAAAAATTATTTGTCACGCCCGGTATTATGTTCATTTTATTATTACATTATTTTCATATATTCATATTGACTAATTTATTTTCTTCACTAAATTACTCTATTTCTTATGCAGGTCCCGGCGGTGCGCTTGCATTGTAGCAGCGAACCGCCTGGCAGGGTCGCCATGTAATGTGGGGAGATTCGGGGAATAAATAATAATACGTCTAGTGGTCTCGACTGTAGATTTATTACTAACTCTCTTATTCTATCCTACATATATATAAGCACACATTACAATATTAGTATGTGGGCATTGATGTGGGTTACACGTTAAGTACTCTCCTAATGTGTTACTTATTTTATGTCTATTAAAATAAATACTGATCCGTTACATTGTGAAGTTTTTGGGAGGCTTTTGGGTGGAATTTTTTACGACAGCTTAACCGAGGTGACGGTTGATAATGATAATATCTCAACATCTCTGCGAAATAAAACTACTCGAGATTTATATCAACATCGAAGCATTAATTACATCGTTTCCACTAATAATTCACATGTTTAATACACAAAATGACACCACTTTTACGTTTCAAACCAAATAATTAATTAATTAAACCATAAAACTAAACCAGAAATTTGTCGGTTGTCATTTTCCTGCCAAAACTCCTCGGAACGATAAATTAGCAAACACGCGCGAACGAGCTCTACGATACCATTTCCATGGCAACCACGCGCACCAGTACTGCGGACCGCGGCGTCAAATAATCGGGACGGTTGTTCCTGTTTCAGTTTTACATTTTCTCAAATGCAGTTCTAAACAATCGCATTTTTTTTAATTTAAGGAATACATAGCGTGTTTTTACTTGGGATATTTTCGTTTTCAGTGACGAGAAACCGACGCAACAAGACTGGGAGTGTCTTCTCAAAGATATCCTTGAACTACAAAGCACTCTATTTGATTGTGTTCCTAAGGAGCAATGCTATGAGGTAATTTTTTTTATTTATGACATTAATACCCGATAAAATGTACTCATTAAATCAGTATACCTCTCTTATTATATGATGCTATTTTTTTCTTGTATAAATGGAACTGTTTGGCTGTGTATAAAAATAAGTTGTTATTTTTTTTAATTTTAATATTCATAAATTCTCGGCCATAGTTTGCCGCTTCCCTACTTCCCTTTGATATCTATGTGAGTGAAGGCGATAACAGCTAAATTCATCTTTTTTCACACTCACAAGCAGCACCTTTTCACAAGTATGACGACGATAGTCAAGCAAAGCGACGGAGGAGCCTTGGTTGCATTTTGAACGGAGTTCTCGGGACCGCTTGTGATAATCATTTCGTTGCCTCCGCAGCGAATGATATATTTTGGTTATTTGAATAAACGATTAAGAATCAAAATGTTAAAGCGTTGCCACATCTGAGGACTAAGATGGAATGCCTCGTATCCAATAGAAAGGGTCTCCGGTTCTCTACACCCACCATATGAAACACAGCAGCAGAAGCTGTTATATGACGCTGGTTTTCTGTGAGAGCGTAGTCCTTCCCCTTCCCTGATGGGGTCTCATTCATGTTACAAGTACAATAGAGCTGCAGAGTGACTTTACGTTAAATCTTTATGTATAATAATTACGTGTCACGTTGTTTGTCAGCGATGAACTCTTAAACTACTGAACTGATTTCATGTTGTATTACTTGCTCCAAATTGAGAGATGGATAGTTATTATCGTAATAAGTGAGCCTAAATATTTTTTATTGCGAATTTAGGGATTTTGAAAAGACCAAGGATCGTCAGAAAGGGCAGAATAAAGTCTGTCTAGTCTGCTAGTGTGTGTATAAATCTCTATTTTTTATAGGATAATTGTGACAAACTAGCCTATTGTGTACTTGATGGTAAGTGGATGCGGTGGCCTAAAGGCATCTACATCAATCCTCGATTAAGATTCCAGATGCAGATGTGTTGCCACTCCTGAGGACTAAGATGGAATGCCTCGTTTTCAGTAAAAAGGGTCTCCCTCCGGTTCTCTACACTGACCATACGAAACACAGCAACATTGAGATGCTATTTCACACCGGTATTCTGTGAGAGCGTGGTCCTTCCCCGGTCGAGCCGACCCATTTGTGCTACAACCGTAATAATAATAATAATGTCCTCCAGACCGAATTTCGGTCACGGCGGCCTGCCTCGACGGAGACTAGCCATCGACGCAGGACAGGATTATAGGGCCCAGGTGTATGCGCAAGCACAGGTGCACTCTCCATTCCCTCACTCTCATAATCCGATGGGACGGTAAACCGACACGACCGGGAGAGTGATCAGGCGCAGGACCAACGGCTTTACGTGCTTTCCGAGGCACGGGGGTGAGGCACCGCCAACTACCTGACTCCGGGCAGCTACTGAGAATTTCTTGACAGAAAAACTCAATAATTGATTTTTTGGCCCGACTCGGGATTAATAATAATAATATTAAATCATTTTATTTTTCTCTTCACAAAGGTATATAATTTCACATTATTTCTTAAATAATACGATTGTAGATAATTTTGACCTATGTGAGAGACTGGTGTCCATACTAGGGCAATCCCTGTGTTATAGATCACCAGGCCCTCACCCTAACGGATAGCACGTATTACATTTTCAAAAATACTACAAGAGAAATACAAAATAGGAAATATTTCAACAAGGAAAGATTCTATATGTTTTTTTAAGTTATTTCTATATGTATAATAGTGTGTATATATTCGAACCCAGGACCTTATGATCAGCAGTCGCACTACTACAACCACTAAACCAACGAGGCAGTAACCATAATATAGCTACAGCAAAGCTCTACCACGTATAAATAAGCAGTAATAAAGTTATCAAGACGAACTTCATATTTATACCCCAGGTAGTGTACTTGGCTAATGATTTTTTTAATTACCCACATTATTGGTAAATAACCCTAATACCGCGAATACATTGACCGCTCCTCGTAGTTAGCGTGGCAGCTATCCGGCCAGCCAGTGTAGTAGTTTTTTTTTATAGGATAGGGTGACAAACGAGCACGATGGTAAGCGGTTGCTGTGGCACATAGACATCTACATCTATCCTCGATTACGAATCAAAATGCAGAAGCGTTGTCACCCGTGAGGACTAAGATGGAATGCCTCGTTTCCAGTAAAAAGGGTCTCCGGTTCTCTACACTCACCATACGAAACACAACAGCATTAAGTTACTATTTGACGCTGGTATTCTGTGAGAGCGTGGTCCTTCCCCGGTAGAGCCGACCCATTCCTGCTACAACTATACTACTAATATGGCTGTAGTATGGCTCTACCACGTCAAAAGTGTAGATATAATTGATTGGGTGTAGCGCGTATAAACGCGTCGCTTTGAGTTGGGTGTGGTGTGTCGCGGCAGATCTACGCGTCGGCGCTACTGGCGTCCGGCACGGCGAGCGGCGTGCGACTGGCGAGCGGCGTGCTAACGTGCGTGGCGGGCGCACGCGCCGCACCGCCCGCGCTGCCATACGCGCGCTCCGTGCAGCTCGTGCTCGCCGCCGCCCGCGAGTACTTCAACTCCGCCTCCGCGCTCACCGACCCGGCCCTCGACCTCGCCAGGTGACCGACGCGTACTGAATTAGAGCCCTATCTCATTAGGATGCCATGGCATCGACGCCGGCAGCGTCGCCAATTATAACATATTAAATTCTATTAGGACGTACTTAACCTTAACTCACTTGGCGACGGCTTGGCGTCGACGTCATTTTGTCGGCGATGCCAGCTTAAACCCACCCGCTTGCTTGTCTTGGCAGCGGCGCCACGCTGTGTAGTGTGTGTGTAGTGAGTAATTCATCAAATGATAGCACAGACATCCTCACGTAATAAAAATATTTGTTAGGATATTTTCGTTAGTCGTCTTATAATTTGTAAAAATGCCATTTCTCATTCGATCGGCAATAACAGGGTGTACCCATAGTTTCTTTTTATTTTTTCGTTTTATTTGCCTACGGCAGTAAAGAATGAGGATCGCGATCTCTTCGACGTCCATTGTGGTTGCATGAACAAGCGATACTAATTTCACCTGACATCGGCTTTAGCGACTAGCTTTGGCGTCTCATGGACGCCAACGGTAGCCATGGAAGCACTGCCGGCGTCGATGCCACGGCATCCTAATGAGATAGGGCTCTAAATATTGTACAACGACTAACTGGCCTACTACATCGACACGACATATAATATACAACTGCTCTTACCACATTATTTATTGTGCGCTGACCTACATTATACAATTACGCTGGACTGCCTATATACCGTGACTTAATGAGGCGATTAGATTTTTGCCATTTTGGCGCTGAGAGCAGAAGTGATAGTCCACGGAACTAATAAAAAAGATAGGACAGTGTGACAAAATATATTGATGAACAGCCTTATTAAACACCCCCACTTTGGAGTGGAAAAAAATGTTTTGATAACTGGTTCGAGCGAATGGAAAAGTGCATTAAACTACGTGGTAAATACTTTGAAAAAGTACTATAAGGTTCTGGTTGTATTTTTTGGTCAAATATAAAAAACTTCGACAATTATTATGGACAAAGAACTCATATTGAATTTTTATGTTTATCAAAAATAGGTAGTTTAAAGCCAAAAATGTTAATAATAACATTTAATAAGATTAGTAAGATATTTAAGAGCCTATATTACCAAATACTTCCCTTTTTCCCGAATCAAAGGGGTAGGCTTTGGTAGTTAGCTTGGATATAGCGAAGGCCTTCGATCGAGTTTGGCCCAAAGCGCTTCTATCGAAACTTCCTTCCTATGGATTTCCCGAGATATTGTGCAAAAGAGTCCAGTTTTATCGTAGTAGGACAGTGCATGCTCCGATTTCAAGCCTATTAACGCTGGTGTTAACCACAAGGCCATGCTTCCCTTTCTTCTCTATTACATAATATCAAACGAATAACACATATGCATATTACATACAGCACTGGTGATGCTTTATACACAGACCGTGCTAATATTTCTCGGAAAAATATCACCGAGTACCAGAAAAATCTTTTATCTGAAGTCGAGACTTTGTTGTACGTCTCAAAAAGTCTCGGATTAGTGGAGACTAATTCTAGTACAGTTCAATCCCCAGAAGATACGAGTTTGCGCGTTTACCGCTGAAAAGAACCCCTTTGTCGTATCGTACGTATTACCGTAGTTTCAGAGCACTCCCCTTGTTGCCTCAGCCAGTATCGGAATCCTTGACGTCGACATATCGAATGACCTGCAGTTTCATGGTCAATTGGAAGAGAAGGCCGAATCAGTCTCTAAAAAGCTTGGCGTGCTCAGCAGCGTGAGACTGTATATCGTCGGCACACCGCCAGCAATTTTATAAGGCGCAGGTTCAGCCTCACGTGGAATACTGTTCCCATTTTTGGGCCAGGGCTCCCCAGTGCCAGCTCCTTCCATTTGATTCGACTGACGCTTCGAAGAGATGTTGCATTTATTAGCGTATTCTATGGTATCTACCATGGGGAGTGCTCATAGGAATTGTTCGGCCTAATTTCAGCCACTCAATTTCACCATCGCACATCACGACAAAACTCGAGATACCATCCATACCATCTGGATGATTGGCGGTCCACCAGTGTGCGATCTACTCGGAGTCTTCTCCCTCGCACAACTCTTTGGTGGAATCGACTACCACCAACGATTTTTTTGGACCGATACGACTTAGGTACATTTTGAAAGGCCAGCAATGCATCTGCAATTTCCCTTTTTCCTTAGATTTCCCATATATCAAATAAAGCATAAAAATTTAGTAAGGCTACATGCTATTTCGAAAATTAAACAATTGACGAAAACATGAAGATATAATTTATTTGACCTACTTCAATAATTTCTTAAGTTGCTAAATAAGATACAATTTCCATTTCCATAAACTATCACTGAAAATATACAAATTGTGACATCGCGAATATAATTTTATTAAAAAAAAAAGTTTTAACTTAGATTGCGACAGTTACCTTGTTGTGTGTAGGTGCTGTCTCACGTTGATCGAAGATGAAAATGACGAGATACAACAAGAGCTAGACCTTATCGCTGCATTGCCGTTACTGAGTGCTTTTGGATTGACTATCCTTCCGATTCAAGGTATCGTTTTATTCATTTTATTTAATCGTCAATATTTACGCTCAACATAATGTCTTATAAAAAGTTATGTTGATACGTTTTCAGTTCGTCTATGTGAGGATAAAATGACTTTGATACAAGAATGTTTAAAATTGGATCACAGCGCATACCTTGCTAGTCACAAATTGCTCAAACTTGCGAAATTGCTGAGGATTGCTGGAGATGATGAGCAAGCACGGTAATAAACTTTTGATTTTTTTTCTTATTTGCGTTATGCGATCGATAGGTGAAATTATGACGAAGTAGTTAATAGCGCAATATCACTAAATACTTTTAAACCATTGTATAGAGAAATAATCGAGATTTTTTTTGTGTAGAGGCAATATTTATTTTATTTGCACACTTTAGAATTTAGATCACTTTATTTTTTATATAATAAGGGTGACAAACGAGCACACATTCCACCAGATGTTAAGTGGATGCTGTAGCCCATAGTCATCATCATCATCATCATTACAGCCCTTCACAAGTCCACTGCTGAACATAGGCCTCCCCCAAGTAATGCCACAAAGCACGGTCCTGAGCCACCTGCATCCATCGACTTCCTGCATATCTTACCAGGTCGTCACTCCATCTAGTGGGGGGTCGCCCTACACTACGCCTACCGGTACGAGGCTGCCACTCGAGAACGTTTCTTCCCCATCGGTTATCGGTTATTCGAGCTATATGGCCGGCCCATTGCCACTTCCGCTTACTAATCTGTTGGGCTATGTCGGTCACTCTGGTTTTACTGCGGATATCCTCTATTCTGAGTCTATCACGCAGAGAAACTCCGAGCATAGCCCTCTCCTGATAGGTCGCTGAGCGACCCTGAGCGTCCTCATACGGCCAGCAGTGAAGGACCACGTCTCAGATCCGTAAGTCATCACTGGCAACACGCACTGGTTGTACAATCTAGTTTTTAGAGATTGAGGTATACCTGACGAGAAGATATGTCGTAATTTCCCAAACGCTGCCCAGCCGAGTTGAATCCGTCGATTGACCTCGCGGTCGAAGTTGGACTTACCTAGTCGGACTATTTGTCCTAGGTAAACGTACTCTTCAACAACTTCGTGCATAGTGCTCCCAACAACTACCGGCATAGGTGTGACATGGACATTAAACATAATCTTTGTTTTGTCCATGTTCATCTTAAGACCTATCCGTTGGGAGGCACTATTGGGGTCATTGAGCATAGTGCTTAAGTCATCCAGCGATTCTGCCATAAGGACTATATCGTCGGCAAATCGAAGGTGAGTGATGTACTCACCGTTGATGTTAATACCGTATTCTTTCCAGTCCAGTAGCTTGAAAACGTCTTCCAATGCAGCGGTGAAGAGTTTCGGGGATATAACGTCACCCTGTCTTAAACCTCTCTGCAGTTGGATGGGTTTCGAGCTCTGTTTCTGTACTCGGATAGTCATCGTAGCCCTACTGTACAAACACTTCAGCACTTCGATATACCGACAGTCAACTTGGCACCGCTGACAGGACTGCAGCACCGCCCAAATTTCGACGGAATCAAAGGCTTTCTCATAGTCCACATAAGCCAGGCAAAGTCGCAGATTGTACTCTTCAGTCTTCTGTACAAGCTGCCGCAGGGTATGTATGTGGTCTATGGTATTGAAGCCTTTTCGGAAACCGACTTGTTCGGGAGGCTGGAAGTCGTCGAGTCTGCGTGCGAGACGATTCGTAATGACTCTCGAAAACAGCACGTAGACGCGGCTCAGAAGGGAAATCGGTCTGTAGTTCTTCAAGAGAGCGTTGTCGCCTTTCTTAAAGAACAAGACCACCGCACTTCTGCTCCACGCCTCAGGAGTAGTGCCACCATGGAGGACGGAATTGAAGAGCCTCTGAAGGACCTCAAGTACCGGTGTTCCACTCGCTTTCAGAAGCTCCGCTGTAATTCCATCCTCGCCTGGGGCCCTGCCGTTTTTAAGGTGCTGGAGAGCCATTCTAATCTCGCTTAGACTGACGTCCGGGATATCATCGGAATAGTGTCGGATAAGACTTGCTCTTGGATCGTTACTCACACTTGCGTGTGGCTCCAACGATGATGTGTACAGCTGCCCATAGAACCTCTCAATCTCACTCAAAATCTCAGGTGTCCCGGAAACGATGCTGCCACACTCGGTCTTCAGCTTTGACAGTTGGCTCTTACTGGCAGACAGATCTCTGGCAAAGACTTTGGAGCCCTGGTTTCGCTCGATCGCTTCTTTAATACGAGCAGTATTAAAGTTGCGTAAGTCTCGCCGCATGCATTTAGAGATCTGTCTGTTCAGTTGCCTGTATGCTGTCAAATCTGTTGACGATTGCAGCCTCATCTCCCGTCTAACAGCCATGAGATTAAGAGTGTGATCGGAGAGTTTTTGTGTTCTTCTGCGGCGGGTCTTGCAGAACTTAGCTCCGACCGCATGGACAGTTTCCACGAGCTTGTCATTCATATCGTCCACTGCATTGCAATCTTGTAGGCACTGAAAGCGGTTGCGTAACTCGAGCTGAAAGTTTTCGGGATTCTGGATTAGAGCACGAGGGGGACGGAGCGTTGACTTCATTAGACGAGACCTCTCCATCTTAACGTTTAGGTTCAGTGTGCCTCTAACCATTCGGTGATCGCTGCCAGTTTTCACCCTTGCGATCACTGAGACATCACTGAACAGTTGGCGTCTGGTCGTCATAATGAAGTCAATCACATTTTTTGCCGAACCGTCGGGGCTCGACCAGGTCCACTTCCTGTGGGGCCGCTTGTGGAAGAAAGAGTTCATCATAAAGAGTCCCTCTTTCTCCATAAAGTCGGCCAGCTGCTGGCCCCTTCGGTTCCGTTGCCCTACTCCAAATTTCCCTAACTTCAGCTCACCGTTTTCTCTTGTGCCTAGTTTTGCGTTGAAGTCTCCCATCAACACCGTGTAGTGGGTTTTGGAGGAATGCATGGCTTTGGAAATATCCTCATACATTTCCTCCACCTCCTCATCGGGATGTGCCGAGGCTGGTGCGTAAACCTGTATGACCTTCAGCGAATACCGTTTGGTGATTCTGAGTATCAGGTACGCGACCCTCGTCGACCCCCCCTTGTTGACGAGAGACTTGTGGACGATAAATCCGACACCTCCTTGGGACAGGTGGTCGCCCTCCCGGTGATAGAACAAGTTGCCGGATTCGAGAATCACCATGTCCTCCCCCTTTCTTCGGACCTCGGATAATCCTATAATACTCCAGCGCAACTTGTCTATCTCTTCTTCCAGCTTCAGGATCTTCTCGTCAGTCCTCAGTGTGCGTGCGTTAAATGTTGCCAGGTCGAGTCGTCGTAGGTGGCAACCGAACCTCCACCAGAGATTATTAGCACCCCCTGCCCCGACGTTACCATGGTCGCCACCGTAGCCAGGAATAGCGGGGCCGCCGGGGACTGGGGGCTGTCTATTTGTGTAATTGTTCATGGGGGGTATATTGCCATAGTAGCCCATAGACATCTACTTTTATGCTCGATTTTGAATCAAAATGCAGATGCGTTTTCAACCCTGAGGACTACTAAGATGGAATGCCTCGTTTCCTGTAAAAAGGTTCTCCGGTTTCCTATACTCACCATACGAAACACAGCGGCATAGAGCTGCCATTTTACGCTGGTATTTTGCAAGAACTTTATCTACAAGCAAATACTCTTTACAATGTGTGTAATAATATGTAGTAATGAACTTACTTACAATTTCTGCTTTACTTTCCTGAGAAGTATTCACAAGCGAATTGTTGGAATTGTTAGGCGGCATCTCTTTTTTACAGACACTTGTCGTATTTTGAAGATATTGATATATTTAAACTTTCATATAAGAAATCGAAAAACTTTATGTTGAGTATAGTTATAATAATTAATAACGTACATGTTGTACTTTTTTGGGCAACAATATTTAATTAATAAATATAATGGCGTATTATAAATATTTTTTATTTCGATTTCTGTCTTATTATAATTTTTTTCAATGTCCGGAAATTCACTTAGTTTTTCATGTAACTACACTATCATATAGATTGGCTATTTTTTGTGGTCAACTAGTAAATAACATATTAGATCATGTAATAATTTGATCTCTTATGTAGAATTAATTGTAAAATTTTTATTGTAATTCTCCTGCTAGGCAGACTTTGTTCTGTGTTTTTATTTTGGCGACCTTTTGTTCCGTGAAATTCATTTAAATTTGCAATAAAAAATATTGAGGTTCACTTATTGGGATAAAAACTGTGTTATCTGTTTAGTCGGAGCAAATAATACACATTTACAAAATATCAATTAAATCGGTTTAACGGTTTCGCAACGTGAACGAATATCGTGACACGGGAATTTTATACAACATGTAACATAATTAACGCACTTTGAGAAAGTAATTTGTTCAGAATTGTTTACTGAATCGATTCCTATCATTTTTAATATAGGTAATTTTTTATCCCAAAAATAATTAAAACTACGTAAATTACGGTCACATTAAACTTACAGTCAAAACAAACTGAAATGGACCGTAACTTAAGGCAATAAGACTTTTAAGAGTGCAGTTTTATTTGTATTATTACTAATTCTGTCATTCAATAAAAATAAATAAAAATGAACTTTATTTCAAGCACGTTAAAGTCTTTGCGTTCGTGGATTTGTACTGTGACCACAACATTCTTCCGGAATTGGTATAACTAATTTGATAAATAATTAGTGCATAAAAATGTTTAACTATAAATTTAGTGTATGTATTATGATTATAACATAATATACTAATTGGGGTGTCTGAGGGTGTGCGTTAATTACGTTACATATTGTATATTAATCATTTTTACTGTCCCACGAGTCATATATGAGGATTTAAATTGTTTATCTGTTGTGTTTTTTTCACGTGCAGGGAGGTTGTTAAGATATAACATTACAAAATATAAGTATTTGCTTTTTGTGTTTTACATATAAATCATATTATAGCCTAATATTGTACCATCTTAACGAATGCCTCTGTAAGTGTTTTTGACTATATTTAATGTATGTATGTTGTGTGTGGTGGTGTTGGAGTCAGCGAGGGCGCGGTGCTGCAGCTAGTGTGCGAGCAGGCGCTGGAGGCGGGGTGCGCGGCGGGCGCGGGTGCGGCGGCTGCAAGCGCGGCGCGGCGGCTGGCGGCGCTGCGCCACGCGCCCGCCGCGCGCCTGCTGGCCGCCGCCGCGCGTGCGCACCCGCACGCCGACCCCGCTGCACGCCGCCACCTGCTGGCCGCCGCCGCCACGCACGTCGCGCCCGCGCGCCTACAGCACGTGCTGCGCGACAGGTACGTGCCTCGCACACAGCACGCACTGCGCCACGCGCCCGCCGCGCGACTGCTGGCCGCCGCCGCGCGTGCGAACCCGCACGCCGACCCCGCTGCGCGCCGCCGCCACGCACTTCGCGTCCGCGCGCCTACAGCACATGCTGCGCGACCGGTACGTGCCTCGCACACAGCACGCACTGCGCCACGTGCCCGCCGCGCGACTGCTGGCCGCCGCCGCGCATGCAAACCCGCACGCCGACCCCGCCGCGCGCCGACACCGTCTGGCCGCCGCCGCCACGTACATCGCGCCCGCGCGCCTACAGCACGTGCTGCGCGACAGGTACGTGCTTCGCACACAGCACGCACTGCGCCACGCGCCCGCGGCGCGACTGCTGGCCGCCGCCGCGCGTGCGAACCCGCACGCCGACCCCGCCGCGCGCCGCCGCCACGCACTTCGCGTCCGCGCGCCTACAGCACGTGCTGCGCGACAGGTACGTGCCTCGCACACAGCACGCACTGCGCCACGTGCCCGCCGCGCGACTGCTGGCCGCCGCCGCGCATGCGAACCCGCACGCCGACCCCGCCGCGCGCCGCCACCTGCTGGCCGCCGCCGCCACGCACATCACGCCCGCGCGCCTACAGCACGTGCTGCGCAACAGGTACGTGCCTCGCACACAGCACGCACTGCGCCACGCGCCCGCCGCGCGACTGCTGGCCGCTGCCGCCACGCACATCGCGCCCGCGCGCCTACATCACGTGCTGCGCGACAGGTACGTGTCTCGCACACAGCACGCACTGCGCCACGCGCCCGCCGCGCGACTGCTGGCCGCCGCCGCCACGCACATCGCTCCCGCGCGCCTACAGTACGTGCTGCGCGACAGGTACGTGCCTCGCACACAGCACGCACTGCGCCACGCGCCCGCCGCGCGACTGCTGGCCGCTGCCGCCACGCACATCGCGCCCGCGCGCCTACATCACGTGCTGCGCGACAGGTACGTGTCTCGCACACAGCACGCACTGCGCCACGCGCCCGCCGCGCGACTGCTGGCCGCCGCCGCCACGCACATCGCTCCCGCGCGCCTACAGTACGTGCTGCGCGACAGGTACGTGCCTCGCACACAGCACGCACTGCGCCACGCGCCCGCCGCGCGACTGCTGGCCGCTGCCGCCACGCACATCGCGCCCGCGCGCCTACATCACGTGCTGCGCGACAGGTACGTGTCTCGCACACAGCACGCACTGCGCCACGCGCCCGCCGCGCGACTGCTGGCCGCCGCCGCCACGCACATCGCTCCCGCGCGCCTACAGTACGTGCTGCGCGACAGGTACGTGCCTCGCACACAGCACGCACTGCGCCACGCGCCCGCCGCGCGACTGCTGGCCGCCGCCGCCACGCACATCGCGCCCGCACGCCTACAGCACGTGCTGCGCGACAGGTACGTGTCTCGCACACAGCACGCACTGCGCCACGCGCCCGCCGCGGGACTGCTGGCCGCCGCCGCCACGCACATCGCTCCCGCGCGCCTACAGTACGTGCTGCGCGACAGGTACGTGCCTCGCACACAGCACGCACTGCGCCACGCGCCCTCCGCGCGACTGCTGACCGCCGCCGCCACGCACATCGCGCCCGCGCGCCTACAGCATTTGCTGCGCCAGGTACGTGCCTCACACACAGCACGCACTGCGCCACGCGCGCGCCGCGCGACTGCTGGCCGCCGCCGCGCATGCGCACCCGCACGCTGACCCCGCCGCGCGCCGCCACCTGCTAGCCGCCGTCGCCGCGCACATCTCGCCCGCGCGCCTACAGCTGGTGCTGCGCGACAGGTACGTGCCTCGCACACAGCACGCGCCCGCTGCGCGACTGCTGGCCGCCGCCGCGCGTGCCCACCCGCACGCCGACCCCGCCGCGCGCCGCCACCTGCTGGCCGCCGCCGCCGCGCACATCGCGCCCGCGCGCCTGTGGCACGTGCTGCGCGACAGGTACGTGCCTCGCACACAGCACGCGCTGCAGTTTGCCTGGAAGTGACAAAGTGAGCGTACTTAGCTTTAATTTATCAACACATATCCATTAGTATGTATTATTAAAAGTATAACTTAACCAGTAGTGTTACTAATACATGGATAGTGACAAATATAAATCGAACAATAACCTAAAAATTATAAACTTACGCATATTGCACTTTCCAAACAGGCTCAGTCTTGAAATAGAAAACTTGGAGCAAATGGGTGCGGCGCTTAAAGATCATAGTCTATACGCCGCGCGCTACCCTTCCACTGACGATGAGTTCGCAGATGCTATTACAACTGTAAGTACATTTTAACACTTTATTGAGAGGGTTGGAAAAAGTAAATTTTAACATGCGTCTTTGTCATTTCACTTTATTGGTAATAAATTTGAAATGTCACCAATGAGGGCTAATAATCTTGCGCTCACCAGATGTCGCTAGTAGACACTGAAATGAAGTTTCTTTCTTACATAATGTAATTGGAGAAGCTAGTTTTAAATAAAGGTTTATCAGTTTCTAGAGTATTATATTAATACACAAACCATAAAATACTATAATACACAATAGAATGGCTGTTAACCTTATCTTGTACTAGGATCGGCGTCGCCGGGAGCACACATACAAGCAATTACGTCCTCTTATTACTACTACAAACCCGATTCGCTGTGTTGACAGACTGATTAAATTAAACATTTTAAACTTTTAATTAATGTCGAAGATCATCATTAAAAAAATATTTTAAATTTAATACATATTTATTTGTACATAGTGTGCAATTTGTCATTTTCTAAATAATTTGAATGCGAAATTAGGAAACGATTGAAACGTCAAAACATCTCGTGTTGACATTTATATGTGTGAATTGACGTGTTAGTAGCTACACGGGCTCCGCCCACTCCCCCAGATTTATTTTTGTTTGTTGCCCTAGAATTGTATGCTATAACGAAGTTTTGATTCTACTAAAGCAAAATAAACCAACTTACGCTGCTTTAACGTAACTTCGTCTCGTAAACTTCTTAAGGCATAGCATGCTCAACTGATAGTAGATTCTAGTGATTTCATTTCCTTTTTCCAATTCAAATACATGTCAATGTGGATTCCAAGAAATTTTACTGATTATACAGAGTCAATATTTTTACCGTCAATGTTAATGTTTATTGAGCCCTTTTGTCTTGCTGTAGATTTGAAAAGCATTGCGTATGTTTTATTTGTATGTAATAGAAGATCGTTAGTAGCAAACCAATTTTTAAAGTCATACAGTGAGATTTTCATTTTGGTATTTAGTTCGTCTATCGAGTTAGCAGATACAATCGCGTTTGTATCATCCGCATAAATTGTTAACTTTACGTCTCGCTGTTTGGCATGTATGTAAGCAATTAAATCATTAATGAATATTATAAATAATATGGGTCCCAAAATGGAGCCTTGTGCCCTTCTTTAAGGTTATCAATTTAGATATGTATACCGTTTCTACGCCGTCTATTATTGTTTTAATCTCAACAAATTGTTTCCTATTTGATAAGTAGGATTCTAATAATCTTAAAATTGAACCTCTAACTCCGTAATGTTCCAATTTCAGTAGCAGTATATCATGATTTATCGTGTCAAAACCCGAACTTAAGTCTAAAAATAGATCTGCTACCTTATATTTATCATTGAGTCTACACTACATCATCGACTAGCGTATTTATAGCATCTATAGTATCCACACACGTTTGATACCCAAATTGCCTCTCTTTTAATAAGTTATTTTGGCAAAAATATGCTACTAGTCTTACCTTTATCAGCTTTTCATAAATTTTAGATAAAATTGGTAGCAAGAAAATCGGTCTACAGTGTTTGGTGTCCATTTTACTTCCCTTTTTATGTACCGGAAGTACTCGTGCAACCTCAAGCTGATCAGGAAACAGAGATTGTTCCACACACTTATTGTAAAGATAAGCTAAAGGTTCAGCCAATATATCAATATTATCTTTAATAATCTTGATGGGTATTTTATCATAACCATGTGATCTTTTATTTTCCATTTGTTTTACTGTTTTTAACATTTCATGGCTAGTAATAATCTTAAAAGGCATGCCTGTTACAATTTTCTGCGCACTTTGTTTGAGAATTAATTGTGCGGAGATTGAATCACTAGCGTTGTTACTTAACGAATTAGTTTCACTAAAATGATTTGAGAAAATATTTACTACATCCTGTTCATGACTTACGATGTTATTGTTTACCTTTAGTAATATATTCTCTTCTTTTTTGCGAAACAAATTTTTCCTATTATGGATTCCTATTATGGATTATGTACTAAAATGTCTCAAATTTACAAAATATTAGTTATTACAAAAAAAAAAGAGTATAATCATATACACTACAAGAAGAAGCTGCAATATTTTAAAGTGGAGTATGAGTATTTAAACATTTTTTATATTCATCAGTATTGAATTAGAAGAGATTTTACGCATTTGTAATTACAATATTTTCCTATTTCTTACTGAGTCAACGATCTAATTTATATTATTTAAAAAGAATTACTTTTATTTAAAATGTAGTCGTGCCATTAATTTGTATGAATAATAATTCAATATTATATGTTTTCAGCCAATTATTGAGAAGAAAGATCTCGTGGTTCCTCCTCAGTCCGAAAAAAAGGTTCCAATACTCAACTACCTCATTGAAACATTTCAAAGTAAATTCAATTTTAGGTATGTATTTTTCATATATACTTTTTTAATTAATTTTGTGGGATTTCATAGCCCAAAGTGGATGGATGGAAATAAGATTAAAGGCGGGCGTATAAAAAGATGGATGGTCTGTGTTAGGGACAATATGCGTAAGAATGGAGTGAAAAGTTGACTAATAGAGCAGAATTGAAGATTTTTTTTTTATAGAAGACGGAGCAAACGAGCATACGGCTCACCTGATTGTAAGTGATGCCACCCATGAACCACTGCAACACCAGGGGAATTGCAGATGCGTTGCCGGCCTTTTAAAAAGGAGTCAGCTCTTTTTTTGAAGGTCCCTAAGTCGAATTGGTCCGGCAAAATCTCTGGTGGTAGTCGATTCCACAAGTAAGTTGTGCGAGAAAGAAAGCTTCTTTTAAATCGTACAGTCGTCGACCGCCAGTCATCCAGATAGTATGGATGGTATCTCGATCTTTGTCTGGATGTGCGATGTTGAAATTATGCGGCTGGAATTAGTCCGCACTGGGGAACCCCAACCCAGTGATGGGAACAGAATTCCATGTGCGGCCGAACCTGTGCTTTGTCAAGTTGTAGGCGGTGTGCCGGCATTATATACTGTCCCGATCTGCTTAGCACGCCAAGCTTTTTAGAGGCCAATTTGGACTTGTCTTCCAAATGACCACGAAACTGCACGTCACTGGATAAGTTGACGCCGAGGATTCCGATACTGGCTAAAGCAACAAGGAGAGTGCCTTGAAACTGAGGAGATACGACGATGGGGTTCTTTTTAGCGGTAAACGCGCAAACTTGTGACTTTTGGAGATTGAATTGGATTATATTTAGTCGCCCCCAGTCCGAGACTTTGTTCAACAAAGTGATAGGTCCGTAACCTATAGGTTGCCGAGGCGACGAAAACAAAGGAGTGTTCTAATTTTTACTCCAGGTAGGAGAGATACGAAGTATCAGCCGGAGAAGACACCCGTGTCGCGGTTAGAAATAGCAAGGCAGGCTTGCCGTTTCGAGCTGGAAGAAGCCAGTGTTAAGGTTTGAATAAAGTCCCCTAATGTTGCAGAAATTCACGGATAGCTTGGCAGGGGGCACCTTTGTCTTATTGCTCTGTTCCAGAATACGCGGGGTAGACTGAGCCTACGCTCAGGAAGAGTACAGTAGCTTGGGCGTGGATGCTTAGCGAGGGGTTTTTTTTTATCACCGGGGGTACTGATACCCTCCTGGAGTAGTGTTCCATTTAACTCCGCTACCAACTTCCTGTTAAATTAGGGGAGGGGGGGATTGGGCCTCCGGCCACCTGCACTCACCAGACGAAATGCAAAAGCAGGGCTTCTACTTCAAGTTGGTCTTCTGTGAGGTCTTGGCACCACCCCGGTTCGAGCCGGCCCATACGTGCAACAGCAAAAGCTGCCGCGTGGCTCTACCACTGTTAAAAAGACATGTTATGCTAACCTCAAAATATTTGAGATAAGGGCAGGAAACAGTAGAAGACACATTTTTCATAAAATAATGCCTATTGAGGTATTGCTATAAAACAAGGACTAAGGCTAGTGACTCACTGAGCTATGTTTACTAGCAGCAGTAGCGCGTGCACTGTAATCAAATCAAGTAAAATGTCTATCTTAGTTTGTTTTCAAATTATGACGTATACGCCGAACATAGTTTTTACTATTCAATATTAGATTGGCAGGAATTTAATGGATGCAAGTGATTTAGATTCATGCTTTCTGGCGGTTTTGGTACAGGTCTACGTTTAGTTGTGGCCTTGTGAATACAGCCAATGATAATGAAAATATTGGTGTTTCTAATCCAAAAATTTTGCCGTGTGGTGGTGGCGTGAGAAAATCTATCACCTTATATCTTCTCGTGGGTGTCGTAAGAGGTCGCTATGGAGAACGCCAGAAAGATAGTTACAGCGAGATAGTACGACCATATCGTTTTGGCAGTCATGCTTTGGAAAAATACAGATCGGTGACTGAGAGCAGCGTTTTAGACGCGAGTCGTTTGGTGGTGCAAACTCCAATCCGCTTAGCAAGCGTGACGACCATGGTAAGCAGTCTTTACTTCGGGGAAGACTCTTGATCAGTGAACTTTTATGGGCTACTGAAGATGAACAACCAAAAATGTTATTTGATTATCTGATTGTTTATCAAAATTAAGTATAAACGGCTTTTATATGAATCGAGTTTTGTTCTATATATTTCTAGTTTGTATAGTTATTCTGCCGTCAATAGTTCCACAGTTAGAGCAGCAGTCAATTTTATAACTAACTTATAGAATATAAAGTGTTTTGTGAGTGTGTGTAAAGTTTTTCTGTTGGTTTCTTAAAGCTGGTTTTTGTTAACAACTTTGAATGATAAAAAATTGCATTTGGCAATTCGCCTGCCAAGCGTGGTAATGACATTAGCAAGTACTCTCACATGGGGCAAACTATGGGAAAGACTATGTTTCTTGGTAGACTTTTAATAGGTTGTAATGAATGATGAAGTAATGATAAAAAATTAAATTTATATATCAATTTCTGTCTAATCCAGTATTAATTGAAGTGGGTTTCGTAATATAAAAATGTGGGACATACGTAAGTACAGGCGGGTTTTTAACTAGGGGCGTTGCAAATGAGGGTGGTGCACTAAACGTTGCCGCGGCATTTTGCAGCACGGAGGAGGATGCGGGGGAGTGTGAGGATGGAGATGGTGGTGATGGGAGTGCGGGCGCGGAGCAGCGGGTGCACTGCCCGGAGTTCTACCGCTCGCTGTACCCGCAGCACGCGGCGTCGCGCGCGGACTACGGCTACGAGCGCTTCGCTAGCGGTCGGCCCGGCCTCGCGCAGGCTCTGCTCGCCTGGTACTACGTGCACAGCAGCTTGGAGGACGCAGCCATGCCGGAAGTCGAGACCGAAGGTAAATTTAAAGTGGCGGCTTGTATGCGATCCACAGAGGCAGCTGGGCACAGAAGTCTTCTCATTTCCGAGAGTGTTTTGTAACAGGAAATGAACCGAGCTCCGCATGTGATGATACATTTCACATGTCTTCGGATTTTTTAATTTTTTTTAATATATAAGTATGTGGTCAGCAATTAATAATAAGAATGATACCGATGGGGATCCAACTCGTTACGCTTGTATGCTATTAAAAGTTAAGGCGAACTTACTTCTTCTTCTTCTTCGAAAGAAGCTATCATTTCACAACGAGACACTTTTGTTGCCTATTCTTATGTCTAAAGATTTAAATTATGTAAACTGATTAATTTTGATGCAAAATATTTTTAACTTCGATCTAATGGAGTAGATATTTTCATATTTTTTTAATAAAAAAAATTAATAGTTACTTTTTCGATTCTTCTTCAATTCCTAGTAACTTCTTAAGTCGATTGCGAGCGGTCAAGAAGATTAGTTTTTTGTTTTCTAAACTTTGAGATTTTGTTTAATGTGAAATGCTGTCATTACTTTTGTGCGCATTTTGTCAAAATGATATAAAATTTGTATCAGATAAGCATGTAACCATATTTCGTATTTGCCTAAAAGCAGTTACTTTCGTAAATGAAAATCAATTGTGTGGTAAATTCACCGTGCAAGCTATGAGTCTGGGCAATCCACAATTGTGATACTATTTTTGTTCCGAATTATTTTCTTTTGAAGAAAACGTTAGCTCCAGGATTTTCTGGAGGTAACGTTACTAGGATTTTCTGCTGTATCTTAGGGGCAGTTTACACACATAAATTTCACAAGGACAAACTTCACGACCCGGAACAATTACTTGTAGGCTATACAAATACTTGTTACGTGTGGGATTCGAACCCGCGGCCCTTAGTGCTGTGACTCATAGCTAAGCCACTGCGCCACAGAGCCGTCGAATTGTTGATGTAGTAGTATCTTCTGTAGTAGCGGTGTACTTTATATTTCTTTAGATTTACGTAAAAGTTTTTTTTACTTGTGTGAGTACGCTTGTACAAAATTATTGAGCAATGATTAATTTGAAACGTCAAAATGTATTTCTTATATTTGGTGGAGTATAGTGTTCACGGGCGCTCGTAGTCGACTAATGGAGTTACGAAGCAACTCAGTGTGCAATGTATTAAGGGCGTGGACCGGTCTAGTGGTATATATAGAAGTGTGTGCGTAATGTGTACGTGTGTGTGTATTGTCAGTATTACAGCGGTGCGCGCAGGAACTCTTGCGACGCGACACGGCGCTGGGTGTGGCTTGGCTGATGCGCGCGGCGCGGGCGGGTGGGGGTGCGGGCGCGGGCGCGGGCGCGGGGAGCGGCTCGCGCGCGCTCTGCACGGCGCGGCGCCGCTCAGCGCGCTGCTGTACGCCACACTCCTCAACTGCAACGCGCCACAACTGCGCGACTACGTCTACCTCGCGGAACCCGCACACGTGAGACAGCTCTATATAACGCCCACTATACTGATGCGAGTGGCAGTCTCGCATCACTGAAGACTGAGATGGAATGCCTTGTCCTCGTCGGAGCTTGTTTTTAATGGAATAAGGATCTCTCTCTATACTCACTATATGAAGCAACGACACTGAACTACTATATAACCAATGATATTATAAGTAAAAAGGTGTAGATAGGTTACCTACACAATATTCGATCTTCAAAAACGGCACACTAACGCACACATAAATAACTAAATATTGCAATAGCACACTACATTACGATTAGACGTCAAAGTAGGATGGCATGATTTAAAATTTCGCAAGCGTAAAAGAAACAAATGTAATTTGCGACAAGACCGCGCTTGTGTAGTAGGAACGATGTAGAATAATTAATCAGATATGACGTTATACCATACACCGTGATTTATGTCTAAAACGCGATTCACTCATGAGTGCAAGTAGTAAAAGTAATAAAGTAGTGAAAATGCATTAAAAGTAGTAAAATAAAAAATAATTGGTTTTATTAAAAATGTGTTATCAAATAAAGTGCTGTAATAATTATTTATATACGAACGTATATATCACTTCGTTACGCTACAAAACAAATAAATTGAACTTATTATTTAATAATGACATAGTTAATTTACCCTTCAATAAAACAAGAATTATATGTAAACAATTTGAATTACGATACTCAGAAGACCTATCTGTTTTTTATATTCTTTGATCAGAAACAATATTACTTTTCTTTCGAAATCACTCATTTCCCCCTAAATTTTAAAATACGTAATTTTAGCATTTGTAAACAATACGAAAATAAATTAAGAAAATAGTAAACGAATGAAATATGATTCCTTTTGACTTTTGGAAACCTTTCTTGTGTAGTTTGTGCAGAATCTCATCACATATGACGGCATTTTCGGTGCAAAAACAAAACACGAATTACACTCAACGCCGTTGTCAATGACGCGACGATAGCGCGACGACTGAGCTCAGGTTTGCTAATTAGCCTAGTTTTTACGTGCCGCTTGCGGTGCGCATATAACCTATCTACCTATTTTTCTTATATCATTGTATATAACACTGGTATTCTATAAGAGCGTGATCATTCCCCGATCCAGTCGACCCATTCATACTACCGCCATAATAAAGCTGAAACGTGGCTCTACCACAATACGAAACTCAGTAGAGACTGAGGTAAACTTATTTATTACACAATGTTATTATAATGGTGAACTTATGGTATACCAGTTTCACTATCCGCAAAAAAGAGACAATAGATAAACAATCGAAATGTTCACATAACTCATGAGATAATGAAATGATTAAATAAAAGTTTATCAGTTTCTAGTGTATTTATGTATTTTTACAAAACTATACCTCAGTGTTGTATTCTTTGATTTTTTACACGTTTTTAACTTTTCTTTAAGAATGTCCGTAGATTAATTTATCCATTTCTAATTTTATTCATATTGTTGCGCGCCATAGTTGATGCCGGTAAATGTCATTAGCGCCATCTAGTATCGAGTAGCATGCATTAAGTAAGCTTTCTAGAAAATGCCATGCTAGAACTTTCCACATCCAGTGCCATCTAGTATCTAGTGGCAGAACTAGGAGGGAACTTTCTACACTTAGTCGATTGGTACCGGTATGTGTTTCAGTGGAAAAGGTCTTATATAAAGGCCTTTAGGACCGCGACCGGGGCAGTATTGAATGGGCGACACAAGTGAAGACTCCGGAGCGAAATAAAGTGAACTAAAGTGTTACGTGTGATTAATTATTAGTGTGTTTTAAGTTTTATGTCGGTAATTATAGTGTCACTTTTGGTAATACAATCGGCAGTTTTTATTGTCACGAACCCTAAGCTCGTAACAATATAACTTATAATTTAGATAGAAACATTAATCTATATTCTTTTATAACTAATTAACTTTCGCCACTTTAAAATCTGTCAAATATTTCACATGATAGTTAAGTCGCATCGCCCTGGAGGCAGAAGAAGTCAGACTTAATGACTTCTCAAAAAGGTTCGTAATCTCTCACTTCAATTCACTCTTGCCTTGGAGACCCACATTGTATTCTTACGTAAAACCAGTCACAGGCAACTTATTTTCCACTTCTATGCTGTATGTATTACGAAAGACGGAGCAAACCGTTTGATTCCTTTTTGCTCCTGTCTGCTTCAGCCCAGTTCACGATAAGGGTATCTTTATTTAGTGTTGAGAATTATCTACAGTGCCAAGCGTCTTGATGCTACAATTTACTTTAAAAAATACGTATGGCACTCGGTGACTGCCGCGGTAAAGCTATTGCATAGCATTTTTTATCAACTTATGCAATTATAATTATTTATTTATTTTATTTATGCAGTTAAGTCTTTGATATTAAATCAAGTTACACTTTTTGAGAGTGGTGACCGATAAGAAAACAATTTTTTTTCTCTTATTGAATAAATGAGAAGTTAATATTGTTTAAAATATTTTTAATATCACATTACTATACATGTAGGTTATTCAGGAATTTTTATCATTCAGTTAGCAGCTAGTGTACACGCATACGTCTAGTCGCACGCACACAAACACCGTGCCGAACTCTGCCGAGTGCCGAAGTCTGCCGAACTGAAACGACGTTAGACGATGCACGGCTTTCAACGCCACACCTCCGTGCCCGTCGGAGTGGGGAGCGTGAGGTTTTTTTTTCGTTACGGAATTTCTGGATTCGGTCCCCGCGCTCAAGGCCCGCGATAGAAGCTATGCAATAGCTTAAAATGCAATGGTTATACTATCATTGATCGGAGGCTACCAGATTTTTGGGTAATATATCAACTACAAAATTGTTGAAATGAAATTACTAACTTTCTTTTTTCTTTAATTATCATCTTCATGTGGTGATTAATTTTATACCGAAACAAAAGTTTTTTGCACATAAAACAAGATTGGATCCACTACACTTAACTATCCAAAATTAAGCAGGCAGCAGCACCTTCCTAGCTAAGCCTTCTTTCATCTCTTAACCTAGCAAGCATGGCAAATATACCCCTTATGAGGCTATCGATGGCGAAGCATATGGTCGGCAGAGTTCTTTTCATTACGTTCTACTTCCAACTCTGCACACTCAACATGTTTGCTCTTGTTATACCACACACTCCTTATTTGATCAGATGATGCATGGTTTAATCACAAGCATGAGGAAAAACAAAGATTTATTGAGATTTCACAATATACGAAACTTGGTACAAATATAAGGTTGGGTCATGCGATCGTATTGATAGGCAAACACCAAAGCACTAAAAATGTAGAATATTAATAAATATACATTAAATGTACACGCAAATAAATAATGAGGTCAGCCGCGCATAGTGGCTAATTACTAAAATGCTGATGCGGGAGAACGCACGGTGTTGCACCGTACACAATGTACACTGTACGGTCTTTACAAACCGCACATTTCTGCACATCAGCATTTTTACCTTATTGTATCATTATTCATTATCATCAATTCAGTACGCAATCATTCGCCGTCGCGCACTGTACTCACTATCAATAATATCAGAATAAATTAAATAATCAGTTCAAGTCTTTACCAATTTTATCAACTTCTAAGATTGTACAGCACAGCAGCTCGTACATACACATTAATTTTAATTAAAATACTTAAGTTAAAATGGTTTATTAAACCACGCATTTATTCCGCAACGTTATTACAAATTTATTTCATTTTCTCTAAGCAGCACTGCGCCCATTGCTTTGTTCCAACTGTACAATCAAATACATATGTAGCTCTCAAAAGTACTTTTCTTGTTTAAAGTTGATTAAAAGTTTCACAGGCAGCAGTGATCACTTACCTTTGGGGGAAATGTGAATATTCTCAATTATTTTAAAAATATTAAGTTTTTTCCATCCCATCCTCATTGCCATATTGGGTTGTTCCCTAGGATGAATACTCCGAAACGCGTGTTCGTTTATCTACCTTAGACGGGTTGGATAATCGGAATTCACTTTTTGATTGTTGTTCCGCCTTTCCATCTCAGGTACAGTTCAACAGAAAATATACGAGGGCTGCACTAAAAGTATCGGGAATGGAATATTTCCACTGTTCCTGTCATATTAAAATCTTTTTAATTTAAAACTCCTTGGTTTTAAAAATCGAATACCATTTATTTATTTTAAAAAAGATTCTCGGTCTTGTCACAAGGTTTTGTCAAACTTGTTTAGTCGTTGAGAAAATGGAATTGACTCGAGAAAATTCAAGAGCGATGATTTATTATGACTTTCGAAGTGGTTTAAAAACAGTGTGTTGACCGGATGATTTCTGCATTTGGTGATGAAGCCCCATCCAAAACTACAATTTATCGCTGGTTTGCTGAATTTCAACGTGGACGTGTCAAGCTCAGTGATGATCCCCGTCAAGGTCGTCCAAAAACTGCAGTCACCCAAGATAACGTTGATGCTGTGCGTAAGCTAATTGAGGAAGATCGACATGTGACATATCCCGAAATTCAGGCAACTTTAGACATTGGCATGAGTCAAATACAAATAATCTTGCATGAAAAATTAGGTGTAAAATAATAAAAAAGTTGTTTTGCCGATGGATACCGCATTCGCTCTGTGAAGAGCAAAAAGCGGCTCGCGTTACTTGGTGCGTCAGAACTCTCGAAAGATTCCACGCAGGATCCTCAAATGCTGTACACAACATCGTATCAGGTGACGAATCCTGGATATACGCGTACGAACCCGAAACAAAATACCAGTCACGAGTTTGGGTGTTCGAAAATGAGTTAAAGCCAACAAAAATTGTTCGTTCACGTAGTGTTGCAAAAAAATGGTGGCCACGTTTGTCTCCAAAACCGGCCATGTTACGACTATTCCTCTTGAGGCAAAAAAATGGTGGCCACGTTTGTCTCCAAAACCGGCCATGTTACGACTATTCCTCTGAGGCAAAAAAATGGTGGCCACGTTTGTCTCCAAACCGGCCATTTACGACTATTCCTCTTGAGGGAAAAGAACAGTTATGCAGAACAGTATGCTAGCATTTGTTTGCCACAGGTCGTTTCTGAACTCCGTAAAGAGAACTGCAACCGTCGCATCACATCCATCACGACAATGCGATTTCTCACACCGCACACAGAACAAAAGAATTTTTAGAGCCAGAAAACATAGAATTATTAGACCATCCGCCGTACAGCCCCGAACTAAGCCCTAATGATTTCTATACTTTCCCTAAAATAAAGAATAAATTGCGTGGACAGAGATTTTCATCACCTGAAGAAGCTCTGGACGCCTACAAAACGGCCATTTTGGAGACCCCCAACTTTCGAATGGAATGGTTGATTCAATGATTGGTTCCATCGTATGAAAAAATGTGTCAAATTTCGCGGAGAGTACTTCGAAAAGCAATAAATACATTTTTAAATAGTAATGTTGTGTCACTTCCTTGATTCCCGAAATTTTCAGTGCCGCCCTCGTATTCATACATTAACATATTATTGATTAATTTTTAATAACCACGAACTTAAACAAAAATCGTATTACGTATTGCATTCCAACCAAATTAAACTTCCTTGTTTTAAATAATAATAAGTAATTTATAATTTCTACATAATGTCCATAAAATGACCAACACTAATTTCATTTTTGAGTAGACGTAATTGTATATCCTATATAAATTCGACTCTCAACAAGACATTTTAAAATTTGTTAAGTACCGCACTATATTCAATACCGTGTTTATATAATTAATAATATATTTATTTAATATAAATACCTACTTCAATAAAATATAATTTAAGTTAATTGCAGTTAAACATTTCTTTCATCATAAGATATCTCCAAAATGACGTAAATTATGTCACATTGAATGATATATAATTTAAAAATTAAAAGTATGTCAGTGATGACGTTTAAATAAGAAGTATGTATGTATTTTTATAAATTTGCTAAATTCTACTAAGTAATCTTCGGCCAGTAACTATCATGTTTTTATAAACGACTGTACACAGCCAAGGGATAAAATCGAAAGAAAAATAATACACGTATTTCGATTATCCATCCCATCTAGGGTGGACAATCCAACACGCAATTCCGAGTATATCCACTCTAGGGTGGATATACGGAATAACCCGTCATTTTACTTTCTATCTTGCTATTCTTTTCATATTATTAGTGGTGTTACTTAATAATCATTTACTATTTTTACACTCGGCCCATATTTTAGAAACTTCATTTGAATGGAATATGTGTGGGCTATATTTTACTTATTTCAATGAACAAAGAAAAATTTGTTTATATTGCAGATGGCGCGCGCGACGCTTCAACAAAATAACGCGTCCGAGGAACAGATGTCGGTGATCAGACAATGCCTGGACAAGCTGGCGGGTGTGGCCGAGGTGGAGAAGTTGCGCCAGTTCGGGCTCAACGTCAACGGGATACTGTTTAACGCAGACGAAGACTACCGTCGGGAGATCATCTATCGGCTAGCAAGGTACAGTCCACTACATGGCTGGCACGTTCTGTCACTATAAATGCGAAAATTAATTCTGTGACATTTGTTCTCTAGTTTGTTACGACGTTCCACAGTATGTATCGTTATGGGCGATTTTATGCCTTTGGCACGTTTTCTGTCGAGGACTAAGCAGCAGAGCACCCAATTTTGTGTTCCAGTTTAATGGTTATTTTAGTCACAGGCTCCATTTACAGTTTTCGCAATTAAGAAAGGAAACAACAACAACTGTCTAGAATTTTGTAGGTATATGTGTTAAATAAAAAAAAAACAGTTAAATGTGGCGAGTACATCACTCACATTCGATTTGCCGACGATATAGTCCTTATGGCAGAATCGCTGGAGGACCTTAGCACTATGCTCAATGACCTCAATGGTGTCTCCCAACGGATAGGTCTTAAGATGAACATGGACAAAACAAAGATCATGTTTAATGTCCATGTCACACCTATGCCGGTAGTTGTTGGGAGCACTATGCTCGAAGTTGTTGACGAGTACGTTTACCTGGGACAAATATTCCGACTAGGTAAGTCCAACTTCTACCGAGAGGTCAATCGACGGATTCAACTCGGCTGGGCAGCGTTCGGGAAATTACGACACATTTTCTCGTCAGGTATACCTCAATCTCTGAAAACTAAAGTGTACAACCAGTGCGTGTTGCCTGTGATGACTTACGGATCTGAGACGTAGTCCTTCACCGCTGGCCGTATGAGGACGCTCAAGCGAGCTATGGAGAGGGCTATGCTCGGAGTTTCACTGCGTGATAGACTCAGAAATGAGGATATCCGCAGTAAAACCAGAGTGACCGACATAGCCCAACGGATTAGTAAGCTGAAGTGGCAATGGGCCGGCCATATAGCTCGAAGAACCGATAACCGATGGGGAAGAAAGGTTCTCGAGTGGCAGCCTTGTACCGGTAGGCGTAGTGTAGGGCGACCCCCCACTAGATGGAGTGACGACCTGGTAAGACATGCAGGAAGTCGATAGATGCAGGTGGCTCAGGACCGTGCTTTGTGGCGTTGCTTGGGGGAGGCCTATGTTCAGCAGTGGACTTGTGAGAAGGGCTGTAATGATGATGATGATGATGTGTTAAATACACATACGGCCAAGTACTCAAACGCTACTCAATTTCAAGATGTCTTTATGTCTCGTGGTGTCACAGTCACTTTAACTCATGGAGGTTAGAGAGAAGAACGATCGCTGCGTGCTAAAGCATTAACCCCTCTGTCCCAGAAAATTTGTAGAATTTATAGAATTTATAGCCGCGCTACCGCCGGTAAGTAGTATCTGCGAAGTTAGCTGTTTATGAGTACAAGTAGATGAAGTTAGTTGAATAATGTACACATTTTATTTGCGGCGTTGGTGAGAAAATAATCGTGCTCCGTAATTTTTTAATTTTTGATAAAAAGATACATTAAAAAATGGTGAAATATTATAAAAAATAATAATAATAAATCAATAATAATTTATAATATTTAAAGTAATATTTAAAATAACATAATAATTTAATTATTAATAAATGATAATAATTTCGTTATTTTCTTCTTTTTTCTTTAAATGACATTATACAACATGTAACAAAACCCCTGTGGCTCCCGTTAGGTGCGTTATCAGAATCAGTATTCAAGCGTAAAGAAATATTTTTTCAAAAAAACCACATTATTTGTTTAATAAAAAAAATAATTTGCAAATTGTATGTGGTTTTATTATCTCTGCATTAGCCGAGGAGTAAGAGTATTGTCAAAGACCCCACATTACCGATACTCGTGTGAGTTAGACGAAATAAAACCACATACAATTTGCAAATAGTTTTTTTTTAAATTAAATTGAAAAAAAATTATGTTCGACTTTTCTGAAAAAGAAATTATTTCTATACGCATGAATGTTGATACTGATAACGCAGTTAACGGGAACCACAAGGTTTTTGTTACATGTTGTATACACGTATATAAAACGTTGATAGATTTCAAACTAGCGCACAACTAGCCTCACTTATTATGTCCGTATTTCTGGGACATTATTTTCTACAGCGATCGTTCTCCTTTTCTCTAACCTCCATGCTTTAACTTATAGAGACAGCACAAGACATAACTGAATCTTAAAATTAAACAGCGAACATTATACTTAAATTCATTTCTATTCTATTTGTTTAATTAATTAGAATAAAACTGCTTTTACGAATTTTATCGCGTTTAATATTACATATTTTTGATTGCCGGCTTTTTAGGTGCTTGTCAGTACGTAATCATTGGGATTGACTAAAGAAATTTATTTAATTCAAAAGTAAAAATAATAGAAAACACAAATATATATATATATTTCGGCAAAGAATCTTTTTGCTTTTATTTTGAAGCATTTAATAATGTTTACCAATTTATCTTAAAATATTAAGTACTATATGACTATAGATTACTTAATTCAAAATTACGCGAGTGAATAAATTAAAATAATATTTATATAAATAAACATTTATAAGATGCATATACATACATACATATATATATATATATATATATATATATATATATACGTATTTTTATTTTTTTTTATATACGTTTTTCATTAATTTTTTTCTATTTATAAAATTTTATTAATTTCGCATAATAAAAGTTGATTTAAACGTGTTTTATTCTAAAAATTTATTTGCATTATGCATCTTATGAAATGTTTATTTCTATAGATATTATTTTAATTTATTCACTCGCGTAATTTTGAATTAAATAATCTATAATCATATAGTACTTAACTTACTTAAGATAAATTGGTAAACATTATTAAATGCTTCAAAATAAAAACAAAAAGATTCTTTGCCGAAACCCGGGATTGAACCGGGGACCTTTAGATCTTCAGTCTAACGCTCTCCCAACTGAGCTATTTCGGCTATATGTTATCTATTGAATTTATGGCCTAGTTGTTAGTAATGAATGAGTATTTTCTGATTATCTAATATTTTCTATCATATGGAATTCATATTGCAATAGCAAACCTTAAAAAACAACATGTAGTTTGAATTTAACTAAATTTTAGGGCAGCCAGTGGCGCAGTTATACATACGAGTCGATGACGATACTAAAAAGTTAGTTTTTTTTTTATAAGGGCTGCATAAAGATCACCGAATTATAGCTAGTTTTTATCCGATGACGCTGTAAAAGATTCATAACTAACGGCACAGACGTCAAACGACAACTAGTCTTTTTTTAAATAACGGTATAATAAAAATTTTAATCGCATATTTTACTTAGAAAGGCCACTCCAGTTGTCCAAGTATGCCCACGCAGACCCATACGAAACAAAGATGAGTGATTTGTAAATAAATGATGGCTTACCTTATTTGAAATCACCTTAATTAAAGGAATCAAATAAGGTTTTCTTTGGTTTTTTAAGTTAAGTGAAAAAAATAATATTTTTTGTTAATGTCGGAGTGTAGCAGTGAGTTAAAAAATCTGCCCAGCTTAAAGAAGACCACAGCGTGATATGGACCTTCCCTAAAGTGAAAATTGGCGAAATCGCTACGCTTGTGACGATCGCAGTACTAATCTTATCATATCTTAGGCTCTTATTCCGTCACAGGTATTTAATTATTCCATCATGGTGCAAAAGGCTATAAAAATTTTCTTGGCAGTTTCATAAATTATTATTTATTTCATTGCGCCTGGTACATCGTAGTAACATATACCATATACCATTTCTACCGTAACACAGGGTAGTGTTAAAAGTGACAATAATATTATAGTAACAATATAGAAAACCTTATTATAATAAAATGCAACTTTGCTTATTTGCTTACTCTCTGCTGCTTCCGTTTTCTCTTGATTTCTGATACTATTGTAGGCAAAGTCATTTTTACCTATTGAAATTGGCTTAGTGATAAATAATGTATTTACATCATGTGTCAAATTACTAAAACTACTAGATTTAGTAATTTGACACGTTTAGATTTGAGATTAGATATATGGGGGCCCCCATATATCTAAACTAGCAAGCAGACTAAGCTCTGCAGCTTATGCTGTAAAAAAGATTAGAGATCTCACTAGTGTCGAGACAGCTAGATTAATTTATTTCAGTTATTTCAATAGCATAATGTCATATATGGAATTTTGCTATGGGGGAATGCGGCTGATTTAGAAACTATTTTTGTTTTGCAGAAGAGGGCCATTAGAGCTATTTACAATCTTAAACCGAGAGAGTCTCTTAGAGAAAAATTTAAAAAAAAATGTATTAACTTTGGCCTCAGTATATCTATGAAAGTTTGATGTATGTTCACAAAAATAAAGGTAGTTGTAGTAAAAAAGTGACGTACACTCTGTAAACACTAGGAACAAACACATGCTGGTGCTACCAGTTTCTCGACTCCACAGAGTCAGTAGTTCATTCTTGGAGCAATGTATACGCTATTACAACAAAGTCCCAGAAAATATACAAGGTCTCTCTATTACCAAGTTTAAATATTTAATTAAACAAAAACTGTATAAAAAGGGTTATTACAATATAAATGAATACATGGTTGATAATAACCCCTGGGAATGAGGTGGTCGCTTCCAAGCTGTTTCTAAAATAAATTTTTGTAAATATTCTGTGACCCTTGACATTGTAAAATTTATTTTTAAAAAAAGTCCCGCAGGGTTTCTTGCTGGTTCTTCCCAGGACAGAGGTTTTTTTTCCGAACCAGTGGTAACGTAAAATATTGACTTTCAGTAAGAATTACTTGTAATCTATATTGAATAAAAAATATTTTATTTATTTTTAATAAGAATCGTGAAAATTATTAAAAGTAAAGTTACAGCCTCTATATGATCCATAGCCGGGCGAGGACTTCTTTCATTTCTGAGAGGGTTTTAGGGCAGGGAAAAAGGTGGCGCGCTGCTCCTATATATGCAAAAAACGAATTTCACATCTCTTCTCGAAGACTCGAAATATTCTTTTTTAATTTCTCAGACATGCTGGTTACCTCATGATGTATTTCTTCACCACCGAACACGTGGTAAATCAGAACTTAAAATTGCAATTAACAATTTTGATTAAAACTACTTTTATGGATTCTATCGCGTTTATTTTACTTTTAATTACTTTTATTTTTAACTCCCGACATTTCAGGCGCTTTCCAGCACCCATGGTCACGGGGGACTGAGATGACTGACGTCCCGATGTCATTGTTAAACACGGAGTACCTTCACCTTTTTTAATTATTGTTTATGGTGGTGGTGATTAAAAACTACTCGTAGTTCTTTATTTTGTAAACCGTGAACGTTGTTTTCGACAATCTGACATTGATTTTGTTTAATGTGATTAAGAAAACGCTGTCATTATTTATGTGCGCATTTTGTTAACGTGATTTGAGATATTTCTTGTAACTTTATTTCGTATTTGCTTAAAAACAGTAGGTAACTATTGTAAATGAACATACCAGCTAGCGCCCGCGCCTGTACGATTCGCAGTCGTGGCACAGTTTTTATTTATAGGATAAGGCTGACTAACACACATTCCACCTGATGGTAAGTGGATGCTGTGGCTCATAGACATCTACAGTTAACCTCGATTAAGAATCAAAATGCAGATGCGTTGTCACCCTTGAGGACTAGGATGGAATGCCCTGATTCCAGTAAAACGGGTCTCCGGTTCTCTACACTCATCATAAGGAACACAGCAGCATTAAGCTGCTATTTTACGCTGATATTCTATGGTAGCGTGGTCCTCTCTGGTCGAGCCGACCCATTCATGCTACAACTACAACATAATATAGCTACAGCGTGGCGCTATCACGTATAAAAGAATTTTTCTGAAATGTGAAGTCAAGGCGTGATGTGGCGTGGTGCAGGTGTGAGGAGGAGGAGCGCGTGCGTGCGGCGTGCCGGCTGGCGCACGCGCACGGGCTGGACGCGCTGGACGTGTGGCTGGCGCACGCCACGCACGCGCCGCCCGCACGCCGCGCGCTCGCCGCGCTGCCTCCGCTGCCCGACTCGCAGCCGCACGCGCACCAACGGTAACATCCACGGTTGACAATATATATATATATATATATATATATATATATATATATATATATATATATATATATATATATATATACAGCTTTTTTTTAATTTTCTACATGGCCCTAGATAAAGAGTGTATTATTTTATTCATAACTTTTTTCACAATATAACCTATATATCGACTACTTAGTTCTTGTAATAATAAATTTACTCAAATAGACATCTGTACTATTCATAGCTGGCTCCTTTCAAAAGCTTTGTCATAAAAAAAAACTTAAAACGCTTTAAATAGCTTTATCTCCATTCAACATATTAATTTTCCGCAAGATCTCAATTGTTTAGCCGCTAGTAACCAATGTTTCTTCATGACGGCATTATTCGCGTCGGTGCCCGCCTTTCTCGCACCGATATGGATTTCAATGTCAGGCACCCAGAGTTAATAAGAGGTAATAAGTATTTCCTATCTTTTACTAGCAAGATACAATTCTAAAATATTTGGTTTACAAATTTAATAAAATCTATGTAATATATCACTTCTCTAAGCCGTTATATACTTTTTAAATATTTAATTTATCTCAATATACAACCTGTAACAAAAACCCTGTGGTTCCCGTTAACTGCGTTATCAGAATCAGTATCCAAGCGTATAGAAAAATTTTTTTTAGAAAAAACACATTTAATAAAAATTAATTTTAATGGAAAAAAATAATTTGCAAATTATATGTGGTTTTATTTCCTCTAATTCACACGAGTATCGGTAGTACGGGATCTTTGAAAATCCTCTTACTCCTCGGTCAAAGCAGAGATAATAAAACCACATACAATTAATTAATTTTTTTCTTCATTAAAATTAATTTTTTTAAATGTGCTTTTTGAAAAAAATATTTCTATACGCTTGGATACTGATTCTGATAACGCACTTAACGGGAACCACAGGGTTTTTGTTACATGTTGTATATTTTCAAATTAATGAGTAAATTACGTTACCTCAACAAGTTATATATTTCCAGTAACGATGTTGGTTACGTATATAGCTGTTCATTAACTAAAATAAAATAATTTCATAATAGTCTACTTTTGCGTTACATAGCAAAGTTTTTAAGAGATTTAAACCATAGCTTAAAACAGCGAATAGGCGAAAGCGAAAGAAACCAAAGCAAAATTCTTGAAATTAATGCATTAAAGTAATATGTACTTACGTACTGGAACAGATATTTCAAACAAAAAGTGTGCGTTACTTTATGTTCGTTCGCGATTGGTTTTTTATCATAGAATAAACATAGATAGAATGATCAGTAGGTAATAACAGATTGTATTGTTAAATAGGTAAATTATATCACTAGTGAGGGTAATATGGTCATTCGGTTAATATGGTCACTTTCCTATAACTCAAAACTACAGCCTTGTTTGCATAGATGGCTCTGTGATACGATAGCTCGTCGTTATAGTTTTTTATCTTTGCGTTGTAGCATGGTGCGTATAGCAGGTTGACAGGTCGTAACTTGCGTGCGTTTGCAAGATACGACAAAAATTAATAACTATGAGAAGATAACACTTAATTTTTTTTTATTAATTTTGTCTGTTACTACTAGCTTAACATTTACTTTGAAAGTCACACGTATTGTAGTTGTTACTAATAAAATTGTAAAAGTTTAATTTATTTTTTAATTTACTTGCATGCGCAGTTACGTTCTATGCTTACTAATGGTATTTTTTATAATTTCTTGAGATGTGTCTCATAATCGAACGTAAAAACTGTCAAACGAATACAATCGCACAAAAATAAGTAAGATAATTCTATTTTAGTATGTGTGGAATAATAAATTTAAGTAGCTTGATAATCATGTCCTACAATGAACAAATAAATAAATAAATAGAGAAAGTGGTACAGTTAAGATAACAAAATTATACAACTTTATATTTATTTGTTAAGTCGCCCCACTCGCTTTAAAAATTTTTTGTACATTTTGGAAAACTCAAAATAGACAAACTCAACACATAACAAACATTAACTTAACAAAACACAGTAATAAACTAAATCAACGAATGTAAAAGCAAATTAAACTAAGTTGGAAATTACAAAACTTCCGATAGGTACTTCATATAAAATACTATAGTATGTGTCAAATCGATTGAGAAAACGTACAATGACCATAGATATGAGCCGAGTGTCAAAAGGCGTAACTTACAAAATCTCAATTTAGATGTGATAACAATATTTAAATATTGATATTATTCACACTTCTAGGTCACCACATATATGTTTTTTTTGTTTCTTAAATAATATTGTTGTTGTCTGTGGCTGAAGTCCGAAAAATTGTTATATTTTATATTTCAATTTATGATAAGTAGCGCAGCAATTGATTTAATAACAGTTTCATATTAAAAAAAAATATTTGAAGCAATATAATTACCATATTGAGCTTTTGCAAATTCATTCGTTTAAAATAAACAAAACGCGCGTTGCGTCAGTTCGTTCTAAAAGAAACGTGACAGTGACAGCCACAGATGCGTCAATTTTTTTTTGGCCGGCCCGCATGCACCGAATAAAAATAAAGTTCTTATTTAATATTGAAAATAAAGTTTTATCTTTTGAATAAGTACGTACTTATTCTATGTCGTTATCACTCGAATCTTTATATGTGTTATAAATTAATGCTTTTTGTTGTGGAACGAATAAAGTACTTTATAACAATAGATGATTTTTCTTCTACAGCGATTTTTTAAGTAACTTTTTAATAATAGTTAATAAATATATATTATATTAATCATTATAAAAAATAATAAAAAATCATTATAAATAAAGAAAGTACCACATATAAAATGTGCCTATATATTGAAGATTTGTAACCCCTGGTCAAGCAACCGAAAAGTCATTGCCCGTTTTTCTCAATCAATTTGGCACGTACGTTTGGATATTACACATTACATACATAATATACATCATGTTGCCACTTGTCCTGATTTGCGCAGGACTTCCAGATTTTCAGAAGTCTGGTGACACTTCAAGATCCACCCTTGATCGGGACGTCAAATGTTCGGGACACAAATGTTTTGACTAACCTCCTTAGTTCCTCCTAACTTCGATTGATAATTATGACAGCAACAATGAATACATCTGTAAGCTTTTACTGCGGTTGTCACTAAATATAAATATTTTGGATTTGTCAGTTCATGATATTTCATGTCAATTGTCAACATAAAAGTTTTAAACGTTATGCGTATTGTTTTGGCGAGATAGAGATATCATTCATGCTGTTTCGTTTTTTTAGGGTTCTGTACCCAAACGGGTTACCCGTTTGGGTACAGAACCCTAAAAAAGGTACCCTATTACTAAGCCTCCACTGTCCGTCCATCCGTCCGTCCGTCGTCTGTCAGCGGGCGGTATCTCATGATCCGTAATAGGTAGACAATTGAAATGTTCACAGAATATGTATTTTTCTTGCTGCTATAACAACAAATAATAAAAATAAATAAAAATTACAGGGGGTTACCCTACTAGAAACGTGTTTTTACGATGGTACGGAACCCTTCTTGCGCAAGTCCGACTCTCACTTGGCCAATTTTTTTTCTAGCCGAATGATGCCGCCCATGCCCGCCCTTCCACGCTATGCATCGACGACGTCCATTCGACCATTATTTATTATTTAATTCTTTTACTAGTAATTAGTACAGTACCTAACTTACGTACTGCGGTTTAAATAAGTACATAATTAGTAAACCTGGTTACTCTTATTTTCAATAAATAAAGTGACATCATGCGTGCGATGCAAGGATATTATCTGGGCATTTGAGGTTATAATTAATGTGTGCTTTTTTATTCTATGATGCTGTTTTTGAGGGTTTATTGAAGTGCATGCGTATGAGTTCATAAGATTTATTATTCTTTTCAGAATAACATTAAAATTAGTCATTCAGAAAATTCAGACTCCGCAACGATAACTAATCGTTCATCAAGTTCTGATTTGCCGAAAAAGAAAAAAAACGCACATTGACGAATATGCAGTTTTTCTGATGTTTTTACTACAAAATTATTGATTCATTAGCTCAGTCCAAAAAATAATTATAAAACACATTACGCAATGCGCATTATGTCAAAAGGACTAGTATAACTCATGGCGTTCAAAATGGCTATAAAAAACCTGTTTTTTATTTTTTTTGTTTTATTAGATTTGTAAACCAAATTTTTGATTATTTTTGTCTTCCGTCCCGATATTTAACTCACTGGACCTGGCAACACTAATACACATTTTTATTAACAGACATTTTTACTCTCCATTATTCTTTCTTCAGAGATAGGATATTTCTTTTTTTACGTTTAGCCACTCAAAAACGCCCGGGTGGCCATAGTCGCCTAAAACTTTTTCCGGTTGAACGTTAGGGAACGTTAGAACGCTAACTTTCACACTTTAAACGACTTTTTATCCATGGAAAGTTACAAAAAGCTTAATGAAAGTTGCACTAGATGGATCTATATTAAAATGCGGCTATTGGTTAGTAAAAGGTCTATTCCAGGTAACAAATACGCAGATCCGACCTCGAAAGCCGCTGGCGCGGTAGTGAATTCAGATGGCGGACGCAGTGAAATATATGGTACTAATATTTAATTAAATAAAAAATAATAGTAACGATTTAAAAAGTAAAAATCATAGTATAGTTTCAGCAAATGTTGATGATTATTTTGGTATAAATTTTACGTCGAAATGATGTAGAACTTCAGTGATATTGGGGCTTGTATCGAAGCTTTTTCAGTAGATAATTGAATTATGTAGATTTTTTATCCTTACGTGAAAGGCATATAACAAAAATATATTATATCATTATTAAAGTAAGATTAAAAAATTTTGATACATACTATATACATACAATTAATATACATACAAATTAGTGCTCCCAAATCATCGATATATATGTACTACGCACTACGATTTGGCATTCCGAACACTCACTATGTTCAACTGAACTGTATTGCAATCCGTACACCTGTTATTGTGGCTTTTTGATATTCATGCAGTGCGAAGCGGCGCTAATAATAATTTTATATTAAATTAGCACATATGCAAAACAAACGAAAATTAAATAAAATGTTTCGATTAACAATACAATCTAAATAAACAGTTATTTATTATGACAATTTTCGCGCGTTGCGCTGCGCATGCGCGAATCTACTGTTTCCCGCGCATGTGCGAGTACTGAGTAGTGCACATTTTTTGTTTGGAATATCTTCTCTAGTACATAGTAGATATAACTCAATGACCCAAATCATGTCTTCCAGAGTTTTGGCCTAAACATGCATCGGGATAATGATTATTACTAAATAAATAAGTTATCTAAAATTAGCCTTGAGCTTATTGTAGAATAGAAAACTAACTATTTTTACCAAGTAATTATTATTTCAAGCAACGAACGGAAAGCATATAATTTCGACGAGGAAACCTTGTAATTTCGCGTTTTTACTACATAATGTATAAGTTGTAGTATAAGACTATGTGTTTTTGTCTCTGTCCTCCCCCTAGTTTTGGTTTAATAGGGCGGCAAAGCTTAAGGTGCCACCATATTACCCTTATCTACGTTACAACTGCCTCGTTGGTCTAGTGGTTGTAGTAGTGCGACTGCAGATCATGAGGTCCTGGGTACGAGTCCCGAGTCGGGACAAAAAATTAATTATTGAGTTTTTCCGTCAAGAAATTCTCAGTAATTGCCCGAAGTGTGGAAGTTGGCGGTGTCTCACCCCCGTGCCTTGGAAAGCACGTAAAGCCGTTGGTCCTGCGCCTGATCTCTCTCCGGTTGTGTCGGTTTACCGTTCCATCGGACTATGAGAGTGAGGCAATAGAGAGTGCACCTGTGCTTCCGCGTACACTTGGGCACTATAATCCTGTCCTGCGCAGATGGCTAGCCTGCGTTGAGGCAGGCCGCCGTAGCCGAAATTCGGTTTGGAGGACATTATTATCTACCTTACACAAAATTGACAGTTCTGATATTATTAAGTTTATGCACCAAACCTGTACCATGTAATAATTTAATCTCATCAAAATTAAGTTCCAATTTGTAACAACCCCTGCTTTTTAGTAATATGACGAAAAAAAAACGTAATTACTTGGGAGGGGGAGTAGTAAAGTGGTGAGTGTTTGTGCAGCATCAAAGAGGCCCTATGGCCTCTGTGCAGCGGGAGCGACCACGCAGCTCTGCTGAACGTGCTGTCGCTGCTGCAGCGCGTGGACGAGCGAGCGCTTCTATACGGCCTGCCCGTCGCCGACCACATCAAGCTGCTGAAGAAGGCCAAGGCCGCATCACCAGGTAAACTATCACTTTTTTTTTTGCACCCGAAGCATATATGGGCAACCCTCCGGAAAGCGGGGGAGGGAGATTGGGAATGCTCATAGCATACCACGCAGCCGGCTGCGTGGTTATGTGGTGACTTTTACCCACTTAACCCAACCTTTTAGGAATTGGCTTAACGATCTGCCTAGAGATCTCTAAGCCGTATACGAACGCGACCCTCCTTGGCAGAAAGGAGGGCGCAAAACTATCACTTCGCATCATATCATCAATATTCGGCCACAAAGCACAGCCCAAGCCACCTCCATAATGAAATTTGTGAACAAAACTTTCAACGGTCTCTATTCAGTTATAGTGGTAAAAAGCTTACTTAAATTTTCAGAAAATAAACTTATTTTGTAAAATCTATGCGTGTTTTTAGAAAAAAGGAAATTCATCAATATTTACTATAGGCCGCTCTTTGTAGCCGATATAAGGCCGCTACGAACTTTCCTTTTTAACCCATTTTCACTTTCCAAAAAAATGAAACGAAAATCTTGACCGGTGCCCTGGTCAACTAAACCGGCCAAATGAGATTTATCTTCCCAGAAACTCGTCGCTTAAAAAACCCTTTAGAACCTGCTACTTCTGATAACTTGATCTGCTACGTCTTTATAGGAGTAAAGACGAGAATCAAAGACACTGTCCACCTTTCTTCAATAAAGAATCGAATGCCTTGTTACTAAGGTTGTGATGATAGTTGTAAAGAAGATTCTAGGATTGTGGTTTAATGTACCCAACATAAGGTTTTCCTTCTGTGTCGTGGAGTCGTTTTCTTACATAAATTGCACATTATTTGTTTTGTAGGCTGTACAAATATTAGAAAGAAAGAAAATAAATTTATTTAGTAACATTCTTTTTTTTTATAAAATAATTACCTTAAAGCAATTTTCTTACATTAACATATTATAAATTTGGTAAGTGGGTACATATTCTTGGTACTGACAAAGAACTTCGAGGCTGATCTTCCGTGGGTGCATAAACAAATTAACAAAAACTATACAGAACATATTTATAACAAATTAATATAATAAAAGTAGCATTTATTTAAATAAGATTAAAAGGAAAGGAATAAACGAAATAGAAAAGTATGAAAGACACAGTATATATTTGTCATTAAGTTGGCTTTTGAATATTTAGTAAGTATTTATCTGTGTGGTAGCTGTGTAAGATTATCCACTACCGTATATCATTCCGTGGATGTCGTAACAGTACGTTTGCACTGAGAAACATCCAATACGTAATGTTTTGAAACAAATCGCATAAAATAAATCACACAACATGTTTTGTTGATGGTGGCGTTTGCACTGTAAAATTTTCAACAGATATTCAAACTTATCTTTCAACATGACAATATTTGTACAAATTTGTTTTCAAACATTTTGTTTTTGTATTTATAAAGATACAATATAGTTAAAATATGTAATGTAAAATAAACTGCCAAACATATGTTCTTTAACTATGCAAACACTTTTCAACATTGGCAGAAAACAGTGTTTAAAACATGTTTTTTGTGAAAATCGTGTCAGTGCAAACTCAAGGTAAGAGGCGACAGAGGCGACCTGAAACAGGAGATAAAGAAAAATCAACTCGCTAGCCAATCGTGACAGCTATGTCCTTATAATAATAAAAGGGCGAATACCTTCTCCGCTGAGTCATTAACTAACTGACAAAAAATTGCGGTTGCCAAGCGTGGCAGCAATGGCAAATATCTTCCCTATGAGGCAATTTTGGAGTTGCACCCGCTTGGCAGCGCTTAGCCACTGCACTACCGAGTCTTCAATCGTTAAACTGGTGCATTGGCACAGAGCTGGACTACAAGCTGCTGGTGGAGCAGGCGAACGCGGAGCGGCTGCAGGCACACCTGCTGGACATCATGCGGCCGGAGAACGTGGGCCTGCTCACCAAGTTCCTGCGCACTCTTCCGCCCGCACTCAAGATACCGCTCTCCGTGAACACACTCTATACGCAGTGGCTGACGCGCCACTTCTTCAGCGTAAGTACTGCTGCTGACAACCATCCGCCGCCCACTTTAATAACATGTCAATAGGTGTGAAGAGAATATGTTGTCTACTTTTCTCTAAACACAAAAAGTCTCTGTTAATTGACTGATCGGCAAATTCGGAAAATCTCACAGACAGATGATGTGAAAACATTATCATTGCGAGGATCTTGGCCCGTGTTACCGACTGCCCCGGAAGGAACGATATGTTTTTCGAGATTATGTGCGTACGTCTATTTCTCTGGCACGCTCTTTAGCCTTAACGACTTGATTTGAGTCTATGAGTTATCGTTAGATTCTACTTAATTATTCAAATGACATAGGCTATATAACATTAATATATTGCATCTGCAAATATAAAAAAGGAGATTTTTTTAGTAAATTTTTAAGCAGTTCGGTTCTTGTCTCGCGTTGTCATCTATAAGGAATATGATGGAAAGCCTCGTTATCAGCACACAGGGTCTTTTGCTTTCTACACTCACCATACGAAGTACAGCAGCATTAAGCTGCCATTTTACGGTGGTATTCTGTTCAAGCGTGTTCCTTCCCCGATGGTGCTGAAATATTTTTGCTGCAGTCATTTTACACTGCAGCATGGCTCTATCACGTATCCAACCTCTGAATTTTCTAAACATGCACAGCGCGGTAAATGTAGGCAAATCTTTAACGTAATGCGTGCCAGCTGACCCATTGTTAGTGAATTAAATAGGTATTATTTATTTTGATGATTCTTAATTCTCTCTCGTACAAATCATATTCCATCCCCAAAGTAGCGTTCTCTGCTTACTTATGAGTTGACTGGTAGCGAACACCTTTTTTTATAGAATAAGGATGACAAACGAGCACACAGTCCACCTGATGGTAAGTGGATGCTGTGACCCATAGACATCACATTTATCCTCGATTAAGTATCAAATAGCAGATGCGTTGTCACCCCTGAGGACTGAGATAGAATGTCTCGTTTCTAGTAAAAAAGGGTCTCACATTCATAATATAGCTCCAGCGTAGCTCTACCACGTATAAATGGTAAATCCAAAAAAAATAAATACTTTCTTTAACTTTAAATTAAATAAGACCTCTCTAGTCCGCCAAACGCCAACTTCACTGTAGTGGTGTGAATCCACTAACTGCATTTACTTCTTTCAAATGAAAAGAGCAATCTTCTATGGCAGTGGGACATTTATACACTGTAACTTAACCCAGGTGCCGGCGAATGCGAGCAACAAAAAATGGATGCAGCAGTACCGGCAGTGCGCGAGCTACTTCAACAAGCTGACCAAGGACGATCTGCTTACATTCATCGCCAACACTTGTTTTTCCGCCGAGGCACTGCAACGGTGATGCCATGTTAAGATTTTATTGTTATATTAACAAAAGATTTCCATTTGGGAAGAAAGTCATGTAGAAAGAATGAATGAGGAAAGAGTGACAAAGCAAATTTATATGGCAGATGTGAACGGCAAAGTCGGGAAGGGTCGCCCTAGAAGTAAGTTTATCGACCAAATTGGCGATATTTTAAAAACGGGCCACATTAGAAGTACTAAGGGTACTACCGACTAGATGTATGCATAGATATATGGATGTAAATGAGGCGAAAGAGGTATGTCAGGATCGTGCTAAATGGAAGTCAGTAGTCTCTGCCTACCCCTCTGGGTGATAGGCGTGAGTGTTTATGTATGTATGTTTTCATATATGACGGTGGCTAAATGTGATAAGACTCCTCCTGATGAACCAGCTTTTAACTAAGATGACTTCAGGTCCAGTTACGTCGTTAGTTCTGAGAGCTAAGATGAAATGCCTCAGGGGCTGTACTCATGTAGACAGAAACATGTGAGAGGGTATAGTATGTGCCAAATCGATTGAGAAAAACGGACAATGACCACAGATATGAGCCGAGTGTCAAAAGGCGTAACTTACAAAATCTCAATTTAGATGTGATAACTATATTTAAATATTGATATTATTCACACTTCTAGATCAGCACATATGTTTTTTTTTTGTTTCTTAAATAATATTGTTGTCTGTGGTATAAACATCGTAAAATCTTATAGTACATCGCGAAAAATGTGTTAGTAACGCAGCAATTCATTTACTAACACTTTCATATTAAAAAAAATTTGAAGCAATATAATCACCATATTGAGCTTTTGAAAATTCATCCCTTTAAAATAAACGCAACGCGCGTTACGTCAGTTCGTTCTAAAAGAAACGTGACAATGGCAGCCAGAGATGAGTAAATTTTTTGGGCCGGTCCGCATGCACCGAATAAAAATAAAGTTCTTATTTAATATTGAAAATAAAGTTTTATCTTTTGAATAACTACGTACTTATTCGGTGCCGTTATCACTCGAATCTTTATGTGTTATAAATTAATGCTTTTTGTTGTTAAATTAATAATGTACTTTATAACAATAGATGATTTTTCTTCTACAGCGATCTTTTACATAACCTTTTAATAATAGTTAATAAATATATATTATATCAATCATTATAAAAATCATTATAAATAAAGAACGTACTACATATAAAATGTGGCCTATATATTGATGGTTTGTAACCGCTGGTTAAACGACCGAAAGCTCATTGTCCGTTTTTCTCAATCGATTTGGCACATACTATAGTTCTAACTCAAACTGACTCCTTGGCAGAAAAGAGCCTAAATATTAAATGTTCTTTAAATGTATGAATCCTTACATTTATTAGGCAAGAATTTCTCATTTATGTAATACTAAATGATATTAGATAGCGTGAATTATACACTATTATCCAATAGAAATCTTTACAGTGGATTCTTTTAGTTTTTTGATTCACCAGTAATTTGGCAATAGGGGCGTACTTTATTCTTAGCAATTGAGGCTCTATTTGGGTCACTGGACTGGTTATTTTTATGACCTTTAGCAAGGCTTAATGTAAGATTTTGATTGTCAAATGACAAGCTTATGGTATTTGTGTCTCATTATTCTGTTTCGTGCAAAGATCTTTCTTTGTTTAATTAATACTTTTTCAATAAAATACTTAAACTATAAGTTTCGACATTCTTAACGACTATTGGGACCAGTTTTATTTAAAATATGTGATTCCAAAAACTTTATTTAATATATTTTTATGCTAATTATTTTAACAAGTGTTAGAATAATTAACACAAATGAACGGTATACGCTTATTGTACAATCTCTTGTGTAACGCGAGGTGGGAGAGGTTAGATTTCGACTTCGGCTAGACTCTCGACTTGACAAGACCACGATACCTGCTTCAATTTTTTTGTTTTGTTCAGTGTGCCGGTGGGGACAAGGAGTCTGATGATTTTGCAGGCCGTGGATTATTGCCAACAAGAACAAGAAAATGATTACAAAATTAATAAGAAGTAAGTAATGTAACATAATGTGCTAACAAAAATCATTACATACGTTTTACACGTTGTCATTACGCATATGCCGTCTTTAGCGGTATATGTGTCGCAGCCAACTAGGTTAATTAGCCGTTCAATCAACAGCCTCGCCTCTACTAAACAGCGCCGTTCAATTAGCGGCCTGAATGATATTCAGCCATTTGATCAAACAGCTAGTCAAATGACTTGGATCGATGACGTTTCATTACTTGCCTAGCCTGTTCATTTCAATTTAGTTCCTGGTTGGACGACAGGTCTAGGGGTTCTTGAGTCTGATTCCTAGGTCGGGCCTTGACACTATTATGCCAGATGTTACTAGGTGGACTGTATATGCGGTTTCTTGATATGCCAAAACAAAATGGTTGACGTAGCACGCGACAGCCTTGGACGATACACTCGCTCTTCCAAATCTACTACTTCACCAGTGTCAAGAGGGAGGTCTACTTGAGCCGGTAGGAGAGAAAAATGCGACGGAGTAAACAAAACAAATAAAGGCTCAAGTCAAATAAACACAGAAGTGTGATCAGAACTAGCGGAGTGAGCTACGATGCAAGAAGAAGGGCGAGCGACGGCAGTGTGTGTCCTTATATTGACAGGCCACTTCTACCACTTCCATCTCGGCGGGGTGCGCTTCTGATTGGCCGAAAAGGTGGCACCACATTTTAGACCCCCTTCCCCTTCAGTGCGTGTGGAATAAATGTGTGGATACGGGAAGGGGAGACACTGGCGAACAATAATTAACCGAACAAAATATATGAGAGTACCCGATTCTTTTTCCGCGCAACCAGTTCCACTTTATGCCGCCTAGCGCCGAAACTCTCCAAACTGTCAATATAGCATCGACAAACAAGAAATCTGATCGTGTTTTCCAAAGTTTAATGACAAATAGTACAAGCTGTCGCAGCCAAGTGGTTTATTAGCCGTTAACTAGGGGCCTGAATGATGAACAGTCTTGTAATATCAGCGAGAGTGGGTTAGCGTGCGGCTGGGGTGGCCCTTGAGCCACCTGCCAGTTTATTAAATGTTGTAACAAACGCTACGGCTGAATATCATTCAGGCCGCTAGTTACGGCGCTGTTTAGTAAAGAGGCTAGGCTGTTGATTGAACGGCTTATTAAGCTAGTTGACTGCGACACATGCAAATTGAAACGAGGATTTCACTCTTATCGTGGTTTCGTTTTACATACACATGATTTACTCGTGGACGGACCAGACACGGCACAATTATTTACCGTACGGAAATCGAGCACGCGAGTCGCAGCGGTATTTTATGTCTTGCGTGGACGAGATGTTTATACTGCCATCTAGCAAAAGCCATGAGATCTTTGTGGAATTTCCTACCTTTTATGATTATGATTATGGCTTATTTGCATGCTGATACTATGACAAGATTCATGTTTGTATGATGTATGACGTTATTATAAGAAACAGATATTAATACGATGTATTTTGTATCCCTGAAAAGGGCCGTTGAAAATAAAAACAAATGCACAAGCTTAGTTGGAGCTGATGTACTTGGTAAGGCAGTCACCAAATACATCATACGTGGTAGAGTCATGCTGCAGTTATATTAGTAGTATAGTTGTAGCATGACTAGGTCGGCTCAATCGGGGAAAGACCACGCTCCCACAGAATACCAGCGTAAAATAGCAACTTAATGCTGCTGTGTTCCATATGATGAGTGTAGAGAATAGGAGACACTTTTTACTGGAAACGAGGCATTCCGTCTTAGTCCTCACGGGTGACAACACATCTGCATTTTGATTTGTAACCGAGGGTAGATGTAGATTTGTAACCGAGGGTAGATGTAGATTTGTAATCGAGGGTAGATGTAGATGATAGGTGGACTGTGTGCTCGTCTGTCACACCTATCCTATAAAAAAAAATTTGCTCCAAGTAAGCTTGTACGTTTTTATACTTGCAAATTTTTAACATATTTCTTAGTTTTAAATATCGCTGTATATTTTCCACTAACTCGACGCTGTTCCGCATGGGTTTCTGTTATTTTCAAGTGGACATATTTACAGTGAGCAATCGTGGTGCCAGGTGGGCCAGGAACTTTCTCGCTGGGCTCGCTTCCTGGACAACTTCCACTCCAGTACCGTGCAGAACATCATCAATACCAGTGAACTGCCGCAAAATGATATATGGCTGTAAGTCTTTTTTATCTTAAACTTTACGAAAAGAGCGTATTACTTTCTGGACTCAATTTTTTAACTCCTTACCGTGAACCCAATGGGTCTATCATTTAAAAGTTAATGTATGGTAAAAATGATACTCATAGCTTTAATACTCTATACAGTTGTTCAACTTTTGGGGAGAAAAAACCTTTGACTAGAGAAAAAAGAAACGACATGACATAAATAGTTGTGGGATTGTAACGAAATATCGGCGTCTCTTTTTAGCTTATGAATATATTCGTATGTAAAAAAGGACCACAGTAGTTTTATCATTACCAAATATGACAACAATTTTTTCGATGCCGCCGGGCGCCATATTTTGTCACAGTCAATTACAACTATATCTGTTGTCATTGCGCCTTCAGTGAGGTGAGTGTGTTATTTTCGTATGTATCTCTCGTGGAATTCGATTATTACGGAATTTCTTATTCTATTCCTCGGGACCTCTAAATCAGGACAAAAAGTATCCTATATGTTAATGCAGGTAATAAACTATTTGTGTGCCAAATTATTACATTCAAACTAGTCTGATACTTTTGGCGTGATTGGGGATTTTGCAATTATTATAGTTGATTAGTGTGCGTATGATGACTGAGCCCAATTTCTTGTCTAACAAACAAACAAAAATTCTTTAATTAGTATTTCTTGTTAAGTAATTCCCGGGAAGTAATTGTAACATTAATTATGGATAGTTACATTATAAAAGCAAAACAAAAACGACTGCTTAAAAGTAATGAACTGAAAACATAGGTATAACTTATATTTCAGTAATCTCCTTTTAATTTCATTTATTTTGATATCCCTATCGATAGGTTGAGTAAAAAAATAATTAAGGACTTACAATTTGGCGCCAAAAATCCGTCATATTGATTAAAAAAAACCTATCTAAGAACACACGGGTGTTTGAGACGAATCACACGAAAGAATTTTTTTCTAAATAAGCGCCACATTGTCGATATTAAGTATAGTGCGCAGCACTACGTCAAGCCGCCATCTTTGTGCCAGATTCAGTTTAGGTATACACGTTTTTTCGTAGGTATGTCATGTCCTTTCTTTTTCTCTAGTCTAAGGAAAAAAACACACAACAGATTTGCAAAATATAAAAATGGAACGCACCCGTGTTATATCTTTCTAAAAAGCAAATTTATTTAAAAATAGAACTCCGTAAACCAATTGCTCAATATTAAAAGAAAAGCAAAGTTCTATTAATTTTCCTGCAATGCTTCCCGCGCTTTTTATTTAAAACAATGGATCCTAACTGTAAACATTTACGCGTTATGATCTATTATGATTTTAAATTTGGTTCAACCGAACAATTAAGTTTACAACGGTTACAATCAGCATCAACAATTATTAGGTGGTTTGCTGAATTCAAAAGGGGTAAAATTTATCTTAAAGATGACCAAAGAACCGGGGAACAGCAGTAACGGCAGAAAATGTATGGACTACCGAAAACTTGATGCGAGATCACTCACGAATCACATATTATACGGACATCGAAAAGATTGTAGGCATTAGTTCGGGGAGCATTTATACCATCTTATATCAACATCTTTGAGTGAGGAAGCTTTGTTGTCGATGGATCCCTCGTTTGCTCTCCGAAAGCGAAAAACAGACTCGTGTGGATTGGTGCCATGAAATGCGTCTACGTTTTGAAAACGGGGCATCTAAACTCTGATTTTTCATTCCGTAGAATTCTGACATTTCGTAAGTGTTGCTACTAAAAAAGTTCTCCACCGAAAAAGAGACAAATTTGAACCATTTGAGGGCAATAAATAATAAAATGCTACGTATTTTTTATGTTTCACCTACAAAAAGGTAAATCTAAATATTTACTTATACAAGTCACCTAATACAAAAATAACAAATATTTCAATATCACGAACAATATATCTAATTAACTTTAATTACTTAATATTTTATTCTTTAGCTGGCATCACTGTCTACTAATTCCAGGTTTAAAAAACCTTTTAAAAAAATGTTAGCTGTCACGTCGCGTCTGTCACATTGATTGATTTTCATTCGACTTCTTTGAATGCTCGAATGCGCATGTGTTCTCGGTGTTTGCTGCTATTTGTTGTTATTATCTTGTTATATTTGTTAAGTTTCTGTTATTCTGTTAAGTTTTTTCTTGTTGACCTTTCGTTTTGTGATCGTTTGTTGATTTTTATAAACGTTATGGAGCCACAACCTGGCCCTTCCCGGGAAGCAGCCCCATCTGACAGAGCACAAGGCTTAGACTTTCTTTCTCCCAGAAAGAAGCGTCCTCGTGGTGCTTTTACGCCCAACGAAAAGACCATAATTCTAAATATTTACAAATATAATATAGAAAATTGGCCGCAAACAACTGATTGGAGTGCAACGGAATGTGCTAAAAAGACTTCTGAGATGACTGGCGTGGGTCTGTCAAGTGTCTATAAAATTACCAAAGAATATAAAGACACAAAAGAATTTCAAAAGCCGAAAAAGAGTGGACCTCAACTATCTTTCATACAAAAATTTGACGAATTCACTTTCGCCGCAACTCGACGAAAGGTTCACGCGTTTTTCTACAGGAACGAGATTCCGACTATTGAAAAGGTAAAGTTATTGCTAATTCTTTAACAGCTCGTTGCTGACATCCCCCATTGTTTTAAAACTATACTTTAACCTGTGTTGCCTGTCTACATTTTAACTGTAATGTAAATGCTTATTTCAGATTCACCAAGAGATAACTGGTGATCCAGACATGCCTGTTATGTCGAAATCAACATTAAGAAAAGTATTGAAGCATTTAAATTTTAAATACACAAGTCGCAAACGTCGAAGTGCGCTAACAGATCGCAAGGAGATAGTACTATGGCGTCAAAAAATACTTGCACCAAATTAAACAATATAGAAGAGAAGGCAGGCTTATATATTACCAGGATGAAACGTGGGTAAACGAAGGCAAGTATTGAATTATGTGGTAATTAACTTTTTATAACCTATCTTTTCTTCAAAGTATTAGTCGGAAATCGAATTCTGTACTTATGTAATACTTAAATTAACTTTGTTAATAAATTTTTGTTACCAAAATGAATAAATAAATAAAGAAATCCATGTTTACAGGTAATATTTTTCAATTTATATGCATATATAACTGTCCTCATGTATAAGTGAAATATTAAATATATTTTTATTTTCAGGACATACCGTCAATAAAGTGTGGTGTGATACCAACATTCAATCTTCACGACAAGCTTTCCTCGATGGCTTGACAACAGGGCTTAAGGCACCAACAGGCAAAGGGGGGGCGACTTATAGTTAGCCATATAGGGAGCGAAGAAGGATTTTTGGAAGATGGTTTATTAGTTTTTGAGGCAAAAAAAAGGCTTGGCAGATTACCACAAGGAGATGACTGGGGAAGTATTTGAGGAGTGGTTCACAAAAATACTTCCAAAATTAAAACCAAACTCGGTAGTAGTGTTGGATAATGCTCCCTATCATTCGAGGAAGGTCGAAAAAGTACCAACGAGTGCATGGAGAAAAGGCGATATCCAAGCGTGGTTGACTTCAAAAAATTTAAATTTTGAAGAAAAAATGCTAAAAGTTAATTTATTGGAAATTGTGGGTCAGGAGAAATACAAATATCAACAGTGTATTGTAGACGAGATGGCCACAGCACAAGGCATTACTGTGCTTAGACTGCCCCCATATCATTGTGAGCTCAACCCTATTGAATTGGTGTGGGCTCAAGTGAAGGGGCATGTCGCAAGACACAACAGAAGTTTTAAAATGGCGGAAGTTAAAAAACTATTACTGGAAAGTATAAGTAGTATTACTCCTGATAAATGGCAAGAATGTATCAGCCATACAATCAAAGAAGAAGATAAGATGTGCACTCTCGACGATTTCATTGACACAGTCGCAGACTCTTTAATAATTCATGTCAGCGATGATGACGATGATGAAGATAGTGATATAAGTATTAATGATGACTAAAGATTTTAATAAAAATATGTTATTTTTACTTGTGCATTTTTTACTGTTTGTAATGAAAAGGGACGTAATTATCACTCGCCGTAAAACCATGTAGAGTACCGCACTTAATAAAATGGATACATTTACTAACAAATAAAATGTATGTATAGACTCAGATGTTCAGACACGTATTGAAATTGAAAAATGTGCCCGGCCAAAAAGGTTTGTAATCTCTGACATGTCAAAAAATGATAGCTGTCAGAATTCTACGGAATGAAAAATCAGAGTTTAGGCCTTTTTGTTTGGTTTAACCAAGTCAATATTTGGCATAAATTAAAAAAAATAGATGAATTTATGTACAATGTAAATAAATTAACTATCAAATGATATTACTGATCATTCTATTATTGGCACAGGTATTGTCAAATTATTGTATCGGTTATTCCAAAACTATTTAATTAATGCCAACAAGTACTTATCAATTTTCGATTAAATCACAAAAGATGATTGTTGCAAAAAGGATATATTTAATAAAAAGTTTACCACATTTAACGCCAATCTCTTTTAGTAAGGTTAAGTTAGATTGTTTAGAATTTGAATTAAATCTTCAAAACATTTAGTTTTAATTATGGCTCATACTATTCCACATTTACTTATATTTTAATTGCATTACTATTTTTATACTTAGCCTATAAATTACTTAAATATTTTAGTAATCGTTATATTATTATAACGATGTGTATTATAATGATGTGTGAAGTGGACATTGTATACAAATATTTAATCAATGTAATAATAAAAGTCATCGAAACATATTACAAATTCAATTGAGATGACTGATAAATCAACATCTGAAGAAGGTAATAACTCGCCAATATCTTATTTTTTTTTCATCAAATCATTTTTTTTATTTCAAAACTTCGCTTTATCTTAATTTAGAAAAAGTTCAGTCAAAAGGAGGAGCTGTTATACCCCTTTTTACAATAGTAAAATCTTAGTAAGCATTTATTTAATCTACAGTACTTTTCCTTCATATAACCTTAGTCAGCAATTGCATTGTTCTTTTTCTATATTAATTTTAATTCCATTTTAATAATCAGTTAAATTCACAGCCTCGAGTAGATCGGACATAGATTCCGAGACGTATTACGGCCTGGCCACGGGGATCGGCGACACGAACGGTGAAGCGGCAGCCGGAGCGACAATTCGCGCGGCGCGATTGAGGGCCACGGACAGTCACGTTTGCCGCCGCGACCGGATAGGCCTAGAGTGAAATGTCTTTATCAAAGTTAGAAAGTAATTGTTTTTTGATTCAAGACATATTTGGAAGAGATTGCGGAGTACATGATTTGAATAGGAATCGGGTTATAGATGGATAATTCCGCAACAAATACAGAATGCATCTAGAAAAAAATTTCGAGTAAATACCAGAATGAGTATCGAAACCTGCGATTATATTCTTGTTAATACTCGTATTCAATCAGAATTGGAGATAAAAGTCAATGCGAATTTTATGTTGTGTTTGTCGGCCCGGCATTTTTCGCGGCGAAAACAACTAAAATATTTTGTTCCCTATACTATTCGCCGCGTCTGCCGCCCGACTCCGTGGCTTGCACCGTACTGATTCATACATTTGTTTCAGTCGCCCGCGCGATTCGCCCGGTAAATTTCGCCGGTCGCGTCGCCACTCGCCGTATACGCGTGGCTTGATCCATACATTTGTTTTAGTTGCTAGATTTTCGCTACGGGACATTCCCGTGGCCAGGCTGTTAAAGCTCGGAAGTCGGGAACAATATCAATAACAGAACGCATGGATAGTTTCCTGGAGCTTGACATTCATATTGTCCACTGCGTTACAGTCTTCTAGGCGCTGAAAACGATGTTGTAACTCCAGCTGAAATTTTTCAGGGCTTTGGATTAGAGCACGAGGGGTACGAATCATTAACTTCATTAGACGTCACCACTCCAACTTAACGTTTAGGTTCTGTGTGCCTCTCACAATTCGGTGATCGCTGCCAATTTTCACCATCACTGAGACATCACTGAACAGTTGCCGTCTAGTCATGACGACTGAACGGCAACTGTTCAAATCAATATCATTTCATGTCGAAAGTAGACCTGGTTGAGCCCCGACTCAACCAGGTCTACTTTCTGTGGGGCCGCTTCAGGAAGAAAGAGTCATAATAAAGTGTCCCGCTCTCGCTATGAAATCGGCTAGCCGCTTTGCCCTTGGGCACCGTTACCCTATCCCAAATTTCCCCACCTTCAGCTCGCCGTTCTTTCTTGCCTAGTTTTGCGTTGAAGCCTACCATTAACACTGCATAATAGGTTTTGGAGGCATGCATGACACTATAGATATCCTCATACATTTCCTCCACCTCCTCAACGAGATGATTCGAGGTTGGTGTGTAAATCTCTCTGACCTTCAACTAATACTGTTTGCTGATTCTGAGTATAGGTACGCAACCCTCGTTGCCACAATCCCAATCTTTATAACGTTGTTAACTTTTGACTAATTGAACTAAGAGACTTGTGAACGATAAATCCGACACCTCCTTGCCTTGATGGTCGCCCTTCCAGTGATAGAAAAAGTTGCCGCATTCGAGGACTACCGTGTGCTCCACCTCTACTGAGACCTCGGATAATCCTATAATATCTCAGCGTAACTTGTCTATCTGTTCTTCCAGCCGCAGGACCATCACGTCAGTCCTTAGGATGCATGCTTTATATCTTGCTAGGTCGAGTTGTCCCACGGAGTTTCTTATGACCCCCTCAGACTATTCTAGTCTATTCTATTCTATTCCTACACCGCCACGAGACGGCATTAGCAAAATAATAGTATATAAGATAACAAATTACAACAAACACTGGACCCCAAGATACAGGATTATCTTAGTTTGGGGTCCAACGGAAAATATTTGTATATCTTATCTTGGACATTGTTTAGATGTTTAGCATACTGTTCTTGCTTACATTTGTTAAATCTATATGTCAATAAATTTTATTATTATTATTGGTACCCAGGTCGCTGGAGATGAGCCACGGCGCTTTGGAGCCGGCGCTGGTCGCCGTGGGTCGGCTGGTGGCGGTGGGGCTGCGCAGCGGCGCGCTGGCCTCGCTGCTGCACTGCCTGCACCTCGACATACCCACCCACCGCATTTTCCAGCACCTGCTGCACCACACGCACACGACCGAGTACGTACCGTTTACATACCTCGACCACAATTTTACGCTAGTTAATTAATTCAGGGGTTGAGTTCGAATTTTTCTAATTAGGATGGTTCTTTGTATACGGTTTACGTTTTTATGTTTAAAAAAGATCTTAAAACCAAAAATACACACAACTGATATACGGACCTAACGTATCGCCATGTGGTCGGGATGCATAGGTATACATCCATTCATTATTAGAAGGTATGAATTTGTTGAGTTTTTTATCGTCAACTTTTATGATAGCGTCGATAAACTAAATAATTTAATGTATTTTAAGAAAAAATCATGAAGTAAAATAATTTTTTTTAATAAAAGTAAAAACTTATTTAATGAATTTTTAGCTGATTCCAAAAACGGGCATGAGTGGAAAAATAGGGGAATAATTTTTAATATGGTTATTTAGACTACATTTTAATTATTATATGGAGATTATGTATTGTTTAGTTTACTCAAAAGGGTCCATAAATTAAAATTTTAATAAAAACCAAAAGTCGGTATTAAAGTTAACATATTAAAAGCCTCTACTTTTGAAGCTATTTATATGGATTATTTTTAGATGATTGAAGTGCTTTTACTTTTTATTAAAAGTTAATAATAAAACATAGTTGTGCATGTGCGTCTGCAGCGATATGCAGTGTTTTGTGGCGCGCGTGTCGCAGTACCACCGGGAGGGCGTGCAGTTCCCCGCGGAGCTGGTGGAGGCGGCGCTGGAGCGCGGCAAGGAGCTGGCGCTGCCCGCCGCGCGCCAGCTGGCACTGTTGGCGGCAGCGCCGCGCGCCCACGCTGCCGCCTCGCCCGTCGCCGCCACCAGCCCCGCTGCCGCCGCTGCGCCCGCCGCCGCGCTGCTGCGCGCCGACTGGCCCGACTCGCCCGAAGCACAGCGCCTCACAGGTCACTACACTACTACACTGCACTCTATTATACACTACACTACACAACACTGCTCTGTACTACTACACATCACTGATCTGTACTACACATCACTGCACTATACTTACTTTACTACACTGCACTCCAATCTACATTTCACTACAATGCTATGTACTATACTGCACTGTACTACACGCTACTTAATTTGACACTACACTGCACTACTCTATTCTCTACTCTACTTTATACTATACTACACTACACTCCGCTGTACTTCACTGTACTGCACTATACTATACTGTACTCTTCTGGACATTACACTACACTGTATTGTACTACATTACGCCGAATTGGCCTTGCTCAAACTGTATTACACTACAATAAAATATATCATACTTTTACTTCGCTGTACAATAATACAATAAAATGCACTGCTCCGAACTGTACTGTACAAAACACAGCATGCACTTTAATATTTGCACCTTACTACATTACCCTGTACTGTATCATAATACACTTTATTACATTACACTGCACTATATAACAATGTTCTATATAACACTAAACGACATTACTTTGTATTACATCACACTAAACTGACATTGTATCATACTGCACTGTGCTACATCAAACTGTACTAAACTATATTGCCTTGTTATATACAAGGCAATATAGCACAAGCAAATCTTTAGTTACCATAACAGCCTATTGAAGTCCGCTACAGAACATAGGCCTCCCCCTTAGATAGCCTCATAGGGGGGATAATTTCCATAGTTGCCACGCTAGGCAAGCGAGTTGGTAACCGCAGTTTTATTTTTATTTTAATCGTTATTAGGAAGACGCTGCTGCCCATCTACTGATTTATTTCCCTCTGCCGCCTCTCACGACACCCACGGGATGATATGGGGTAGTGGATATTCTTACACCGCCACTGCATGGTATCTCTAATGTTTATAGTCAACCAAATCTAAGAAATACCTCTTGACGTTTCACATTAAACATTCCGCAATAACTTTGCACAAGCGTACTCACACGATTTATAATAACCTTTTTCGTAAATCCGAATAATTATAAAGTTATCTTTATTTCATTACAATGTTTATAGTTTTTTATCACTGATTTAAATTGGAATCTTTCAAACAAAGCAATATATTTAAAAAATAACTTGTATCAATTTTTTACTTGACGTCGTTTCAATGATATGTCGCTATTTACCTAACAGTAGTGTTTAGATGATTAAAATTCATTGTTATGCGAATAATCCGCAAAAATATTCAAATAATCGGTAAAACTATTCAAATAATCGAATCATTATTTTTTATTATATTATTTGCTTAACAAAATTTTTATTTTTAAAATTCCTTAAATTACAAAAATCATGAATAAAACAAGTTATTTATTTTAAAAAGGCAAGGCAAAGGTTAAAAACTCGTATACAAGGCCGCGCTGAAAAAACCACTACGTAATTTTCAATTTCCCGCCATTTCGGGAGCTTACTGTGCGTAATTTTGTGATTTTGTGTTTGTCTACTTATTTTGTGACTCGGCTTTAACTTTTTGGACTGTTTCTTCTATATTTATTCGCTGAAGCATGTGCCCATGTCACAAAGGATGATTGGGCAAAAGTGGTAGAAAAACAAAAAAAATGATTATGGATGACTTTGAAAGAGATATTAATTTTGACTGCATTATTGAAAATCAAATAATAATTAATTTAAACAACCAGCTCAACTAGTTGTACTGAAAGTGATTGAATAAATTTATTTTTAATCTAGTTTCAATCTTAAATTTTTATATCTTTGCCTTTAGAAATGAGCAGTAACAAAAAATACGAATAAACTGATAAATCTTGTGTTTTAAATTTATTTTGGTATTATTCAAACCAAACTGTAAATGATTACCAACTCTAATTAATCTATATCGATTTTTTAAGAATCGAATATTGTACGTTTCCGTTTTTTGGTTGGCGTGCTTGGCGCAATAAGTATGAGAGCTGTCAAAACGTATTTCTTAGATTTGGGTGACTATAGTATTTATTTGACCGATTAATTTTTACTTGCTAGCATGTTACGAGTAAGTACGAATTTAGTTGCATTATATATTAAAATGAAATTAGACTTTCTTTGTAATATAATTTTGTAATCAAAATAATTTCGCATATTTATTTGGGACCAAATTGAACGTATAAGTACTTTTATAGATGAGACGTTACTTACTGAAGAGGGTCGACGCGAGGTATTCAGCAAGTTTATGGAGCTGTCCGACACATGGCAGAAGAAGAAGTCATTGGTAGATGTACTTAATTGCTGGCCTCCCACCAAAACTCAGTAAGTACTACAACAGTGACAAATATATAAAACAACTTAATATTAAAAAAAAAACAATATAATTATCAACAAAATTGTATAATATTGTTACAGGGACACCAGGAGCTTGCACTGTGAATATTTACACTCACTATTGACCACGACTTCCGACCAGAACGAAGCTCTGGTGCTAATAAAATTGCTTCTAAGACAACCAGTGCTAGATGAAGAGGTAATCCTTATTAATGGCCATTATGTCTACACTAACCCTCTGATAATGCTGTTCCCCGTCACTAAAGTATTGATGATGGTAGCATTACTATAGTGCCCCCGTTATCAACTGAGTCTTCGGACAATAAATCGTTGTAATCAGTCTATCTCGCTCGCACTCATTGCGCTTAAAAAGCGTCCTAATGATGTGCGTTACAGCAGGTAGTCGATATCGATAAGATTTAATCAATGGATTTTTAAGGTTTGAAATGTTTATAAAATAACACAAAATAATTATAATCATTAATCTACATCAGTGTACTTCATGTTGTGTTCCGTTTACATAATACATCCATTGTACGATCCGGGAGTTCAGGGCACCAGAAATTACACACTGTCTTGTAATTTGAACCGGTTTTATTGGATGATGAATTTCAACCTTTCCACTCTCACACAAATCTCTACATCGTAACATACAAAAACAGTATATTATATTATATTAGTACCATCTATCGATAAATACGCGAACATATCTTTCACCTTGGCCGCCCATCGTGGAAGAACAATTAGTAAAATTAAAGAAAAATAAAGTAAAAACAATTAATAATAATATTACATATTAAAGATTAATTAGCTACAGGAAGTACACAAACTTTAGATGTGGGCCTACATTTATAAATATTTTATTATATTACAAATTATCTTAGATCTGCTAACTCCACAAATATATTGCCGTGTTTTATTAAAATGAAGCTCCGATATTTTTTCAATTCATTTAAAAACAAAAATATATTGTAAATAACTATTCGAGTTTGCACGTTAATATGACCTTTTAATTTTTTGTAATCCACGTTAGAGAATAAATTTTCCATTATGCATAACTATCGAGATCGAAATGAGAAATAGAAATAAAAAAATGTACAGAGGTCCTTACCTTGTTACCTTAGGTACTAAACAAACAAGTAACGATTTCTTATATTTACCGCGTATATTACGTATTTTATTATTACTGAAGTTTCGAGTACTTTACAGCACCCATGGTCACGGAAGGGACTGAGGTGTTCTACGTCCTAATGTCATAGTTAACCATTCCAGATTAAAATTATTAATTTTTGTTCCGGTCTACGCAGTTTAAACTTATAGTATCTTGTAGTCTTCCAGTTGTCGGCTTGGGTTGGGATTTAATTTTATTAATTATAGGACCAAGCTATCTTCTCTATTGAAATTAGGATGTTTTTTGATTTCAATAGCCTCACGAATCATCTTTGGAAAGAATCGGTGATCTTTAACGAGAATTTGTTGTCTATCAAGTCTGATGTAGTGACGGGGGCGATCCTGTACGTGTTCACAGACTGCAGACTTCCCGGAGCGTCGATTCTTCACATTAGCTATGTGTTCTGTAAAGCGGGTTTTTGTTGGTCTTTTAGTTTGTCCTATGTTGAGAGACATTGCACTTGACACATGACAAAAATTGACTAATCTTAGGTTGCTTGAAGTATGTTTTAATGGAAGCTTGCGTCAAGATGTAGCCAATCTTGTCAGTGACTCCTCTGACATAAGGCAGTACAGCAGGCATACACATAGCATACGACTGTGGCCGGCTTCACTCGTTCACTGTGACGTAGGCGGGGGACTCGAAGCTTGTTGTCATGCAAAACTTGCTTGACGTGCTGGAGCTCGGAGGCCGGGTGTTTACTGTCACAGATCCCTCTTGCTCTCTGAAACAAAGATTTACCCACGGTAGCTAGCTGTAAAGGATGGTGGTGAGAATTACCGTTTAAATATCTATCTGTATGGGGTCTTTTTTCTATACACATTGTGGCTCAAGGTGCTATCAGAATTCCGAATTACCAACACATCTAGAAAAAGCTAAAGAGTTGCTTGCCCCTTACTCTATTGTGAAATGAATTTTAGAATTTATGGAGTTAAGATGGTCTAAAAATGCAGTTATTTTTATATATAAATATATATTAGTCTCCAATAACACGTATATCACGCGTATACAATGTATGTGTAAAAATATAGCAACACTGGACATTGGTTGTGACGGCCTCACACTTTTTATGAAAAAGTTTAACGACTGTTTAGAAAATTAATTATTCACTAACTTTATGCTAAATTTAACTTTTATTTATGTTATAAAAACTATTAACTTTCTTTTGTTCGTAAAACTTGTTTTTGTTCCAACTACCATTAAAATAGGCAAATTATAAACACTGCTATTGTTTTAGAATGATGTGTTCTCCTATAATTGGTAGTACATAGTAATTTATAGATGTAAAGCATGTGTTAGAAGTAATTTAATATGTACAACTGTTGGAGATCCATAAATAAATAAATAAATATATTAACATAAAGTATTTTATATATAGATTATGAAAGTGTCTTCTGTGTACCGCGTGCAGAATCTTGAATTGATTTATAGATATGACATTGGGACGTCGAACACCTCAGTTCCCCCCGTGACCATGGGTGCATAAAGTGCTCAAAACGTAGGGAATATAAAAAGCGATAAAATCCATAAAAATTAGTTTTATTTGAACCAAGTAAAGGTTTATTTATAGGCTAAATGTTTTAATTTGATTTCAGGAGGTTAAATGGTTGTGTGAGAGTACACCTCCACAATCAGTACTGAGCGCTGTTTGGGTGGTGCTGCTTAACAAATGTGAACATTCCACAGATCTTGTCTTGGAGCTGGTGCTACGACACAAGGTGGTTTAGATATCAATTGTTGTTTTATCTTTTTATAATTTTTTATTTATTTATACTTTATTGCAACACACCTTCAACTAGGGGTTCCAAAGGGCAGACTTAATGCCCTATGTCATTCTCTACCTGTCAACCATAAGAAAGTTGGAATTAATAAAGATGTTGGTGGGTGCAAATTAAGGAAAACAAAAACATAAGAAGGAATATAGTTAAACCATTATTTTTAATATTTTTTATTTTTCGTCCTCTCAACGTAGGTAATGAAAATAGACAAATATGTTTAAAAAGATCTCTAATTTGAATTGGTATAATATGAGCTATATTACAGTCACTCGAATCAATTTTTTCTATAGAAATTAAAACAGAGACAACAAAGTTTCTTGTTATCAAGTTTACATTTTATTTCTGTTTTTTTTTTTTTTAAATAAATTCAACCTTAACATAAATTGGAAAACCGATGAAGTTTTAAAATACTACGTAAAGAAGCAAATTCAAATTAGATGATCGGTATACCCAATATGAACAAAGGATGCACAGTATGAACACTAACCTCAAAAACGCCCATCCATTTTCGATAAAATAAATGATTCCAAATGCATGAGTGAAACTTCCGAACTCCTTATATGCAGAGATATACATTTTTTTCTATCTTTGTTTTTTACCGCCATTTTTTCCTTCGTTTCGACCTTCTCTATAGACTTGGGCTTTACAATTGTTACTGTGGGTGATGGTGCCGGTTATCGGTTAAAGGTGCGGTTGTGGAGTTTTTGATTTGCTGGCTTTCGCCGCTGCTACGTAATTGATGGGTTTGATGCCTGTAGAAACTTTCTTGGTTATCATTAGTTGATTTTGCTTGACAATTTCCGTTAGTAATGTTATTTACTCCGTGTCTTCTCCTCGACCATTGTCTCACTCTTCACCTCTTTCTTATTTAGAGACCTTTATTTTAGACTTAACCGCCAGCGGTTTAAGCTTAGCCTCCGGCTTCTCTGGAGTTTTTATCGGTTGATTTATCAGCTATTGATTGCACATCCGCTGCACGTCAAGCTCACTTGGGGCTGTAGGTTATTGGAGCGCGGGCTCTTCTGTTTTTATCTGTTCCGTGACTTCCTCTCTACTTTTAACAGTCTGGGTGCGATATCTTCTTTCACGCTCGTTGCCTCTTTATCTCTTCTTCTCCTCTATTACTACTAAAATTTCAACTCGCAATTTTCATTTGCTCAAGTAAACACACAGAGTAAACGTTGAAATGTGAAGTGATTCATTAATTTTAACAGTCCATTGCGTGTTCGCTTTGAGACAGAGAGAATATGAATCAGTGTATTTCGAATTGAATGCAATCAGCCAAGTGTTGGCGTTACACAATAAGGCTACGAGGTCATGACCTGTGTAGAACTGAAGAGCGCGCGGGAAATTTGAAATAGTTTGAAACAGTTTACGAGTTATTTTATTAGTTGATATTATTGATTGAGCAGTTTGATAGGGAAAATCCGGCTTCTCGGCTTCTATAAAGGCTTCGCCACCGAAGTATACCTGTTAGCCTAAAATAACCAATAATATTTGTAATTTAACGTCGTATTTCAAATGATTAACTTCGAAAATTCGAATGAAAGGGAAATTAATTCATCTGAGGTACTATGGAACCGTTGAAAGCCCAGTTAGCCTCAACATGAATTGACCCTACCTGTTAAGGAATGTCTGTCTGGACTCCGACCAGCTTAGGTATTGCGAGGTGGGACTAGTTGGTGTCAATTGTTGATCTCTTGTTGTGAGGTCAAACGGCGAAAAGCCACGTTAGAACTATTCAAAAGAGGACGTGAGTCCTCAGACCGTTTTTGAGATAATCACAACTCCAGTCAAACAAGTACCTAATTTGGCGTCTTATTAGAAAGTAGTCTTTCTATCTATCCAGCAGTGTATTGAAAAGACTAGTAAGGGAGAGAGTAGGAAAAATAAATGTGCGCGCTTACATGTTTTATATTTAATATTTATTACCATTGCGACCGTTAACCACAAAAATGTTAAAATAATGACTCATTACAAAAAAAATTACAGGATTCCATAGAAACCCAAGAAGTTGAAGAGGATTTGATCAAAGAGCTGCTTGATAACGAACTATTTATTCCACTTGTGCCAACTCCCTTGTACTCCTCTGTTATTAACTACATTATGAACAAAGACTCCTCCGACATGGAGCCTAAAGACTACACAGTAAGCTGGGCAATTGGCGAGCTGAAGAAAGCAAACTATATCGCAGAAGCGGGTCAGCTGCAACTCTTGCATATCGGCGTACCGTCGTCTCTACGCGGCTTTACACAATCGGTGTTATGTGTTAAGAACATTTTAAATCAATAATTCATATATTTAATTCAATTCTGTCTAAATGTAATTAATGTTTTAAGTTATTAAATTATAATATCAATGTGACTATAACTTTCTTTTACCTTTTTCTTAAACAAATACCTAAAGTATTTTTATTTCTAATCTATGTCCTACTATACTAGAATTATTTTGTCCGTGCAGTTTGGGTCATAAATCATCGGTATTCGCCCCCTCTCCCACTCACGGGTCTTAGGGGCGAGCATAGTGATGCGCATTATTGTTGTCGATAAGCGTTATCGATAGTGTATTTAGTTTTGTCATTAAGTGCGTTAGTTGATAAAAATGAAAAAAGTAGATAAAACAACGTATTTATTAAAATAAGAATAATAATGATTTAAAATAAATAATTAATTAGGTATCTATGTATTAAAAAAACTATACGTACAAATGTTTGGAGTGTAAAAAGTTATATTAAAAATAAATATAAAGATAATAAGTTATATCTAAAATTAAATCTTAAACTATTTACATAAAAATTCTACATCAGAGTCATCGTCATCCACATGAATTAAGATATCTTCTGCCAGATAGACTTTTTCAAATCTTCCTCTTGGCGTTTTTCTGCATGCTTCACACAATTTTCCCAGTTTTTTTTTTGCTAAACGTTTGAAATTGCTTCATCCAGTAACACTTAGACGTCTGCAATTTTAAAAGTGCTGATTTGGTGGCAAATTCATTCTTTGCTTGAACCTATACCAACTCAATTGGGTTATATTGGCAATGGTAGAGTGGTAAGCGAATCACTTCGTGTCCTGACTCCAAAACTAACTGATCCAATTTCTATATTTTTTCTGGTTGGATCCGTTGTACCTGTAAATATAATGTTGTTTGTATGTTCAACTAAATACTTATAAGAAAAAAAATGTATTCCAAACTTTAAATAATAAAATCTGAGATACCTTTTGTAATAGTTCCGGCTTGCGATCACTAAACTCAATCCCGTGTTGGCGTCCCAGTCCGGTCTGTGAAGCCTTCGGCATTCATTTGTGAATGGTAGTCCTCGTTCTGAGACTTCACAGCACGAAATACGCATCTGGCTTCGGGTATGCAAACATATTTTGCGCAGCCTGCATGACAAACTGAAACAACATAATTAAATGAATATCATATTTTGTATTAAATTATTATTAAGTCGTATTTCTTTCATAAAAGATGAAAGAATATTTACCAATTAGTCTGCCCCCATTTCCCGTTTTTGCGTTGAAGCCGCCTTGTTCATCCTTGTCTAGACAAATTCGTTTGCGGTTGTGATTTTGGTTCACCCAAGTCTCATCTAAATAAATTCTTGGTTGAGTGTCTTCATTATCTTAGGGTCTTGAGCTTTCTCGGGAATTGTAGCCGCGTACAAACGATGTCAGTCCTTTACATCAATTGTTTACGACCATCTAAAACTTGTGTGTACTTGTACCCAAGTTCTATGAGTATTTTACGCATAGAAGAAATAGAACACAGGAATCCGTCAATTCTTTTTTTGCTGTACTCAAAATTTTAGCCCTGGAAGGATGTTCACCGTCGCGATAAAACGATGACACTATTTGTTTAATTACACTTTTATCAAAGTCGTCTAAGGCGGTTACTGTACAAGGCCGATAGACGCTTTCTCGCAGAGAGCTAACTTCTCCCTTTATACATTCTTTTTTAATTTTGTCGACTGCTCTAATACTCATACCACATATCGCCGCAGCAAGTTCACGAGAACGGCAGAATTTAACATATCTATTTTCGTTTCTGTCAAAAATGTTAAAACATTATTGATAACAACACGTGCTTGTGCTGGTATATTGGTGCCAACAGGCAAAATATTATTCTGAATAAATTCTGCTGTTTTGGTACAAAACAAAGGAGTAGCGTAGCCATTGTGTCACTAAAGAAGTTCAGAGAGCGAATGCGCAAAAACAAATTTTTTTTTGCGCCCGAAGCAATTGGAAAGGGCTACCCTTTATATAGGGAGGCGGAAAATGCATGCAATGCGCAAAAACAAATATCTCTTCGATATATATACCAAATTATCATTGCACTAATTTGCAGGTATTAGGCGGGTGTAATAATGGAAAAAAAAATGACTCATAACATAACAATGTCGCACAACCCTTTGTATACCGCACCGCCGCCGTGTACCTGCCTTCGATGATTCATTTGTTGTTATCGATAATGGCGTTGCGCCCGCGCAACATGCTCACCGCCCTAGCCGGGCTGAGGCCGAGCTATGATTTATGACTCCCAAGTGCACGGACAAAATAATTTTACTATAGCTCATCTCACACCAGTAATATCATCTATTTACCGCAGTGTAAGAATATCCACTACCCCATATTTGCCAGTGGGTATCGTAAAATGCGACTGAGGAAAACGAACCAGAAGATGGGCAGCAGCGTCTTCCTAATAACGACTAAAAATGCGACTGAGGAAAACGAACCAGAAGATGGGCAGCAGCGTCTTCCTAATAACGACTAAAAATGCGACTGAGGAAAACGAACCAGAAGATGGGCAGCAGCGTCTTCCTAATAACGACTAAAAATGCGACTGAGGAAAACGAACCAGAAGATGGGCAGCAGCGTCTTCCTAATAACGACTAAAAATAAAAAAACTGCGGTTGACAACCCGCTTGCCAAGCGTGGCAACTAATTCCCATACGAGGCAATCTATGGGGGAGGCCTATGTTCAACAGTGGACTTTTATAGGTTGTAACCGTAATGGATATCATCTATCGAACAAACGCCAATTAACGTCTACAGTAAATTTATTTATTTATATAAGCTTTATTTGCATACCACCATGCCACAAAGTACGTAAAGGTGACACCTATACGAATCCTAAGGACATCGTGTATTGTGAGCATAATTTAATATCAGTATTTTGTCTTTAGATGATAGTATTAATTAGAAGAATAATTCAAAATAACAAACTTAAAAACAGTTAAGTCATATAGTGGCCGTGTATAAGAATCCACTTATCAAGTTTGTCTGATCGACACCGGATTTGCTTTGCTGAATGCTCACGGAGGCCACTATTTTTTTTCTATTTATTTGTTAAAAATTTTACAATATTCAAGTTGATATTTTACAGTATAAACATAAGCTATACAGCTTTACCGTATACCGATACTGCTACGATAATATAAATACCGTTCACGATGCGGTCGCCTCTTCTTTTCTCGCACAAGTTTAAGCTTTCTCGATTATTTAATTTTTCGCTGATCAAGTGATAAAATTAAGATTGTAAATGGGATCCAACTCGCTTACTATGTGATTATTGGTATTTATAAGCGCATAACACATATATGCACCTCCAACTCCAAAAGCCAGAGTAACTCGTTTGGGTTTGTAGATTCACACGGGTGACATTTTTTGTACAATTTTTTTATATTTTTAAGCTATTGCATAGCTTCTATCGCGGGCCTTGAGCGCGGGGACCGAATCCAGAAATTCCGTAACGAAAAAAACCTCACGCTCCCCACTCCGACGGGCACGGAGGTGTAGCGTTGAAAGCCGTGCATCGTCTAACGTCGTTTCAGTTCGGCAGACTTCGGCACGGTGTTTGTGTGCGTGCGACTAGACGTATGCGTGTACACTAGCTGCTAACTCAATGATAAAAATTCCTGAATAACCTTATAATACATGTATTGTAAGATATTAAAAATATTTTAAACAATATTGACTTCTCATTTATTCAATAAGAGAAAAAAATGTTTTCTTATCGATTACCACGCTCAAAAAGTGTAACTTGATTTAATATCAAAGACTTAACTGCATAAATAAAATAAATAAATAATTATAATTGCATAAGTTGATAAAAATTGCTATGCAATAGCTTTACCGCGGCAGTCACCGAGTGCCACACGTATTTTTTTTATATTTTACGCTAGTAATGCTAAAAATAAGTAGTGCTGTTTAAGTTTAGTTTTGATGTTTACTTTAGTAATTTGACCTTTAACTGTTGTAGGTAACTCGTTTATCAGTTTTGGTATTACGATATTGTAACATTGCTTTTCCGTATAAATTTTTATAGCTAGGTAAATTAAGAATTGCATTAGAGGCACTTCTTGTTTTACAAAAGTCAGTAAAGAAATGATCGCAGAGCAGTATATATTTCACTTTGTCGTATATAGGTATGGTGTTGCAGTGTTAAAAGAGTTGGTGGTAATTATTTTTATATTTGTTTTTTATATTCGTAGGTACGATGGTTTTTAAAAGTCTGACTTGGAGATTATATATTTGATCAAGATGTGATTTGCTAGTTCTGCTATAACTACTAAGACTATAATGTATGGTGGTCTCCACCAAGGCCTTGTATAAAAGTAATAGCGTGGAAAAGGGAATTTTATTCTTAATAAGTCCGGATTTAGCCAGCATTGCACGTACTTTATCACAAACATGGTTTATATGTTCTGTCCATTTAAGACGATTATCGATTACTATCGATTACTTCAGACACAAGTTTGTCCCGGCACTCGGAGACGTTTTCCCGAGAAATATTGGCTCGACCGGTGTAAAGAGCATCACCAGTGCTGTCATCTGCATAGCAATGAATGTTACGGGTTTGCAACATATCATTGATATACAGAAGAAACAGCGTTGGCGATAGCTTGCAATCGGAGCTTGCACCGTCTACAACGACCTTGATGCTCCGATCTGCAAGAAAGCTGGTGATCCAATCGCACAATTTCTCGGGAAGCCCATAGGAAGGGAGCTTCGAAAGAAGCGCTTTGTGCCAAAACCGATCGAAGGCTTTCGCAATGTCCAAACTAACGGCCAATTTGTTATTATACGTATAAATCATTAATAATGCAGGCAATCAAACAAATTTCAAAATATAAAATCTTCACAGTAAAATAGTAAAAACACACTCTCACCACACATACACTTGTAGTGGCGCTGTCGTCGCGCCACTAGCACACCGAAACACACCGAAGCCTAAATCACGCTATCAACATTCCGAATCATGAACAGTATATATAGAACATCTCCGACCTA